TTTCAAGGGGATTGAAGCCCCCAAGCACTGGTTCGATCGTTGCAGGTCCTTGGAAGATGGTTCGAAGATGTTCGAAGGGCTGCACTAGCTGAAGTTTGACAGTGGTTGAACGATCAAAACAGGGATGTCACTTGATAGAAGTGGCAGAAATGGACGAACAACGCAAATGTGGAAGTCATTTTGCTTGAACTCCAGCTCAAAGTGCTTCAAATACACTGTTTATATGCAGTGCAGCGTACATTTCAGAAAAAAAAATGCAAAAAATGCCACAGTTCCTGTGGTTATTGTGCAGTTGTATCATGTTGTATCATATCTTGCCTTATTTCGTTTTAAGTGCCATGCGCTCCAAACAAAACATCTCCAGCATTGGCTCGGCAGTGTTCGATAGAATCTTTTGCTGTAACTTGCCCTTCCATCGTCATCAGCTGTTCAACCGGTGGTCGGCATGTTTGTGGGTTGGTTCACCCACCAATCCCGTCTAGTCACCCAACCGGACGGCGAAGGAAAATGCGGCCCGGCGGATAATAGATAACCGTACTATATTCTTCTTATTGGTTTAATTATTGGATGGCTGGAAAATTAACCACGATAAATAGCCATATAATGCCATATATATTATATTGTGATATATAATGATAATAACAGATAGATAGAACCTGCTTGATGTTTAGCCATTGTCATTGGAAGCATTAGGACAATACGTCCTTATCCGTCAATTTGTTGCGGAGGCACGGCATAGTGGCCGAACTTGAAGCTTTTTTTTCTTGGGTTCGCACGCACGGGAGTCTTATTTTGTATTGCTGTTGTGTGCCCGCGCGGCGCGGACTCAAGAAAAAAAACATTTTCTTGCTGGGAAGGGTATCCACTGAGGAAGTCACGGAAAATGATGGCACATGAATATGGTCCAGGTAGGTAGGGTGATCAAAATTTCAGACGGGAACGTCGTAGAATTCATCATTTGTAGGTGATTGTCACTAAGAGGCCTCAATGTGGGTAAAACAATAATAAACCATCCCCCAAATCACCATAAATAGGTGCTATAAACACCATTCCCAGTTTATTAGATTACCCACATTATTACAGATATTTTCCATGGCCGTGTTTGATTACCGAAAGGTAAAATCACCAGACCTCACCCTACCTGCCACGCGGCCACCTGGCTCACGTGCCGATACACCCGAATTGTGGTCCACAGGTTGCGCTGGGAGTCGCAGGGTGGGCTGGGCGCTTGTCAGCGGCATTGAGGAGGCTACCCAAAAAATGAAAACAGAGACTATCTCGGGATTATAGTGGAATATTTCATTGGAATTTTAAATATATTCTCCCGTGGAATATTTAGTTGGATATTTTCATGTCGCCAATTGGGTATTTATATACAGGATGGCCCCCCCCAGTGATGTTTGTTGGCTTATAATCCCATCTAAAAATAGTTGTAAGTATCATACACTATTGTTATTATAGTTATAAACCAACTTAGCTAACTATGGGGCCCCATCCTGTATGGATATAGTTTTTGGATATGAATGACGCCTGAGGAGAAAAAGGATATGACTCCAGGCTTAAGCAATTCTCCTCCTGACTCTTCCTGAGGCCTTGTTTGTGTCAGCTCCATTTCCCTATATTTTTGCTGCAATGTTTATATCAATGGATTGGTTTAAGGGAAAATCTTAACTGGAAACCATGGTTTTTACCGTCAAATATAGGGTTTTACTGTATTTTTTTCCCATCATCCAATTCTATGTTTATATAGATCCAGCTTTGAGTTTCACTGTCGCCAGTGCTGGTTGATGACCTACAGGCCCCTAAAAAAACACTCCCAAATTGCTGATTAGTACTCTATATATATATGTATAAATCAACTCACCCTAGTTATTATGTGGGAATCCAATATCTATATTCATTCACCAGTTGATTTCTCCAGTACTGTTGCTTTGCGAAGAATCCCGCTTCTGATTGGTTTATCCCTTGAAAGCGCTACTGTCAATTAGCGATGCGAAGAGCCTTTTTTTTTGGATCATTTTCCGGGAAATTTGGGGATTTTTCCACATCGAACTGTTAGCGTACCCCAGGCTAATAAACTTAAAGGTTCTTGGCGGATCATCCTGGTTATCCCACTTACAACTGGGTAAAAATCTGCAAAACTCAGCGGTTGGAAAAGTGGGTTGATCCTCCAAGTTCCATACTTCTAGATCTATGTTATGGTTACTTGAGGTTAATATATAGATGGACATAATGATGATGTTCCCGTTCTCTATGTCATGTTTGTTCCCCAAAAAAGCGTCATGCTTAAATAGATGCTGATGATCATGTCCTATAGATATCATCTAGATCTATCATTTCCCATGGGAAATGATGAGCTAATCACAATTACTCATCATTTCCTATAGGTAATCATCCATGTCAGGCTAATAAACCTGAAGGTTCATGAAGGTTCCATCTTTTGGAACAAAAAATAGGGCGTTTCCAGTGCCAAAAAAGCGTCCCAGGCATCATGAGAGGCCAGGCACCATGCCTCGTAGACCCAGGCGAACCGACTAGATAGTGGGGGGGCAGGGGTTATTCATAGAGAGATGCTAGGGAAACAAATGGTAAAAGGGGGCTTCTGGGGCATGTCCGTTTGTATGTTGCTTGCTATGTCTATGGTTTTTTGTTGGTGTTTAATGTGTTATTGTTGTCTTTGATGTTTTGTGTGTGGGAGATTTGGGGACTATTTTGTCAAAAAAGCTTCACTTGATGATTGGCGTGGATAAGGGTAGGATTTGTTGGGGTTGTTGTGCTTTATTGAGCATTTATGGGGTTGTGTCTTTGCTTCATCCTTCGGTCGCGCGATTCACCGCGTTCTGCGAGCGGCTCTTTGACATCCTTTTTCGAAATTGTGGGGCGACCCAGAGATATGTTCGATTCAACAAGAGATTGATTGAATGGATTGAGATGTCCGCAAAGCATGAATGCATGGAACTGGAACAGTGGCATTTCAGAACCAAATTCATCTAGCATCGTGTCAGAAAAGGAATGTTTGGCCTTGAAATGCTTTGAAGACTTGACGGTGATGAGGTGGGAGGTTTTGGAGGGTTTTTAGCAGCTCCCTGCTTGTTCGAATTGGATTCATCACCGGTTTATTCGTGCATCGAAAAAGGTGCGGATTTTTTCGACATTCTTTTAGAGAGGTGCTGCAAGATTCTGTTTGAAGGCTGGCATTTCAGCATTTACAATTTGGATGACACACCCACAAAAACAAGAGTTTATTTTTTGCCTCGCGTCCTTGCTCCGCATCCCAGGTTGAGAAGGCAACGACCTCTTTGTCCAAAGGGGTGTGTCATCCGCTGGTCTGGATTGAGAATTTGAAGGATGAAGCGGAGCAGGGTTCAAACATAGATATTCACATATCACCATTAACACACCCTACACATGTAACATACTATATCCCTACCCCGCATCCATCCTGTCAGAAGGGACGCCTACATCACCATCACTTGTCGCGACCACTGGAAGGCTTCTTTTGTTTTTTTTAAATAACGTATAGGTATAAGTAGATATAGGTGAAGGTAAGTAAAACATGTCATCAATTGGGGGCAGCGAACCGAGCGAACCGCTCGTCGAGTTTTGACCAGACAAGTCCCCAGTTGTTGGCATACTTAGTTTTGTCTTTCTGTATTTGTTTTTTTTTGGGAGATAGGTGATATAAGCAAAAGTGTTCTTTAGTAGGGAGGGAAACGGTTAGGAGGGAATGGGGCTCTGTAAGCACACAGCCATTTCCCTCAAAATTTCAGCCTTTTTGGGGAGACCAGCAACGATTTTGGGGAGTGCGTTGCTTGGGATGTCCCTTCGCACTCCTCAACCCACCCCACAAGGTGGGTTAAATGACGCATACAATAGCGCCAAGGACGAAGTCATCTTTACAACGACCACTATGACGATGACAACATAGGATGAGGATATATGAGGATGTCTATAAAACGACGATGACCGTGGCAGCAACAGCGCTTGAACAAGTGTCCTAAAGAAGTCTTTTTGAGCCCCCTTTCACATCAGTTTAGGATACCTCATTTTTTTGAAACGATACGTCCCCAAAACATACTCTTACGGACATACAATTTTATGACTGTTTACCCAAAAATAGTTTAGATGTTTAGGACATACCGCCTTATATGATTAAGAATTGAACATCCCCTGCTATATGTTAATTGATGGATTTTTTCGCAAGAGATGGACGCCCAGACCTTCGCACGACCCCACAAGCCCAACGACGTAACCACACGATGGTTTTTTTCGGACGGAAATGATGACAAGAAACCTCTATAGACAATTTATCAAGATATATTGGTATAATATATGGGATACCAGTGATATATGATGTTATATATGTTTAGTTTTCGAAAACCATTATCAAAAGAAACCATGAAAACCCTTCACCGCAAAGACCATTTGAGATCTACAAGTGCCGCCGCACTTGCTACGTGAGTGCGTAGGCCATAGGACAAGAACAGAACTGAACTGAACAGATACCATGATTACAAGTACAGTAGGTTTTGGCGGGGCCATTCAGGCCATTGGTTGCAAACCACCAAACAAGCCATGATGGCACACTACTAATTAACCATCATCCCATGCATCAGTTCTATCCAATTTCTGGAGTTTGACCCAGGGAGTAGATCGCGATGGTGAAAAGGTTGGTGCAAAAATGTGGTTTTGTCTCACAAATCTCATGGTTTACCATCGTTTACCATCAGTTTCCCAATTTCCCACTAGCCATAAAGTGGAGTAGTATCCCCCATTTTCAAAAAACACACACGTATATATAGCAGGTGCTAGTTATACCAGCACATCTCCATTCTATATATTCATTAAAACGTATGAAATTATTTAATCGCTATATTATAACTTTATAGCTATTTAAACCATTCACAAAATCAGCAACATCTATATACCTATCAGACAATACTAGACATATCTAGACACCCCACTTACCCGTTACATTCTGTATCCGTGGAGATGACGAGGTGACGAGGGGCGACGGCACCTGAGACCCTTGTCACCTCACAGGCGGTTGATCCCCAGCAACAAATGGTGGGTATTGTGAGTCATGGTGGGTCATATTTCCAATAAATAATGTCAATATCATAATCATATATGCATTTTAGTGGATATTCAGATAACATCATATAACATCATATAACATCATATAACGATGTATGTCAATATGTATGGTTATTAGAGTCTTATTAGAGATTTGTGACTCATTATGTTGATTGTGACCTCTTGAATCCGCTTGGTGTCACAAATGAATTTTCACCGTCACCAGGTGTGTTTTTTCGGCCTGAGTTGGTGCGTTGCGTTGGGCGTCAGCTGCAGGGTGCGACCTGATGGTGTTAGAAAGATTTCATCACTGCATCAGCAACCACGGAAATAAAAAATCAACTTGTTTCATATATGAAATACTGGTTGGTGGTTTCAAACATGAATTATATGTTCCATTTCATCTAAATGGGATGGGATGTCATCCTTCCCATTGACGAACTCATATTTTTCAAGATGGTCAAAACCACCAACCAGTATTTCATATACTGCGTTTTAAACTGAGCCCCCCCCAAAAAAAAAAACTAAAACTGGTCGGTGGTTTGGAACATTTTTATTTTTCCATATATTGGGAATGTAATCATCCCAACTGACTTTCATTTTTTCAGATGGGTAGGTATACCACCAACCAGTAAAATCTTATTGCTTGCAGCTGCAACCCATCAGAAATCCCGCAGGATCAGATGCCAAACGGAGGTTCCGCCAGTCTCCGTGGTGGAGACTCACGGGTGTTTCAAGATGTCATCAGGTGCCCGTTATTTATCCACTACCCTCTGGTTATGACTAACAGTTTGCCATGGTTTTTCGATGGCCCATAGAAATAGATGGTTTACTTAGCTATACAGTAGAATGGTGGATCTTTCCATGGCAAACTGTTAGTCATAAACAGCTGGTATATTATATCCCAATATATCTGGGTAAATTATAACGACCTCACTGTTCTCCCGAACCTTGGAATCATGGTATATTTTAGGGAAATCATCCCCAAATGGACCAACAATTCAGGTTAGTGAAATATGATAATTTACCCAGATATATGTCCATTCCATGCCTTTGTTTTTTCAATTCATGTTTATTGTTGTGAAAGTTAACCCTCTATTTTTTGAGGAGTGCATCAGTTCAAGTGCCCTTGACAGGGGGCTAGAGGCAAGTTTTTGTTTCGTCATATTCCAAACCTTGCGTGGTTATGCTTCCACAGAATTGCTGGCCGCACTGTCGACTTCTCTAATGATAAATCCTTCATTTTGCTGATGTCGTCCAAACTTCTGCTGCTTCAATATCTACTGTCTGTTCTATGTACGAATATGTATACAATTATATATAGGTTATATATATATACTCATGATATCCCCGTTAGATATATACCAGTTATATTCCTATGAGATGCCAATGAAACTGCCATGATATCCCCATTGAACCTCCAGTAAACCCAAATGAAATCCCAAGTATCAATGGCCATTCAACAGGAACCAATTGATTGAAGGTACCTAACATTTTTGTTAGGCCAACAGTTTTTAGGCCTAAATTTCAGGGACTATTCCAAGAAAATATGGCCTGGAATCTGGTACTAGCGTACCTCCATTTTAGGATCCTGAAATTCCTATTGATATACGGAACCAATTTCCATTGCTGGGCCATCAATATTATATTTTTTTTCTCTACGCACATAGAGGCTGTTCACAGCCGCGGCGTTGCTCGGTGAATTCACGGCACAACATTGGGATCACTGCACAAAATCTGGTCCAATGTAGTCGCCGAACTCCGTCACTGTTAGCTTCTGACAGATGGTGCAAAAGGGCTGTGGCAGAACTGTACTCTCATCACTCGGAGCTAAACAGGTCGCATTCCAAGTGGTTTCTGCCAAGGCTGCGCAGAGAGCCGGTGGGTATTCTTTCAAATGTGCTGTACGGAATCGCCCACTCTCATCTCTGCCAATTGTTGTGGCCCTGGGATTGTCGGATGTGATATGCCACTTCCGCAGGGTCTGAATTATGTCAGGAGAGTTGGCCACCAGGAGCGTCGTTGGTTTCCGGCTCGAAGCGCCAAACAGGCCTTGGGCAAACTCGACCTTCTGTACGTTGGGCATGCGCAGCAAAAGGTGGAGGATCGGCAGCTTCCAGATCGAGGGTGCGTCCTCAGCTTCAGGCTCCTGCGGATGCTCAAGCAAGCCCTGGCGCTCCATCATAGCCAATGCGAAGATCGCCTCAATGCAGAAGCTCAAAAGGACATTTCCTTCCAGGACTGCGTCCATCTCACGCAGCGCCAGCGAGGCAAGCCCCCAAAGTGCATCTGCCGATCGAACTGGACGTGGTGCTCGACGATGTGTCGCTGAATCCACAACCACAGCTCTGGCTTTGGAGAAGGTGCAGCATGGAGGCCCTCCCAAAAAGCCATGCACGTACCCTTGGAAGATATGTGAAAGCCAAAACCCTCGTGTCTCAGGGTCAGCCAAGTTCCCATATTTACTGTCAATGACACCAACCAGTACCCTGCAGTAAATCAACATAGGCCCTGCCAGATAGGGGTTGGAAGATTAGTTTCCATTAAAAAAATATTTTCAGGGTCAACAGGTTAATTTACCAGAGTGTATATCTCTCACTCTCTCTCTCCCAAGTATATCCCATTGGTTTACCCTCTGGTAAACTAACATAACTATGGAAAATCCCAATTTTTAATGGGAAAATCCACTATAAATAGCCATTTTCAATAGCTATGTACCAAATTACCAGAGGGTATCCCCATATATTCCCATGATTTTCCCATAAAACCATATAAAACCTCCAGTTTTTGTTTGAACATATTCCCATGTTGTTGGGAGGCTATAATCAACAATGATGATCCAAGTATATCCCATTGGTTTATCCCACAGGTCCCTCTGCCGTCCGGTTTTGCCCAGGTGCCCCGAGCACGACGCATTCCGGTGCGGCGCGCCTCCGCGGCACGACGGGAGGCGCCATGAGCCATGGCAGTGGCCAAGGTGCTAGAAAATGGTGGATTCACCGGCAAAAATGGTGGTTTCACCGGCAAAAATGGTGGTTTCACCAGAAAAAATTGTGGTTTCACCAGAAACAAAAGGATTTAATGTGACTTTCACCACATCAATCTGACCAATTTCTACCATCATTTGCGGTCTTGAGGAGAAATGATGGAATTGGATTTACTGGTGTTTTAATGGGATGTATTTGATTTTTATCGGATATTAATGGTATTTAATGGCGTTTTGAGGGAGGTATGAATGCGATTTAATGGGGATTGAATGATGATATTAATTGGGTTAGATGGCGATTTAATGGGATTGTGTGTGGAATATTGTATTTAATGGTGTATAATATATCTATATATATATATATAATATATATATATACATATATGGGGTTCACATGGATTTTTTTCGGGATATATGATCAACAATATGGAAGTATGGCTATGGATTTGGGAGATATTTACCAGGGAGTTTATTGGGCATGATGGGATCTACGCAACTTAAAGATGTTTACCATCTGGTTATGACTGACAGTTTGGTATGGAAAGATCCACCAGCTATTATAGCTAGGTAAACCATTTTTTTCTATGGGTCATTGAAAAACCATGGCGAACTGTGAATGTCACAACCAGGTTGGGTATATATTTTATGTTGAGTTAATGGTATTTTCAACCACTGGTTACATTTCAACATATTTCAACTATCCAACGAGCGTTTTTTGGCGCTGGAGCCACCTAAAATGGGGTGTTGATGGGGATATCACCAATAAAAATGCGGATGCAGCATCTATAAATCTGTCAAAAATGTGACCTGGTCCCATATACCTTGCGGATGAGTCAAAACCATTCAAAGCCATATTGTCATATGTTTGAGGTTGTTATTCACATTCATTTCCATCCTCGCTACCCTCTGGTAAACTAACATAACTATGGAAAATCACCATCTTTTATAGGTAAATCAACTATCAATGTGCCATTTTCAATAGCTATGTACCAAATTACCAGAGGGTATCCCCATATACTCCCATGATTTTCCCATAAAACCATATAAAACCTCCAGTTCTAGTGGATATGTCCTATAAAACCCATGTAAAACCAGAGGCTACAACGGGATAAACCGTGGCTTTTGATCACACAAAAAGTGGCGAGTTCCGCAGGCCGAGTCCGAAAAGATCCCCAGCCAGAGGGACTCAGAGGGGGATCAGTGGTCGCTAAGCCAACCATTCAGCTACTAACGTTGCGTTTACCATCTATAAATGGGATGCATAATGGGATACCATATAGAAATAGATGGCTTACCTAGCTATAAATGGTGGATCTTTCCATGGCAAACTGTTAGTCATAACCGGATGGTACATTATATCTCAATATATCTGGGTAAATTTCATCACGACCTCACTGTTCTATACTGTTCTCCCGAACCCTGGAATCATGTTTAGTAAGGGGAATCATCCCCATGTGAGGCCCAACAATTCAGGTTAGTGAACTATTATAATTTACCCAGATCTATAAATGGGATGCATAATGGGATATTTATAGGATATTAATGAGATATTATGTAATGGGATATTTGTCTGGAATATTTGTTAATACCCTCCGGTATTTTTTAACGTATCATCTCTTTTCGGCCACAGATTCCATGGCAACATGTATAAAATCGCCAGAGGGTAACGTTGGGGTTACAACATTGGATAGTTGATGACGTGTGATGACGTTGCCGTTTAAAAACATCTTGTTGTAGTGTTGTGTTTTTTTTTAAATATACCCTCTGGTATTTAACGCAGCCATGGAAAATCACCATTTTTGATAGGTAAATCACCATGTATCATCCAGAAATGGGCCATTGTCCATAGCTATGTTAAATAACCAGAGGGTAACTATATCTTGGCATGTTAGTTTTCTGAAAGTACCCTGTGGAAGTCCAACATGGCAACTGGAAATCAACATGTTCAGTAGATCATTTGTTTGCTTCCTGCAGATTTTTTCATCTAGAGTCTAGATCATACCGCGGAAGTTCCTTTGGCATTTTACTCCCAGCGGTTCCATGCGCTTTCTTTTGGGCTTAGGCAACAACAAATTGGCTACTGACTGGGATTCATCACAGCAAATTCAGTAGATCCGGTCCCTGCTACGAGCTGGTAGGCAGTCTGTCAGCGTTGCTATCGTTGGTTGCTGTCCCTCCCTTTTTCCGGGCGGCTTCCGTAGCCTCAGGTTTTGGGAAGTATTTCATTTTTGTTTTGGCAAAAAAGAGGGGAAGAATTCATGTCTGTTGGATGTGGGATCACCGTCTCCAATGTTCCTAGCGTGACTGTGATGTGTTCATTGCTGGTTTGTCTTTAGCATCTCATACGAGAAGCACGCCGCGGTCTATAACTAAACAAGATCCCAGCGGAGGAACCCTTTCCCCCCTACATTAAATCCTCCCATTTCCGAAACCCTGGTCTATGAGAAATTGGTTTATCGTCGAAACCCAGTCATGGGGGAAACGCATGGATTTGCTTGGCAAAAATTGATCATGGCCTCACGTCGCAATGTCACTGGAATGATTGATCGTTAGAACTACCCCAATAGGCCGAACTTGTCAGGTTTGCGAATTGTGTTTTGATCATCAATTATATATCGTTACTTACTTTATTATAGATTATAATTGCTTATTCTCCACAATATATATCCCATTATAATATCTCAAGATATCCCATTGAATACCATGAATATCCCATGAATATCCCACTGTGTCCCGTTAAATTATGTTAATTTACCATTTAAGTACCCTAACAATTCCTATTCAACATGAACAACCCCGTATTAAATCCCTATTGTTGATGGTTAAAGCCCAGTTTTCATGGGATATGAATGTTTTTTTTCACGACTCGAACGTCGGAGACTGTCGGTTCTTCAGGCGAGCCTCAGGACGGCCGGAGCCGGCATGGCTGATGTCCGATTCATAGGAGTTCAATGGCTTAATTAGTCGTTTGCCTCTGGTAATTTGGTACAGAGCTACGGTGGATGGAAGAAATCCTGCACCAGTTGATAGGCGGTTTATCCCATTATTTTTCGGGTTTCAACCATCCAAGGTGGTTTTACATGGGTTTTTTAGGACATATCCGCTAGAAATGGAAGTTTTCAGACAAGTTTTAGATGGTTTTATGGGAAAATCATTGGAATATATGGGGATACCCTTCTTGGTAATTTAACAGGGCGATTGAAAAATTGCACATTTAGTTCGTTGATTTACCGAACTTAGACATGATGATTTTCCAGTTCGCTATGTAAACGTTTACCAGAAGATAATAATATAAAAATACATACCACTAATATTGAGTAGTGGTTGATAATGGCGAATCATTGACATGGATATTGAATGGGGTTTACCCTTTGGTGTCCTCAAACGTGGCTGGAAAACCATACATTTAGTTCGATGTGCCCAATAAAAGCTGCATTTTTCTTGAGATTTTCCAGCCTTGTTGGTGTTTGATTACCAACAAGGCAAAGATGATGAAACATGTATTGGTTGCAATGTGTTATACAATATACCCTCTGGTAAACAAACATAGCTATTGAAAATGGCCATTTATAGTTGATTTGCCCATTAAAAATGTTGATTTTCCATAGTTATGTTAGTTTACCAGAGGGTACAATTATAGAATCACACCAGGCAGTATATTGCATAGTGTCATGAAAACGTGGGTTGTTTACATGGGTAAACCTTCCATTTAAACCATCCCAAACGGTAGTTTTATTCACTGGTCTTTTGAGTCCCTGGATTCCAATGGCTTTGGGAAGTTACTGGTCTTGCCCCTTGCTGGTCACTAATGTGGCAACCCTGCCGTAAACAACTACCATTTAAGGGGATGATACAGTAACCCACCCATAAAAATGGTGATATTTTGGGCATGGGTTTACGGCATTGGGTTTACCCACATCATGCTGTATAATTGTGACGGTCGTCCAAGTATGTCCAAGTTGCTCAAATTTTCAATCCCTTGTTGGTGAAGCCACCATTGTTGAGCACTTAAAGCAGATGGCCAGAAAGTTGCCACATTGCGCAACTTTGACGGGTAATAGTCCCAACCCAATAGTTACCCCATGTAGATTACTCTTGGATAAGTTATAAGAATTCCACTTCCACATAGTATGGGAAACCATCCCAAACTAATTTGGTGAACATAACTAGATTAACTATGGATTGAGGTAGATGTAATCCTATTTTTCGGCTTTGCAAACCAGCTTACATAACTAGGGGGCCCCATGTACCGAGGTGACGCCTGTGCCCATCTCCGCAGTTTTTGGACCAAACTCATCTCCGCCAGCTCCAAGTTCTCGAGAGACTCATCCCACGATGGCACCTGCCGGCGCGAAGAAGCGTCTTGGAAATTTGATGCGTCCCGAAACCCAATAAAAGATACCATTTGGTTATGACTAACATAGCCATGGAAAATCCCCCGAATAAATGGAGGTTTCTAGCTGGGAAAATCATCTATTTCTATTGGCCATCTATACCATGGCTATGTTAAATAACCAGAGGGTAATACAGTAAAAGATAAGAAAAGCACAATGCATCATGTACCCCACCCAACTCTACCATTTGGGTATCAAGGATTTGAAATTCGGTGAATTGATGTTCATTGGGCTTATGGTTTACCACGCTACTTACAGCTACGAAGTCGGCCACGTGCAATGTCTAGCAAGGTGGGTGAGTTCACCCATCCGAAGAGCTTACCTGGGATGATTGACCACCATAAACTTGTATGTTCAGAACAGGATGTAAAACCCAGTATATTTGGACAGGTTGACACCTCCAACAACTCTAGTATTGACATGTATTATCGATATGTTTTTTATTTTTATGTTAATAGCACCATCATCGTCACCATCATCATCATCACCATCATCATCACCATCACCATCACCATCACCATCCATAGTTTCAAACATGTTCCTTACCATCTTGCGATCACCACTTCGTATTCGAATGACTGCAGGGACGGCCGCTGCAGCCCCGGACACAACGAGGCGAGTGTTGCTGATCGGTGGCCAGTTCACCGGCAATTTTTGCGCCCGCGAGTTGAAGAAGAAATTTTACGCGCCTCGGTCGCTGGCAGCGTCTGATTGATCTGGTTGGTGGTTTAAGGAACATGATATATATATATATATGGTTAATATTGTTATATATGGTTAATATTGTTATATATGGTTAATACATGATATATATATATATATTCTGGTTGGTGCTTCGGAACATTTGGATTATTTTCCATACATCGGGAATTTCATTATCCCAACTGATTGATTAATATTTTTCAGAGGGGTGGCTCAACCACCAACCAGTAGTTGGGTCTTTTGAAGATGTTGAGAGCTATGGACATGAAGTTTTTCGGGTTTTCAGTTGGGTGTAAACATGGGGTATAGCTCCAGTTATGGCAATTTTGATAGGGAACACGGTGGTCCGTTTTTTATTTGTCACCGAATCATGATCCCGGCAAGGCCTGACCTCACCGCAACGTCCCCAGAGACTTCTGCTTAGTAGGCTTAGTACTATCCCAAATGAGCTGGGGGTATACAAATGATGACACTTACCCTCTGGCAATTTGTTGCATAGCTATGGAAAATGGCCATAGAAATAGTATGAAATAGTTGATTTACCCATTAAAAATGGTGATGCACTATTAACCACTGGGTAAATGGGGGTATACCATAACCTTCCTGCCCCAGGTGACAGTGGTGGACTGCAAGGAGTACTTCGAGTATACCCCTGGCGTGCCGCGCCGCTCTTGGGCGTTGTCTGGTGAAGGATCCAACATCACTAGCCATGGCCAGAGGAGCTAAGGAGCCATGAGAATTCATGGATTATTGATGTGTATTGATGTTTATTGATGTCTATTATTGTAACTCCTGTAACTAAGGTTTTATAAATCATTAACATCCAGTGATACCCTCTGGTAAATTAAGATAGCGAACTGGAAAATCATCATTTTGAATAGGTAAATCAACTATTTCTATGGGCCATGTTCAATAGCTATCTTAGTTTACCGGAGGGTATTGAGTTTCGTTTTTTCTTATTTCAAAGATCTTCAAAGTCCTTAGTCATTCAGTTTCCGTCTTCGTGCCCATGGGATGACATATGTGTTCTCAGACAATGCGACCTTGATTCTCAGAATCCACTCGTCTTTGCTCAACATTCCCATCTCTTGAATTCTTGAATCCCATATTCTTGCTGGGTAGTCATCAACTTCTCACGGGGTCCCTCTATAAAAATGTGACACCATGTGACAACTAAGAACCAAAGGTTTACGTTTTAAAATTGAGATATCTTCGGTGTATATCCCTCAGCTTCAACTTCATTCAATAATAAGTATACTAATTAAGTTATCAAGCCTTATGCCCTTAGTGTTTCCTGCTTTTTAAGCAGGATTTAGTCGTTTGAAAACGACGAACCCTCCAAAAGATGCGAAACACTATGAGCCCAACCCTTGGGGGCAATCCGGATTTTGGATGTGGCTTACCCCATCATACCCAAGATGATCACACCTTTAATGATTCAATCATGGTCAAATCAGGGTCAAATCCCACCAGTGGTGTCTGTGGTTTCACGCAGATTTCTTCTACCATAATGATTCGGGATGATGATCCCGAATCAGCCATTAAGATCATCATGAAATCCAAAAAATCATAGGGTTTTTACAAGGCTTAAATCCAAAAGTATTTTTTATTACAAAATCAACTAAAGTGTCTCGCCATATTCCATTGAATCCCACGTGAAGTTCCATGCTGCGTGGTGGTGTGGAACATTTGGATTCTTTTTCCATTCAGTTGGGAATTTCATCATCCCAACTGACTTTCACTCCATCATTTTTCAGAGGGGTGGCTCAACATAGCACCAACCAGAAATCGTCCTCTCTATTTTTTCCACCTGGACACTATTTATAGTGGGATATTAGGATTAAGCCAACCAGATTATTGCTGGATGATTGCCATTTTTATGTTAGTCATACTCCCATGATGATGGGGGAATTCACCATAAATCTCGCCCATGAATCCATTGATCTTCCAAGTGTACTACATGTACTCCCTACATTTGTTTACCCTATGGATTGTAACAATGGTTACTATCCCACGTGAAGTCCCATGAATCCATGGCCTTCACCGGCGCCTTTTCCAACCTTTTCCATCGTCAGGTGCTCCGTGCCTTCGTCCGACCGGCGCACCTCGATTCCCTGACCTTCACCCTGCAACCTGCAACTTGCCACGCAACGTGCTATGCTGCTATCCCCAACATGGGATGGGTAGTTTACCCTCTGGTTCATAATGGTTAACCATGGTTAATGATGGTTAATGATGGTTAATAATTGTTAATCATGGTGATTCATGATGATTACTGATGATATAATGGGATATTAGACTGTTAGATAACTATTAAAAATGGCCATAGAAATAGTTGATTTACCGAACTTAGACATGGTGAGTTTCCAGTTCGCTATGTAAACGTTTACCAGAGGGTAATCCTTTAATCTCTTGCTATAAGTGGGAATATCTACGTTCACCAGCTAAGAGTTTTTTTTGGGCATATCTAAGATTGGCAATGAGATTATCTAAGTGTTTGTTGATGACTTGAAGTTTAATGCCAGATAGGATGTCAGAAGATATGTCAGATAGAATGCCAGAAGATATGCCAGGTAGAATGCCAGAAGATATGCCAGAACATATGCCAGAAGATATGCCAGGTAGAATGCCAGAAGATATGTCAGATAGAATGCCAGAAGATTTGCCAGTAACAAACCGATAAATGTCATGGTGGGGATCACACGAAGTAAAGTAATTTTGCTGAGAAAATCATCGAACGAAAGTTTGGGCGGAACCTCACAAAAGTGTTTCACAGTTGAACTGCAAATCTTCTGGCATTCTATCTGGCAAACATTCTGACACTTTATCTGGCATACCTTCTGGCATTCTATCTGACATTCTATCTGTCATACCTTCTGGCATGCTATCTGGCATATTTTCTGGCATATGTTCTGGCATATCTTCTGGCATTCTACCTGGCATTCTATCTGGCATATCTTCTGGCATATTATCTGGCAAATCTTCTGGCATTCTATCTGGCAAACATTCTGGCACTTTATCTGGCATATCTTCTGGCATTCTATATTCTATCTGACATTTTATCTGGCATATCTTCTGACATTCTATCTGGCAAATCTTCTGGCATTCTATCTGGCAAACATTCTGGCATTCTATCTGGCATATCTTCTGGCATTCTATCTGGCATATCTTGTGGCATTCTATCTGGCATATCTTCTAGCATTTTATCTGGCATACCGTCTGGCATTCTATTTGACATTCTTTTTGGCGTTCTATCTGACATATCTTCTGGCATTCTATCTGGCATATCTTCTGGCATTCTACCTGGCATATCTTCTGGCATTCTATCTGACATATCTGCTGGCATATCTTCTGACATCCTATCTGGCATTCTATCTGGCCATTCTATCTGGCATTCTATCTGGCAAACATTCTGGCACTTTATCTGGCATATCTTCTGGCATTCTATCTGACATTTTATCTGGCATTCTATCTGGCATATCTTCTGGCATTCTATCTGACATTTTATCTGGCATTCTATCTGGCATACCTTCTGGCATTCTATCTGGCATTCTATCTTGCATATCTTCTTGCATTCTATCTGGCATATCTTATAGCATTCTACCTGGCATATCTTCTGGCAATCTATCTGACATTCTATCTGGCATATCTTCTGGCATTCTATCTGGCCGTTGAGGTCCAGCGGTGCGCACTGAGCTCGAGGTCCAGCGGTGCGCACTGAGCTGGGAAGGTCCCAGGTTGAGGTCCAGCAGTTCGCACTGAGCTCCAAAGTTGGCGAAGAGCATGGCCAAGAGTTGGCAAGGCAACAGTGGATGTGGAAGTGGAGGCAGAGGTGGTAGAAGAGGAGGAGGACGCGGAGGAGGAGAAGAACAACTCTGATAAAATCTAACAACCCTCACCTGGCAGGTGGAGAAAAAAACCTCAATGGGGATGTCCCAGCCATGTTTGAGGACACCACAGGGTACGAAGTCGAAATAGCCATAAACTGTATGCTCCCCCAATTCGTCATTACTTACCTGGTCTTTCACCACAGGAATCCTAAGTGGACTAGTTCACCCCAGTTATCCCCAGTTACAAATGGATTTTGCCCTGCTCTCATCAACGGGAGTGACATAACCTACTACTAACTTGGGTACACCACCAAGTGGATTTTAGATGTAGTTCCACTTTTCAGGGTCAAGTTTTTTGATTCAATTTTAAGGTTCAATTTTGTACGGCTGTCTGATTCTGTTTTCACACTTTTCAACTACCTGGCGCCTGCTCATCCATCTTCATCTGCCAAGGAAAATACCTAAAAAATGAGCGGCTGTGGAAGATATACTTACATCAGATATGTATATACAAAGGTTCCTGTAAGCTGGAATGGGGTACCCCCAAATCATCCATTTATAGATTCATTTTCCAATATAAACCATCTATTTTAGGGTACCATACACATGGGAAGTGGTGGAAATGTGGATAGTCTTGCCGTCGGAGGATGTCAGGTCACCAAGGTCATCGATTTTCTGACCCAACCAATGTCATTGTTAATATTATCCCGCCTTAAACGAATGTAATATATATGTATACACTCCTACAATCTCATATGCATATATATATATATGTATGTATAATATATATATATTCCCCAGGGATCAATATTACAATATCTTACAATACATCTTCAGACAATGCCAGTAATCGCAATCCCCCAGGTCTATGAACGAAAGATGGGCGTGAAATTCATCTGGGGTGAAGTGAAGGAGCTCAACGGGGACTCTTGGTGTTTTCGGAAAACTCTGACCTACGGGACGGGACGGTTGGAATAAGATGGAAGAGTCATCTTCTCAAAAAATGGTGATTTAACCAGCAAACATAGGAATTCAACTAGCAAGCATGGTGATTTAAGCATGAAAGGGCTTGCATCGTCCACCAACGGACAATCAGAAGATATGAGAAGTGCGGAAATGCCCGGGCTTGCGGCGGGTTGGATTTTGCACAGTTAAGACACGGTTTGGACTGGACTGGAAATCCGCCATGGTTTAAAGGAAAATCATATGTTTACCCGCATTGTTTCTACTTCAATGTTTTAGTTTTACTAGAAAATGACACCCCAAAAAACAATCGAACCAGTTTTTCCTTTCGTTTCAAAAATACCACCCGAAACGAGACTCAACGGTGGCATGTATTGGATTGAATCTTGTGGGAATGGGATGAATATGATGAATCATTAATCACAAACTGGTTGGTGGTTTGGAACATTTTTCCCATATATTGGGAATTTCATCATCCCAACTGACTTTCTTTTTTTTCAGAGGGGTAGGTATACCACCAACCAGCAAATCGTTGGAGCCACGTTACAAAGCCCGAAAGCGTATCCTTATGTATTGAGGATCGTAAGACGGCCTCCATCAAGCCCATTTGCTCTAACAACATGGAGGAGTCCCTTGGTGATGGGAAAAAGGCTTGTGTTTCACCAGCAAAAATGCTGGGATATTGCTGTGATTGGGATTTGTTGAAGGATATTGTGACTTAACCAGCAAGAATCTCGAAACATCCAGAATTCACCAAGAAAATGTGAGATTTATGTGTGATTCATTCATGGTAAGTTGGGTTAATTCACTAGACTAGCGGACTAGCGAATCGTTTTATGGTATGCGCAATGAACTGATTATATACATGGGGTTTCAAATCCAACGATCATAACTGGGAGGTACCTACTTGTATTAAAAAAACAATATGGATCAATATGATGGTATAATTATAATTTAGTGATGTAAGCACCCAGCTGATGAGTTTTTTTTAAACATCCAACATGAACTTGAATTGAAACAACACAATTCTAGGGATGTAAACCACCAATTTTATGCTGACAAATGCAGCTGATGGCTGAGAAAATTTGGGGGCCCATGTCCACCCCTGAGTAGGGATTTGGTTAAATCGTTTTTTTGGGATCCAAAACGAAATGTCATTCCAATATCCAACCTTTGTGTTGGTGATTTTTTTGTTGGTGGTTTGGAAACTCATTATTTTCTTGCTTTTGAAACCAAACCTACAATTACGCTTAACCATTGGTTGGTTGATAACATCTCTTAACCATTGGTTGGTTGATTTTTTTTGGTTTATAGCCCCTTCCCCTGAAATATATATATATATACATCACAGTAAATACCCAGCCAGACGACTTGGTATAGTACAATGGGGATCCAATCCTTTTTCGTGTCCCATGCACCATTAATAATTAATTACACCCCCTTGTCAGTGGTTGTTGGTGGTTAAAAGAGAATATTAATTCAATGTCCATTTCAGGAACCTAAATTGGAGGTACCTACCATATATAAGGCCTATTGCCCACAAAATATGGCCTTATATGGTACAGGATCCTGAAATTCCCATTGATTAATGGATCCAATGATCAACCCCCAAATTTTGAGATGATCAATGGATGGGATGAGACCCTGACCGGACCCTACCGGCCTAGGGTTGGCTTCGACTATTGCATCATTTGCTCCGGTTGCAACTTCGGACCTTTCAAGTGCACCGACCCGGAGGGGGATCAGGGTGAAAGATTTGAGATCCAAAAATTGGTAATATCATCATCCCCAACCATAGCCCAAGATGCGCGAGTATCAGCCCAACTCAGGACTTGTTTGATAAATCACCCCGTTTGTGGGAGTACTACCGTAGGTGGACGAACTATTCATAACCGTGTATACATCCTGAGCCCGCTTCCGCCGAAATTTCAATCTTATTGGTGTCTGCAAAGCAAGGCCGCAAATGAACGAAATAAATCAAACCCCTGAGGACTGACATGGAGACATACAACAGCAACATCGAAGTTCAGGGGGCCTGGGGAAAATTACAGATTATGCATCTGGGGTTTGATTAATTTGTCCATCTACTTGTAGGTCAATCTTGGATGGGTAGTTTAATCCTTTAATCTTGTGCTATAAGTAGGAATATCTGGTAACCAGCTAAGAATTTACTTTTTTGATCTTTTTTTTTGCAAGGTATCTGAATCTAAGATTGGCAATGAGTATTGTATGCCTAATTTCAAACGCATAGATCTGGGCTTAAATTATAGTGACCTCGCTGTGACCTCATGGTTACTAAGAGATGCCCTCTGGATCCCTCTGGTAATTTGTTTCATAGCTATTGAAAATGGCCTATTTATAGTTGATTTACCTCTTGTTTCAGTGGAGATTTTCCAGTTTGCAATGTTAGTCTACCAGTGGACCAGAGAATAATCATGTGCAACTATTAAAATCCCTCAATATAATGGCATATAACCATCTATAATGGGATAAAACGTGATATTACCATCTATAATCGGATAATGGTCCTTAATAGGTTAGTAAGGGACTATCATCCCCCCCAGGAGGCCCAACATTTTGCCATGTGTCGTCGCATGTCGTCGCCAGGCCCATGGGTGAGTCCTTGTGGTTCCCCACTGCTCCTTGGCCTTGGCAGAATACCAGGTGGATAGATTTGTATTTTCCATTAAAGACTATATATAGTCAAATGGTAGTAACAGTAATATGTCCCCATTTAGCAAACAGTAATGATAATGATGGATTTGAATACAACTGTCATATAGTATCATTATAGATTGTAGATTACATCATCGATTTCATAGACTGCTGGGAAAAACAAAACATGCCCTTCTCCATATGATATATCAATATATCATATATATATATATATCTATAGTTATGGAAGATATATCTATGCCATACAATCAAAACATGCCCTTCTCCCTTCTGCTTCATTTTTCAGGTGCACGAAGAGGCCCGAGGACATTCGGATTGGAAGCACATCGACGAGCGCTACTTGGAGGGCCGCCGTCGCCATGTGCTGGAAGAGTCTCGCGGCGTGATGCTACCGTCATAACTACCGGTGTTGGCTCGTAACAGCCTCTGGTTATGTCATAGAAAAAGCTATGAAAGCCATGGCCCATTTATAGATCGTTTACCCATGAAAAATGGTGATTTTCTATAGTTAGCCTCTGGTAAATTGAGGTTTTATATGGGAATTTATGGGAAAATCTATGGGAATATATGGGGATACCCGGCCTGGTAAACAGTCATACAAAAAACGATTGCAAATGGCCATAGAAAGTTCGTTGATGAATCCCTATTAAAATTGGTGATTTTCCATAGCTATGTTAGTTTACCGGAGGGTATAACTGCCTGTTAATGATTTAAATAACCTTAGTTACAGGAGTTACAATCCCGTTTATAACTGAGAACTATAACTGGATGGGTACTTACCCTCCAGTCAACAAACAAAAAGCTATGGAAGCCATGGCCTATTTACAGATGATATACCTACTAAGAATGGCGATTTCCCATAGCTATGGGTAAGTGGGTGAGTTGTTTCAGTAAATGAGCAAGTTTAAGAAATACTAACTAGCTTATTTCTATCATGATGTGGGTCTGAAAATCGGTACCCCCAAATCCAGTGTTTAAGATACTGTATTTTTCGCAATTCAAACGCTAATTTGGGGTATACATCATCTTTAGACTCTCACGTATACCCTCCAGTAAAATAACACTATATGGATCTATATGGAACCCCCACGGTTTTCCAACGAAAATGATCGACACCCATGGGTTGTCCATTTCTACTGTCATTGATTGAAGGATGACACAGATCTTTGTCAGCCCTGCATGTTGGCTCACTGGGTCCCATCAGTTGCTGGTGCCTTTGAAGGACATCCCAGTTACGCCCAAATTCCCCAGCTTCCCCCTTTGGGGCCCGCCCAGGTACCAGAAGTTGCATGATCTCAACAAGCGCCTGGGTTGGAATCAGGGAGGTTCTCCCCAGCTGGTTCTCACTGTTGCACCGGTCATGAAGGCTATGTTCAAAATCCGGCTCAGAACTGTTACTGGTTGGTGGTTTCAAAGATTTGTTATTTTCCATAATATATATTGGATGTCAATTGTCATCCTTCCCATTGACGAACTCATATTTTTCAAGATGGTTACTGCACCACCAACCAGTGTTGCTTGGGTAAATCATGATCATGACCAGGGAATCCCAAGAAATCGATGGCCGCTGCCGAAGTTCTATACGTATGTTACGTTTGTTTAAGACATGTCTTGCGTATGAAGGTAGTATTGCGTATATGATACACGTAGCAGCTATACGCATACATATATACATATGCATATACGTATACATATACATATACATGAACATATACATATACGTATACGTATACGTATATATATATATATATTTACATATACATATATATACATATGCATATACGTATACATATACATATACATGAACATATACATATACGTATACGTATACGTATATATATATATATATATATTTACATATACATATATATACATATGCATATACGTATACATATACATATACATATACATATAATAGATATTTATATCTATATATGTATAAATATATATATATGCGTGTGTATGTGTATGTGTTTGATTGGGCTGGGCCAGCTGCTGGCCTTCGGCTCTCGGTGAATTCTTTCTCAGGAAGCAGTCCACGGTTTTGATTGTGGGCGCCGGCTTCATTGGACACCTGGTTGCGAATGGATTTGGGGTCCTTTCTTGGTGTCAATGATGAGTTTCCTTGCTGGTTGGTGGTTTGGAACATTTTTTATGTTCCATAATATATGGGATAATCCTTCCCATTGACGAACTCATATTTTTCAAGATGGTTTTTTAATCACCAACCAGCTTGGTTCCCCGTTGCAAGTCACTGATTCAACCAATAAGAGGGCGAATGCAGAATGAAATTGAAAGTTTCGAGAAAGTTCTGGGATTCCCAGCGTGTTTTGGGAAAAGAATTGCAGGTAACAGCGCCCTAAATTTGATGGCCAAAAGATGCAGGAACGGAGGGTTTTTGGCGTGTCCCCTCCTGGAAACCAATTTGGTTCTGGTTTGGACCGCCCAATTGAGCTGCTGGTTTCAAAAAATACATATCAACAGCAAACCACCAAAACATACCAAAACTATTGTTTCAAGAGTTTTCAATCAATCACCGGTTAAAAAATTGGCTTTGAGAAGTCCAAAGGGCTTTAGTTGTACACCAATAGTCAGTTCGTTCATTCTGTTTTAAATCCACTCTTTAGACATCATTAATTAGTTGGTTCTACCTTCTTGGCAGGTGCTCAAACCTTCTGTTTACACATGATCAGTTGGAATAGGAATGCCATTTGTTTACACATCAGCCGGTTCAACCCATTTGCATACAGTAAGGTTGTTTGAAGTCAAATCATTTTTCTCAAGTTGTTTTTCAGTCACTACCTTCGTGCAATCAAATCTACTATTAATCCACGAGTTGTACGAGTTGTTGATGCGAGGTACTAAAAGTCATAGCATCGCTGGCTGATGGATTTATCTTTTTATGTTCGCCGCTACGGTTAAGATTGCCATTCGCATATTTTGGGGGTGGGTGGTTCAACCACCAGCAAACCATTCCAACATTTGCCAATTTGGAGGGGGTTGTACACCTACAATGTATAGCTACAAGGGGATTAACTATAGCCATTACAGCTGCTGATTTTATTGAACCAACAGCTGATTCTTGCTTAATCTTGCTTATGTTTTTCTGCGGTACCAATACGTGGTAACATCCCGATTTTGGGTCATGATATTGGTCTACAATGTAATTTAAGCATGCATTACTTAAGTTTAAAGTATAATTACTACATATTCTGGTCGGTGGTTTCAAACATTTTTTATTGTCCATAATATATGGGATAATCCTTCCCATTGACTAATATTTTTCACAGGGGTTGAAACCACCAACCAGTTTAAAGTATACTACATATTAAGTCACATCAAATGTGACTTACCCTCGGCTACTTTCACACAGCTATTGGCGATATTGACCTGGTTTAGCCTATTAAACATCTTTAAAAAATGTGAGTTTCCATAGCAAACTGACAGAAATTAGGAGATATCCCCGAAATAAGATGGCTTAAAGCCCCATTTTCCCCATTGAAATCGCCATTTGAGCCATGTATATAACTTTCACAGTGTGTTGATGTAAAAAACCACTGTTCAAAGCTTCCAGCTGGCTGCTGACGGATTCAAATAGCCCTTTTCTCACTACAAGATCCCCAAATCATCCAACAAAATCGGCTTCGCCAGCCTAGATTGCCTAGAAAAACCTTAAACTTTCATAAACTGTCCCTATCAAAATGGCTTAAAAGCCCCACACTTGGTGGCTCATCCCACTTAGTGGGTTATAACGTGTTATAACCCCAGTTATAAATGAGATAAGTAGGGTTAATCCACTAAAAAAACTGGGGTTATAACCCACTTACGAGCCGTGGGATGAGCCACCAAGCATTGTCCTTATCAAAATGGCCACCCCTGCGACGACATTTTGATGGATCATCCCACCGTGGTGACCGTGGTCCGTGGCAGGCGTGGAATGGGCAACCGAGCTGGAGCACTTCTTCCCGCAGCTACTGGGTGCTCTCAAAAGCACGGGTATTTTATTTTGAAAATTCACAATATATATATATATTAATGTACATATATATATATATGTATACATGTGTGTGTGTGTGTGTCAAGCTCTGTACCGAAGAGTTCCTCACTTTTTGCGGCTGATTTCAACCAACTAGTTTTTTTAACTGCTTTCTTCCATAAATTATGGATACCATTGCACCTTAATTCACAGCAGGGGGCACAAGGACCTTTGGTGAGTCTTGTGCCAATGAAGACGCTCACCTTAGGTTGTGAAAACGTACCTGCATGATGCACCTGGATGACATACCCAATATGTTGGGGTCATAGCTGGTGGTCATATTCGTATCTGTTAGTACTTTATGGGATCAGGCTAACCCAAGAACCTGCATGCCGTCATTCAGTCATTTCATGATCACTTTTGATTGAGCCGTATTGGTTTCTCTTTTAAACAACCTGACATTCAAATGTCAACGGATAAGCTTGGCCTTTTTAACTCGGTATGGCCGAGTGATGCCTTCAATCTACCATGAGGTAATCAGACTTTGCATTCATGAAAAGAGACCGTCTTTCATGACTTCGCAAGTGTGTATTTCGGCCGTGGGATCTGTCAAAGTCCGGTCGTGATCCTGGAATTCCAGGCGTCGTATCTCCCCTGGGAGTGCGAGAATCCACAAGTGAATTTGACTCTTGAATTCAGCCACGGTGGCTCATTGCAATGATTGAACGTGTGTCTCTGACACAAAGCGTGCATTTGAGAGAATAGATCCCGGTATGCTATCCGGCAAAAATAGCTTGAATCCACTGAGTTTGAACTTGAATTTGACTTTTGACAATTTTGGCGACTGATAGTCACCAATAAGATGAATTTTCTGAATTCCACACTTGAAGCCTCAGCATTGAATTCCAAATGGATGAATTGTGTTTGTACACATGAATGCCTTTTGGTGTACAGTTGAGCAAGCAACAATACGTTATCATTTGTTAGTTGTCTAACTGATCAATCCTTGTACAGTTAGCAAGTTGTCATATTAGACAACACATTTTCCATTTTCCTTTCTCTAGATTTCTGAGCCATGTCGACTCCGGTGTATAATGTTTATTTTGTGGCCGGCAACGTGGACCCGACTCCACCTCGGCCACCCAAGGCACCGGCGAAGCCAGCAGTAAGACTGGCATTGACACCACATGCTCCTCCAGCAACTCCGGTAGTAGCCCCAGCCGCAATTCCAGGAACGATCTCCGTACCTCGTCGACCGTCAGCAGTCCAACCTCAGGTGCCGGTTGGAACAGATGATGACAAACAGGAAAGACGCACAACATCAAGTTGCTCCAGATCCAGAACAAGACGTCGTCATCGAGCATCCCATCACCGTCACCATCATCGTGATCACCATTCTCTGAGGTCCACTTCGAGATCTGAAAGAGGTAGGTCAGTTAGAACGGCTCTTTCTTCTTTCTCTCAAGCTCTCCGTCCTCCACCAGGTCAATGGGACATTCATACTGGTCTTTGGGACCCGTATGTTGGAAACATTCCTCCCAGAGCGCATGTTCTTCCTCCCAGAGTTCCTGCTCCTCCTCCCTTGAGACCGTTTTCAGCCTTCCCTCTAGTGGAGGTCGACCCACGTGTACAGCGGACTCACTTTTTCACAGCACTTGGTGTTGTATGGCGCCAAATCAGGGGCGCTGGAATAGGAAGTCAGATTTCTCCAACACTTTCGAACTTGGCCGTGACGCTTATCGAGAGACCGTGGAGCAGTACCTATCAAGAAGTTCTGACTCGACCAAATTTTCATCATCTTGCAATCAGGTACGTCGACAGCCGTTTTGTCATTGTACAGAAGCACCATCTTCAGGCTCCAGTGTTCAAAGTGTTTACAGACTTGGACTTTTATGGTAGTCCAGTCGAACTGGAGCTGGTTGCCGACAATTTTACTTCTCGGCTTTTATGTGGATGTTTCTGAAAGAACAATCATTTCAGCCGGAACCCTCCGATTGCGTTTGAGCGGACTGAAGAGTCGAGCTCATTTAATTCGTGAATATTCATTTCCGTCCTGTCAAGCACAGAGTTCGTTGCACGCACTATCTCGGTTATATGTACAGAAAGGCTTCGCTTTGTCAGATATTCACAGCGCGTTGTGGCCGACAAATACCAGCGGCGATAGGCCTTTGTGTGTAGGGTCAACCCCTGTTTCCAAGGGATTTGCGATTTTTCTGTTTTTCAGTTTTTCAATTTTTCAGTTTTAAGGCAGGGGGTCGACCCACGTGTACAGCGGACTCACTTTTTCACAGCACTTGGTGTTGTATGGCGCCAAATCAGGGGCGCTGCAATAGGAAGTCAGATTTCTCCGACACTTTCGAACTTGGCCGTGACGCTTATCGAGAGATCGTGGAGCAGTACCTATCAAGAAGTTCTGACTCAACCAAATTTTCATCATCTTGCAATCAGGTACGTCGACAGCTTTATTGTCATTGTACAGAAGCACCATCTTCAAGCTCCAGTGTTCAAAGTGTTTACAGACTTGGACTTTTATGGTAGTCCAGTCGAAATGGAGCTGGTTGCCGACAATTTTACTTCTCGGCTTTTATGTGGATGTTTCTGAAAGAACAATCATTTCAGCCGGAACCCTCCGATTGCGTTTGAGCGGACTGAAGAGTCGAGCTCATTTAATTCGCAAATATTCATTTCCGTCCTGTCAAGCACAGAGTTCGTTGCACGCACTATCTCGGTTTTCCGACAAATACCAGCGGCGATAGACCTTTGTGGGTAGGGTCAACCCCTGTTTCCAAGGGATTTGCGAATTTTTCTGTTTTTCTGTTTTTCAATTTTTCAGTTTTAAAGCAGGGGGTCGACCCACGTGTACAGCGGACTCACTTTTTCACAGCACTTGGTGTTGTATGGCGCCAAATCAGGGGCGCTGGAATAGGAAGTCAGATTTCTCCAACACTTTCGAACTTGGCCGTGACGCTTATCGAGAGACCGTGGAGCAGTACCTATCAAGAAGTTCTGACTCAACCAAATTTTCATCATCTTGCAATCAGGTACGTCGACAGCCGTTTTGTCATTGTACAGAAGCACCATCTTCAGGCTCCAGTGTTCAAAGTGTTTACAGACTTGGACTTTTATGGTAGTCCAGTCGAACTGGAGCTGGTTGCCGACAATTTTACTTCTCGGCTTTTATGTTGATGTTTCTGAAAGAACAATCATTTCAGCCGGAACCCTCCGATTGCGTTTGAGCGGACTGAAGAGTCGAGCTCATTTAATTCGTGAATATTCATTTCCGTCCTGTCAAGCACAGAGTTCGTTGCACGCACTATCTCGGTTATATGTACAGAAAGGCTTCGCTTTGTCAGATATTCACAGCGCGTTGTGGCCGACAAATACCAGCGGCGATAGGCCTTTGTGTGTAGGGTCAACCCCTGTTTCCAAGGGATTTGCGATTTTTCTGTTTTTCAGTTTTTCAATTTTTCAGTTTTAAGGCAGGGGGTCGACCCACGTGTACAGCGGACTCACTTTTTCACAGCACTTGGTGTTGTATGGCGCCAAATCAGGGGCGCTGGAATAGGAAGTCAGATTTCTCCGACACTTTCGAACTTGGCCGTGACGCTTATCGAGAGATCGTGGAGCAGTACCTATCAAGAAGTTCTGACCCAACCAAATTTTCATCATCTTGCAATCAACCAAATTTTCATCATCTTGCAATCAGGTACGTCGACAGCTTTATTGTCATTGTACAGAAGCACCATCTTCAAGCTCCAGTGTTCAAAGTGTTTACAGACTTGGACTTTTATGGTAGTCCAGTCGAACTGGAGCTGGTTGCCGACAATTTTACTTCTCGGCTTTTATGTGGATGTTTCTGAAAGAACAATCATTTCAGCCGGAACCCTCCGATTGCGTTTGAGCGGACTGAAGAGTCGAGCTCATTTAATTCGTAAATATTCATTTCCGTCCTGTCAAGCACAGAGTTCGTTGCACGCACTATCTCGGTTTTCCGACAAATACCAGCGGCGATAGACCTTTGTGGGTAGGGTCAACCCCTGTTTCCAAGGGATTTGCGAATTTTTCTGTTTTTCTGTTTTTCAATTTTTCAGTTTTAAAGCAGGGGGTCGACCCACGTGTACAGCGGACTCACTTTTTCACAGCACTTGGTGTTGTATGGCGCCAAATCAGGGGCGCTGGAATAGGAAGTCAGATTTCTCCAACACTTTCGAACTTGGCCGTGACGCTTATCGAGAGACCGTGGAGCAGTACCTATCAAGAAGTTCTGACCCAACCAAATTTTCATCATCTTGCAATCAGGTACGTCGACAGCCGTTTTGTCATTGTACAGAAGCACCATCTTCAGGCTCCAGTGTTCAAAGTGTTTACAGACTTGGACTTTTATGGTAGTCCAGTCGAACTGGAGCTGGTTGCCGACAATTTTACTTCTCGGCTTTTATGTTGATGTTTCTGAAAGAACAATCATTTCAGCCGGAACCCTCCGATTGCGTTTGAGCGGACTGAAGAGTCGAGCTCATTTAATTCGTAAATATTCATTTCCGTCCTGTCAAGCACAGAGTTCGTTGCACGCACTATCTCGGTTATATGTACAGAAAGGCTTCGCTTTGTCAGATATTCACAGTGCGTTGTGGCCGACAAATACCAGCGGCGATAGGCCTTTGTGTGTAGGGTCAACCCCTGTTTCCAAGGGATTTGCGAATTTTTCTCTGTTTTTCAATTTTTCAGTTTTAAGGCAGGGGGTCGACCCACGTGTACAGCGGACTCACTTTTTCACAGCACTTGGTGTTGTATGGCGCCAAATCAGGGGCGCTGGAATAGGAAGTCAGATTTCTCCGACACTTTCGAACTTGGCCGTGACGCTTATCGAGAGATCGTGGAGCAGTACCTATCAAGAAGTTCTGACTCAACCAAATTTTCATCATCTTGCAATCAGGTACGTCGACAGCCGTTTTGTCATTGTACAGAAGCACCATCTTCAGGCTCCAGTGTTCAAAGTGTTTACAGACTTGGACTTTTATGGTAGTCCAGTCGAACTGGAGCTGGTTGCCGACAATTTTACTTCTCGGCTTTTATGTTGATGTTTCTGAAAGAACAATCATTTCAGCCGGAACCCTCCGATTGCGTTTGAGCGGACTGAAGAGTCGAGCTCATTTAATTCGTAAATATTCATTTCCGTCATGTCAAGCACAGAGTTCGTTGCACGCACTATCTCGGTTATATGTACAGAAAGGCTTCGCTTTGTCAGATATTCACAGTGCGTTGTGGCCGACAAATACCAGCGGCGATAGGCTTTTGTGTGTAGGGTCAACCCCTGTTTCCAAGGGGTTTGCGAATTTTCTGTTTTTCAGTTTTTCAATTTTTCAGTTTTAAGGCAGGGGGTCGACCCACGTGTATAGCGGACTCACTTTTTCACAGCACTTGGTGTTGTATGGCGCCAAATCAGGGGCGCTGGAATAGGAAGTCAGATTTCTCCAACACTTTCGAACTTGGCCGTGACGCTTATCGAGAGATCGTGGAGCAGTACCTATCAAGAAGTTCTGACCCAACCAAATTTTCATCATCTTGCAATCAGGTACGTCGACAGCCGTTTTGTCATTGTACAGAAGCACCATCTTCATGCTCCAGTGTTCAAAGTGTTTACAGACTTGGACTTTTATGGTAGTCCAGTCGAAATGGAGCTGGTTGCCGACAATTTTACTTCTCGGCTTTTATGTGGATGTTTCTGAAAGAACAATCATTTCAGCCGGAACCCTCCGATTGCGTTTGAGCGGACTGAAGAGTCGAGCTCATTTAATTTGTAAATATTCATTTCCGTCCTGTAAAGCACAGAGTTCGTTGCACGCACTATCTCGGTTATATGTACAGAAAGGCTTCGCTTTGTCAGATATTCACAGTGCGTTGTGGCCGACAAATACCAGCGGCGATAGGCCTTTGTGTGTAGGGTCAACCCCTGTTTCCAAGGGATTTGCGTTTTTTTTTTTCCTGTTTTTCTGTTTTTCAATTTTTCAGTTTTAAGGCAGGGGGTCGACCCACGTGTACAGCGGACTCACTTTTTCACAGCACTTGGTGTTGTATGGCGCCAAATCAGGGGCGCTGGAATAGGAAGTCAGATTTGTCCGACACTTTCGAACTTGGCCGTGACGCTTATCGAGAGATCGTGGAGCAGTACCTATCAAGAAGTTCTGACCCAACCAAATTTTCATCATCTTGCAATCAGGTACGTCGACAGCCGTTTTGTCATTGTACAGAAGCACCATCTTCAGGCTCCAGTGTTCCAAGTGTTTACAGACTTGGACTTTTATGTTAGTCCAGTCGAACTGGAGCTGGTTGCCGACAATTTTACTTCTCGGCTTTTATGCTGATGTTTCTGAAAGAACAATCATTTCAGCCGGAACCCTCCGATTGCGTTTGAGCGGACTGAAGAGTCGAGCTCATTTAATTCGTAAATATTCATTTCCGTCCTGTCAAGCACAGAGTTCGTTGCACGCACTATCTCGGTTATATGTACAGAAAGGCTTCTGTTCACAAGATATGTGGACAACAGATTCATTTTGTTTGACCACCGTTTTCGCTCCGCACTGCCCATGCGAGTGCTTTCCGATTGTTTCTTTTATCAAGCGCCGGTGGAGTTGGAAACCGTCCAAGATGGTACACTCCTTGGGTTCACCATTGACGTAGTGCAACGAACCGTAAGGTACCAAGTACCTCCACTATGGGAAATTCGTCATCTCCATTCTGCTGGCAGCATGCGTCTCCGCTTGTCCGGACTAAAGTCCCGTGCAACCTTAATTCGCAGATACACGTTTCCCAAAGAATTTGTCCCTGATGATCTCAACCAACTCATTCAGCTGTATGTACAGAAAGGGTTCTCCAAAACAGACTGCCAACGCGTCCTGTACAGAAGGCAGTTCAAGCATACCTAACCTTTTGGCTGTGGCAAAAATATTTACTGACACGCTGATGAGGTTGCAAATGTTCCTCTGCGGTTTTTTCACAAATCTCTTGATGATGTCTTCCATTCTCGCCTTTAAAGGAATACAAGCCCGGCTACGTGCCTTTTTGTGTGTGTCAAGCTCTGTACCGAAGAGTTCCTCACTTTTTGCGGCTGATTTCAACCAACTAGTTTTTTAACTGCTTTCTTCCATAAATTATGGATACCATTGCACCTTAATTCACGGCAGGGGGCACAAGGACCTTTGGTGAGTCTTGTGCCAATGAAGACGCTCACCTTAGGTTGTGAAAACGTACCTGCATGATGCACCTGGATGACATACCCAATATGTTGGGGTCATAGCTGGTGGTCATATTCGTATCTGTTAGTACTTTATGGGATCAGGCTAACCCAAGAACCTGCATGCCGTCATTCAGTCATTTCATGATCACTTTTGATTGAGCCGTATTGGTTTCTCTTTTAAACAACCTGACATTCAAATGTCAACGGATAAGCTTGGCCTTTTTTAACTCGGTATGGCCGAGTGATGCCTTCAATCTACCATGAGGTAATCAGACTTTGCATTCATGAAAAGAGACCGTCTTTCATGACTTCGTAAGTGTGTTTATTTATTTGTTGATATTTATTAACATATGTATATGCATATGTGTGTGTACACCAAAATATGGATGAATTAGAATGAATCATATATGTTCTTTGTGCATGTATATGTACATAGTAATCACAAAAAATGGAAAGGTTATATATATATATATAGATATCTCAGTACTTTAGTTCCAATTTACGTTTCTATTTTGTCAGCATTGCTGTTATTATATGAGCAATGACCCAACCCCCTGTTGATCAGTGCGTGAGATGTTTTAGTCGGTGCTAAAAATGGATTCTTAAAATGGATTTAACCAGTACATATGGAGGATGTAACGGGCTAACCATCAAAGATTGTGATACAAATAAGAAATGACGGTTGATTGATGATCATTTATAGGGAGTTATGCTACCTGCTCTATTTATCTTTATTGGTGATGAGTAAGACCCCATATAAGAACGCCTATCAATCAGCCAGTGTAAATGGATGACCGAGGATTTTCACCACTGCTCATATGGCATGGGATTTCACTTGTGTTTGGAAGTGTTTCTCGGGCTTTGGAGAAAAACAATATGATTTTTTTCACATGCAAGCAAGTATAGTCACATACATCAATCCATGTGAATGTGTATATATATATATATTTACATACATACATACATACATACATACATACATACATCATATATATATACATGTACATGTATGTGTTCACAAGTATGTTTATATGGCATGTGTATGTGTGTGTACAAAAACAATTATGTTTATGGGTCAACACCAAACACCTCGGAATGAACCAAATTGGGCAGGTCAGTCAACATCCCCAACATCTGGCTGCAGTATAGCAAGCTCATTTGCTCCCCACATCCGCAATTTTGTTACTGTAATTTGATCATTTTTAACAATGACATTCCGGACAGTTCCTGCTCCTCCACTTTTGAAAAAAACATCTGAAAAATTCCACCAGTTTCCGCCAGATCATCTCAGATCTCTTCCCTTCCCTTACACTCTGGTAAACAAACATAGCTATTGAAAATGGCCATAGAAATAGTGGATTTACCCATGAAAAATGGTGATTTTCCAGTTCGTTACGGGACAGTTTACCAGATGGTAACAACGGCCCTCGTCCCAGGCTGAAGCTGACGATCATCGACTTCCTCCCCAGGTGCCTGGGTCCCCTGCCGGACGGCGCCGCCGAGTATTGCTCCGAATACATGTCCGCCTGTGGCATCAAGGCCGGATGGCGGCCCCCAAAGAATGGTAAGATGGTTATACAATGCTATATAAATGTGTATGTATATATATATATGTATATATCTGGTTGGTGGTTTGGAGCATGAATTTTATTTTTCCATATATTGGGAAAGTCATCATATATATATAAGTAGATGACATAAATAAATGTATATAAACATTTTATATATATATAATATATGATGTTTTCAATTGTTCAAGTTTGGGAATTCCATTTAAGAAGGCATGTTGTTATGATGGCTGGTAAGGACAGAAAGATGGGAGACCCAGCTCCTGCCGCATTTGATCAACCATGATCCCGATTGATGATGGATTTTACGCCTTAGAAACGGCCCGAAAGTGAAGAAGGGGATGCGGCAAGTTTCAGTTTTTTACACGCTGTGGAAACAAAAAAACTACGTCACGACGTCAACAGTTGTCAAGGACAATACTGGAGGCCAGCAGCACAGGGAAACAACCAACAAGACAGGTCAGTTGTGGTTGATGTTTTTTTCAGACCCTTTGGTCCCATCCATTCCTGATTACAATTCCAATCATTACAAACCCAAGCTGGTTGGTGGTTTGGAACATTTGGATGATTTTTCCATATGTTGGGAGTAATAACCCCAACTGACTAATATTTTTCGGGGGGTTGAAACCACCAACCAGATTACAAAATATTACAAACCCAAGTCAAGTTTGGACTCAAGCAGTAGTTGTGGACACAACCATATCATAAATCACGGAAAACTGGGACACAAAAAGCGGCCCAAAAACTGAAGCGTTTGGCCAACAGGAGTTCTACAACTGCAAGTACGATCCCAAGAATCCGGAATTTTGGAAGCAGATCGAGCTGCCCAACGGCACCTTGGGCAATGTTGCGAGGGTATGGAGGGACCGGGTCGCGTTTCAAAATGGTGGAGTTTGTGGCAGTTTTTTTTGGGGAACATGATGCCCAGCTAAGAAATATGATTGAAGCAGGGCATCTAAGATTACCCTTTGGTAAACAAACATAGCTATTGAAAATTGCCATTTATAGTTGATTCACCCATGAAAAAAGGTGATTTTCCAGTTCGTTGTGCGACAGTTTACCAGAGGGTAGCCTTTATCACATGGAATTGCAACAAAGCGCTGCTTGTTGGTGCCACAGTGGAGCAGTTGGGTGCTAGTTGGGACTGAACAATCATGAGCAGCGTGGTAAACCCCAAAAAAGTGAGAGAGGGGTTAACCATGGAAAATGGGTATTTAACCAGGAGCAACGAAGACTTTTTCTGGGATATATTCATGATATGTCATGATATTTCATGATATTGATGAGGAAACTCCTTTTTTATCCACCCCCAATGACTTGCCATAAAATGGTGGCCATCCCCGGGAAGAATCCGAGAGACCACATATAGCCAGATTGGCGCGTGAAAGGGGATATGTTTTCTGACCAACATGAAATTCTTAGGCAGGAATATTTAGCAAAGATCCACTCTGATGTTCGTAAATCATCATACCTCGTCGTCAATGTGAGAGAGAGAGAGTCGGCAATTGTAATGTTGGTCCACAATGTGTTTAAACCCAAAACCATGCACCATTCATTCCCGATGACTTACCATAAATGGAAGTTCCTAAGGTAGGGCTACCCCCAAATCATCCATGTGGTTTTGGCATTTTCCATGGAAATAGACCAAACATTTGAAATTGCTATTCCTATTTTAGGAAAGCCCCATTTATGGTTCTACAAAGCTCATTCCCAAAAAATGCGCGTTGTTCAGACCGCGCTTTAACAAACAGATCCAGGTGCGGATGAGATCTACGTGTGCATCGGCGTTAAGGCGCCACCAGGATAGATAGCCCGGATAGGCCTGAAAAACATGGCTACTTGGTGGCTTATCCCAGTTAAATGTTAGGAAGTAGATGAGTTCACCCCAGGAAGGTGGGATAAGTAGGGTTAATCCACCGTTAATAACTGGTGTAATCCGTAGATCAGTACCTGAAATGGCCATTGATACCACAATGTTTGATTTTCAGTGGTTTTGCAATCCATATTTGCTGCTAGTGCTGGTGCATGTATTGGTTTGTGAATATTTCAATAGTAACTCAACCCAGGAATCGCAACTGGTCAGTGATTCCATTTATACCCCCAAGCAAGTGACTTATCCACTACCTGATCTAAAAAAATGGATAATGTAGCAAAAAACAGTGGCACATATGACATATGACTTTGATATGACTTTCATATGACTTTCATATGACTTTCATCCATTTCATTCCATGTGTATTTTCGGCTTTTCCTTCACCCCACTGCCACCCCACTGCTACGGCAGCAACATCCTCCAGGCCTCCAATTACTTCATGCCGGCAGAGACGCTTTCGGACAAGGGACCAGGTGGCGGCGGTTGGATCCACTTCAACAAGCACATGCAGGTGCCGTCGGGTGCCGTGGAGGAGATGGCTGGCCCAAAACACCACGAAAAAATAGTGGTATCTATCAAGAAAAATGGTTAATATGATGGGGATATACGATGTCAAGCATATGTAACTATAGATTATAGTATGATACCAGTAGTGCCCTCACGAGGCAAGGCGGATGTTGCCTTAAAGATATATATAAGACCTTTCTCATCAATAGAACTTGCATGCGCCGTGTGCCAGCCAAGCCCGTGCGTGCATGCATTCTTCGAAAGTGGTGTCCTGCTTCACATGTCACATTTGAAGCTCCACTTCGCACTTCACGCTTCACACTCCACACTTCACACTCCACACTCCACACTTCACACTGCACGCTTCACACTTCACACTCCACACTTCACACTTCACACGCAACTTTACACGGAAAAACACAAGGTTTCGTGCTCCGGCTTCCTCCCCAAAAGAAAGCCCATGCAACATTCATGCAGCCATTACAATGCGTTTTACAGCATGACGTGGCTAACCCGCATGCATCTGCGCACATGGCAACACCAGATGGCAACAATCATGCAGCCATTCCAATACGATCTGCAACCACAGATTCAAGAAACGCGTAGAACTACGCACACAGGAACAACCACTCGTTGCAGAACACAGAGAGGAGGAACCGATTGAACTCGAAACGGTCCAAACCGCACCCGCCGCACACACGAGGTACCTTTCATCGCCGGCTGAAGCCACTTTACACAGAAAAATACAAGGTTTCGTGCTCCGGCTTCCTCCCCAAAAGAAAGCCCATGCAACATTCATGCAGCCATTACAAAGCAGTTTGCAGCATGACGTGGCTAACCCGCATGCATCTACGCACATGGCAACACCAGATGACAACAATCATGCAGCCATTCCAATCGCGATCTGCAACCCACAGATTCAAGAAACGCATAGAACTACGCACACAGGAACAACCACTCGTTGCAGAACACAGAGGAGGAACCGATTGAACTCGAAACGATCCAAACCGCACCCGCCGCACACACGAGGTACCTTTCATCGCCGGCTGAAGCCACTTTACACAGAAAAACACAAGGTTTCGTGCTCCGGCTTCCTCCCTTTCAAAAGAAAGCCCATGCAACATTCATGCAGCCATTACAATGCAGTTTGCAGCATGACGTGGCTAACCCGCATGCATCTACGCACATGGCAACACCAGATGACAACAATCATGCAGCCATTCCAATGCGATCTGCAACCACAGATTCAAGAAACGCATAGAACTACGCACACAGGAACAACCACTCGTTGCAGAACACAGAGGAGGAACCGATTGAACTCGAAACGATCCAAACCTTTCATCGCCGGCTGAAGCCACTTTACACAGAAAAACACAAGGTTTCGTGCTCCGGCTTCCTCCCCTTTCAAAAGAAAGCCCATGCAACATTCATGCAGCCATTACAATGCGTTTTGCAGCATGACGTGGCTAACCCGCATGCATCTACGCACATGGCAACACCAGATGACAACAATCATGCAGCCATTCCAATACGATCTGCAACCACAGATTCAAGAAACGCGTAGAACTACGCACACAGGAACAACCACTCGTTTCAGAACACAGAGGAGGAACCGATTGAACTCGAAACGATCCAAACCGCACCCGCCGCACACACGAGGTACCTTTCATCGCCGGCTGAAGCCACTTTACACGGAAAAACACAAGGTTTCGTGCTCTGGCTTCCTTCCCAAAAGAAAGCCCATGCAACATTCATGCAGCCATTACAAAGCGGTTTGCAGCATCAACTCGCACACTTGCACCTATCTACGCACGTGGCAACATCAAATGACGACAATGAAGCAGCCATTCCAATGCAATCTGCAACCAGGGATTCAAGGAACTGCATAGAACTACGCACACAGGAACAACCACTAGTTGCAAAAGACACACCACCCTTCATCAAAGTCAGTTCTTTTCTGATGTATTGCTATGTAGTGTAAAGTCTCACACCACCCTTCATCAAAGTCAGTTCTTTTCTGATGTATTGTTATGTAGTGTAAAGTCTCACACCACCCTTCATCAAGGTCATTTCTTTTCTGATGTACTGTTATGTAATATAAAGTCTCACACCACCCTTCATCAAGGCCAATCCCTTTGTGATGTATTGTTATGTAATGTAAAGTCTCACACCACCCTTCATCAAGGTCAAGTCTGAATCGCGCACCACCCTTCATCATTTCAAGTCTCAGAATTCTATTTGTCCGTAACACGGAAGTATTGCTTCCCAACTTCCTTTGATAATTGCCAAATATTACCAATACGGATTCAGGTGCCGTCACTGGGGGAAAATTGGCGACCAGATTCAGAAACCTGATGAATTAGGGGTACGCATCCAAATAGTGATAGCCTATGATTGTAAACAGCATACGGGCTTGTCAAAATCCACTCATTGTTCATTAATCTTTTCATCAATTTTCCTCGCCATATTTTGTAACAAAAACTAAGAGTAGTTGATTCACTGTGAGTAGCCTCGCCTTTTTAAACGACATTTTGGCGCCAGAGCTGGGTCCGGGAGTCCGGGCACGTGGCGCAGGTCACCAAAAAGCCGTCCTTGGGTGGAGCTGTCTGGGCTGATGGCTCCATCTACGCAGTAGGAGACTGCCACTGAGACAGAGCGAGTTGAGCTGGTGGAGTACGTTTTTGTGCATCTTGATATATAACGATATAGCTAGTTTATATTTTCTTGTTTGAAAGTTTGACATGATAATATTGCATATTATTATTATGGTTATTATCATTATTATTATCATTATTACTACTACTATTATCATTATCATTATCATTATTATTACTACTACTATTATATACATATATATATATATGTATATGCGTGTGTATTGTGATTCTATGACTAAATCTGTATTCAAACGGCAGTAAACTTAGGTATAAGTATGAATGCGCGACCACTGAGTGAAAATAGATTATATAGATATATATATATAATTATATAAATATATATATTATAGAATTTATATTTCCAAATTTGCACGTTCTGTAAAGTTCTATATATCCAATTGTCCAAACAATCATAGAAACACCCACCATTTCCAAACCGGGATCATATCTTGGAAACGTCACTTAAAGCGACCCTCTAGATCCAAGTCCCAAGTCGGGGGGTTACCACCAATCAAACCTGGAAGACCCGTCCGGAAAGATGACTTACATGATCTATGTATGTATGGAACATATTGGAGAAAATATGATATGATATGATATAATATTATATTATATTGTATGATATTATATATGTCAACTATTGGTACCTTTTAGGAAAATGGAAAATTCTCCAGCCAGGTTTCATCATTCTAAGGCTACAGCTTTTTGACAAAAAACGGGGCATCCCCAGATATCTCCAGGCAACTACGGATGCATCGGCGAGCCGGGCAAGTGGGAGATGCCTCCGGTTCCGACACTTTGGTTTTTGGAACTGGTTTCAACTGCTGAAAATGACGATGGGCTTCATATGGTGGTTTTGTCAAAATAAGGCTACCCCAAAATCATCATTTTTTCAAGATTTTCCATGAAATAAACCAATGCAATATAAACCATCTATTTTGGGGTACCCCCATGACTATGGAAACCTTCACATTGAAAGGGCTACGATCTCAGCTGGCTGAGGAAGATCTCCTATCCTGGAGAAGAGACGCTCGGACGGAGGGCCCCTAAACCATTGGGCTGACTATTTGCAATCCATGGGGAGAGAGAGAGAGAGAGAGAGAGGGAGAAGATAGTTATACATGCAATTATATATATATATATACATGTGTATATAGTTATATATAGTTATTTGGTCAACCCAGTGATAAAACCATCCCGTTTTTACCAAAAACAAGTTGTTTTTGAACCATCCAGAGTTGGAGATGTTGGAGGACTATTGGGTTGGCCAAAAATTCCATCAAGGGCTGATTGATTGCAGTTTCACCATGTTTCACCGCTTTGGATGGCGTTCCTGGTGTTTGGGATCTCCATCCAAATCTGCTGAACGTTCCTGGGACACCAAAAAAGAAAGATTGAAGTTCATCAGTTCATTCATAGGGTATTTTGATGTATTTTGGCTGCATCAACATGTCTGATTTTTTTTCAAAAACTACTTGGTACTTTGAAACCCAGTCGATTGGTTGAAGGGAACTTTTATAGGAAAACCATGGGTTTCCCGGGGTTTTCCAAGAAACAGCTGGTTGTTCCTCCGAATTGTCCCTTAAACCAATCCACCAATCCACCAATCAAAGGAGAAACGTTGAAACTTCTCAGCAAGTTGCGCGTTGAGGCAAGCCTACCACGCCTGCCTCAATGTGATGAAGATGGCCGATGGCAAGGCCCAACTGTTGGGGGAAAGAGTTTGAAGATGGGTCCATGCATACCATCAACTTGAGAAAGTACAAGCATTAGGTACACACATGATGTCCATACATATGAACCATGGGATAAGAAATGATGAAAACACACATGGCTTCCTGGAACGTGTTCCCCGAAACATCCTCAGCCAGGCCACCTCCGCCTAATGGATGTCGTTTTTGCTTATCCTCTGGTAATTTGTTGAAGTTTGCTATTGAAAATGGCCCATTTATAGTTGAGTTACCGCCTATTATTTCAATGGTGATTCTCCAGTTCGCAAACTGTTTGCTTACCAGAGGGGAAGATGATGTTTTCCCCATCATTTCCTGTCCAAACTCTTCATGCATAACTCTTTGGGGTGCTAAGTGGCCGATCATCCCAATTAGTAATCATGGCTTGCAAGTCCCTGATTTTTGTTTTACCCCATGAAAATATGGCTCATAACTACGTTTACATGCCCGTTACTTTTCCATTTGTTGATCCCCTATTGTTGGTGCATATGTCCCATTGTATCACCATCATCATGTCCCTATATATATATATTTAGATAGATACAAAAAATGTGTATATATATATAATTATGTTATAATGTTGACATTATCTGCAGGTATTAAGTGGTACGATCCTCCAAGTTATGTATAGCCAAGTTATATAGGACCCAATTCGATATAGCCACCATAAATATGATAAAATATCAAGACAGTTCATTAAACAAATCATCGAAAATCATCAAACATCTTCAACACACCGTTAAAATAATAAAAAATCCTTAATGGACAAACTTTCAAACATATCCAGAGAAGTGAGATGATCCTCCCTTTTTCGCCGGCACTTCCTTTCGCAGGACAACTTGGTGAAGACCTGGTGGCCATGGGGCGCTGGGATGTTCGCCACCAGTTTGGGCCCTCATGACGCCTGCGACCTGTCGGAAGTACGGCTGTCACTGCGGTTTTTTTTGGGGCGTTCCTAAGTCATGGGAGTGATAGCTGGACCGTTTAGAATGGAAAATCCGAAACAAAAATGGATGATGACTGGGGGTACCCCCATTTTAGGAAACCATATCAATTCATTCAGAATATTCATGAATATGCGGGATGACTTTCATTCGTAAATCATCTAATTCTGGATCATGTGGCAGATAACATCAGAGAACATGATCATTTGAAGCCCATCTTCAACTGAACTTATGGATGTCCATTTCGCTTGCAAAACAAACAACTGCCATCGAGGTTTTGTGGCTGGCGCCAACGAGAACAAGCACCTGGCCTCTAACCGTTAGATTCTGACCCAAAAAATCATATGAACATCACATGGACCGTCTTTGAAAAATGGACTAAACATCACATGATTTTTCAGCATCAAACTATGGGGATTTTTGATGATGTTTGAGTGGATATAACTGATTTGACAAATGTCGGCTCAGGGGCTACTGCAACCAGATTTTTGGGGATGATCACTGTCACTATCCATTGCTATCCATGATGGTTGATGATTTTTGTGCCGTTGCATTCGGATATTTTATGCTATGTGTGGATATCATAATTCTTGAGGATGCATAATGAGACATACGTATAGATATACATATATATATGTGTGTGTAATTATTAATGCTTATGCATATATATATATATGAGTATATGTTGCTGCAATGACTTATGAGGCTAAGTATGACTAAGTTGGGTTTATGGTAGACAATGGTGGATGGATCTATACACCAAAAATGAACCGATCCAAAACTAAACCAGGGTCTAAGATAGTTCTAAGAGTCTACAAATTTTGGTGAAGGGAGTACTGTTTTTATTGTTAGGTACATCAATCGTGCAGAGGTTGAGGAACTTATTTCTTTGAACAAAAACCCATGCATGGACAGCAGCTAGTTTCATGCTTTGGATATGTTTCTTTGACAAAAAACATCAAACTCATCCAGAAAAAAGGGATGCAGCCAGGATAGAATTGACGTCCCCTAAATTGGGCATTCTTACCTACACAAACATGTGTCGCTGTTTTCTTTGCGTCGCTGTGTTCTTGTTTGCGCAGCTTGGAGATGGATTTGCCGACCAAAGGGGGGGAAGGGCGGGAAAAAAAATTACTGAAGACAGAATTGCTCCAACCCATTGTGGGATGCACATGGAAATTTTCTAAAGAACAACAAGTCATGAAGGACAATTTTATGATTCAAAACTATTGTGACTTGGGGATTTTTGTGACTCCGTGACCCCCTTGGATTCCCTGGATATGGGATCTTAGGAACCGACCCCCCGCTGTGTCTCAGGAATTCCGGGTACATGGTGAATTGGTGGATCCCCGCAGCCTTGCAGAAGGAGATCATCGAAACCACCAAGATCGATGAATGCCGCGCCTGGGATCGACGCCTCAAATGACAGCTTGTTGATTGGTCAATGAGTTAGACTCAATGGTTATATAATGGTTATATATGATGTTGGTGGTTTGGAACATGTTTTTTCCATAATATATGGGATATTCCTTCCCATTGACTAATATTTTACAAGATGGTGAAAACCACCAACCAGCTATATAATGGTTATATAATGGTTATGATATCACCATAATTATGGTATACCCTCTGCTAAACTCTCTTAAAAAACTATTGAACATCCCCATTTTGAATTGGTAAATCAATTATAACTGGGCCATTGTCCATAGCTATGTTAAATTACCAGATGGTATGCTACCTGAATATGTTTGGACTACTAATATGCACTAACTGGTGGGGAAGAATATAAGTTCATACTCCTGGTTATAGTGGTAGGAACTACTAGCTATGCTACATGGTGGACTTCGGGATTAGTTTTACTACTCCATATGAATATGAATGGGAAGCCTATCAACCAAGAAGTATTTCATGAGATGAGAAAACCGAGTAGTTTTCGTTTTCATTGCTCATTTGGGAGCTGGGGACTAATTATTAGTATTGCCCCTGACAAAATAGAAAGGATATCAACATATTCGATTTACTTTAATTTACTGAACAATTGACATGCGTGATCATATTTATATGTACGATTATGTACGTATTTATATTTTATATATACATATATACAGTACGTAGTACGCAGTTGTATAGTCTAGATTCAATTACTTTAGATACATTTGATCTCATTAGATTTTTTTGCTGGTTTTGTTTTCAGTATTCAATCAGTTCCTTCCCCCAGGTCTCACTCATGGGAATGGGATGGTCACCAGATTTCATATTCGAGGTCAGAATGTGAAAATCGGATTGTTTTTCTGGGTCCCTGACTTCCCAAGGGTCACCTGTTTGTTTCCACATGTTTGGCAAATTAGATCCAAGTTAGATCCCCCATTGACAACTGACAACTTCCCAGAAAGGGTCAGTACCTCGCTTAGGCCTACGTTTTTTCTCGCTTAGGACTACGTCGGTGATATATGGCTACAGTCTCAATAGAAAGATATATCGATGTATTTGAACATGATTTCAAGAGGCTTGTACATGTGTGACAGAGATGATCATCAGGACATTGTCAATGAATCATATGCTGAAGAAGATGTTACAACGTATCAGGACCGTCTTGCAAGTTACTTACAGAAGATGTTACAACGTATCAGGAAAATCTGGCAAGTTACTTGAATGTAATGTTACAACGTATCAGGAACGTCTTGCAAGTTACTTGCAGATGATTTTACAACGTATCAGAATCCACCATGCTGGTCCCCTAAAACCACCCCATAGTGTTACCCTAAAGGTCTGTATTTCATGTTCTCTAATGTAATCCTGCATGCTGGTCCCCTAAACCCACCCCATGTCCCAGCCCCGTGTCCCCAAGTGTTACCCTAAAGGTTTGTAGATCATGTTCTCGCATGTAATCCAGTATGCTGGTCCCCTAAACCCACCTCATGTCCCAGCCCCGTGTCCCCAAGTCAAACCGTAAAGGTCTGTAGATCATGTTCTCTAATGTAATTTAGCATGCTGGTCCCCTAAACCCACCCCATGTCCCAGTCCCGTGTCCCCAAGTGTTACCCTAAAGGTCTGTAGATCATGTTCTCTACTGTAATTTAGCATGCTGGTCCCCTCAACCCACCCCATGTCCCAGCCCCGTGTCCCCAAGTGTTACCCTAAAGGTCTGTAGATCATGTTCTCCCATGTAATTTAGCATGCTGGTCCCCTGAACCCACCCCATGTCCCAGCCCCGTGTCCCCAAGTCAAACCGTAAAGGTCTGTAGATCACGTTCTCTAATGTAATTTGGCATGCTGGTCCCCTAAACCCACCCCATGTCCCAGCCCCGTGTCCCCAAGTATTACCCTAAAGGTCTGTAGATCATGTTCTCGCATGTAATTTAGCATGCTGGTCCCCTAAACCCACCCCATGTCCCAGCCCCGTGTCCCCAAGTATTACCCTAAAGGTCTGTATATCATGCTCTTGCATGCAATCTAGCATGCTGGTCCCCTAACCCACCCCATGTCCCAGCCCCGTGTCCCCAAGTCAAACCCTAAAGGTCTGTAGATCATGTTCTCGCATGTAATCCAGCATGCTGGTCCCCTGAACCCACCTCATGTCCCAGCCCCGTGTCCCCAAGTCAAACCGTAAAGGTCTGTAGATCATGTTCTCTAATGTAATTTAGCATGCTGGTCCCCTGAACCCACCCCATGTCCCAGCCCCGTGTCCCCAAGTCAAACCCTAAAGGTCTGTATATCATGTTCTCTAATGTAATCCAGCATGCTGGTCCCCTAAACCCACCCCATGTCCCAGCCCCGTGTCCCCAAGTCAAACCCTAAAGGTCTGTAGATCATGTTCTCTAATGTAATTTAGCATGCTGGTCCCCTAAACCCACCCCATGTCCCAGCCCCGTGTCCCCAAGTGTTACCCTAAAGGTTTGTATATCATGTTCTCGCATGTAATCCAGTATGCTTGTCCCCTAAACCCACCTCATGTCCCAGCCCCGTGTCCCCAAGTGTTACCCTAAAGGTCTGTATATCATGTTCTTGCATGTAATTTAGCATGCTGGTCCCCTAAACCCACCCCATGTCCCAGCCCCGTGTCCCCAAGTGTTACCCTAAAGGTCTGTAGATCATGTTCTCGCATGTAATCCAGCATGCTGGTCCCCTAAACCCACCTCATGTCCCAGCCCCGCGTCCCCAAGTGTTACCCTAAAGGTCTGTAGATCATGTTCTCGCATGTAATTTAGCATGCTGGTCCCCTAAACCCACCTCATGTCCCAGCCCCGTGTCCCCAAGTCAAATAACCCTAAAGGTCTGTAGATCATGTTCTTGCATGTAATTTAGCATGCTGGTCCCCTCAACCCACCCCATGTCCCAGCCCCGTGTCCCCAAGTCAACCCCTAAAGGTCTTAGATCATGTTTTCAAGTAATTTAGCTGCTGGTCCCCTCACCCACCATCCCAGCCCCCGTGTCCCAAGTCAAACCCTAAAGGTCTGTATATCCTGTTCTTGCATGTATTTACTGCTGGTCCCCTAAGTACCCATGTTCTCGCATGTCCCCGCCCCGTGTCCCCAAGTCAACCCTAAATGCTGGTTCCTAATGTAATTTGCATCGGTCCCCTCAACCCACCCCATGTCCCAGCCCCGTGTCCCCGTGTTACCCTAAAGGGTGTATATCATGTTCTTGCATTAATTTAATGCTGGTCCCCTAAACCCACCCCATGTCCCAGCCCCGTGTCCCCAAGTGTTACCCTAAAGGTCTGTAGATCATGTTCTCGCATGTAATCCAGCATGCTGGTCCCCTAAACCCACCTCATGTCCCAGCCCCGCGTCCCCAAGTGTTACCCTAAAGGTCTGTAGATCATGTTCTCGCATGTAATTTAGCATGCTGGTCCCCTAAACCCACCTCATGTCCCAGCCCCGTGTCCCCAAGTCAAATAACCCTAAAGGTCTGTAGATCATGTTCTTGCATGTAATTTAGCATGCTGGTCCCCTCAACCCACCCCATGTCCCAGCCCCGTGTCCCCAAGTCAAACCCTAAAGGTCTGTAGATCATGTTCTTGCATGTAATTTAGCATGCTGGTCCCCTCAACCCACCCCATGTCCCAGCCCCGTGTCCCCAAGTCAAACCCTAAAGGTCTGTATTTCATGTTCTCTAATGTAATTTAGCATGCTGGTCCCCTTTAAACCCACCTCATGTCCCAGCCCCGTGTCCCCAAGTCAAACCGTAAAGGTCTGTAGATCACGTTCTCTAATGTAATTTGGCATGCTGGTCCCCTGAACCCACCCCATGTCCCAGCCCCGTGTCCCCAAGTGTTACCCTAAAGGTCTGTAGATCATGTTCTCGCATGTAATCCAGCATGCTGGTCCCCTAAACCCACCGCATGTCCCAGCCCCGTGTCCCCAAGTATTACCCTAAAGGTCTGTATATCATGTTCTTGCATGTAATTTAGCATGCTGGTCCCCTAAGCCCACCCCATGTCCCAGCCCCGTGTCCCCAAGTGTTACCCTAAAGGTCTGTATATCAGGCTCTTGCATGCAATCTAGCATGCTGGTCCCCTAACCCACCCCATGTCCCAGTCCCGTGTCCCCAAGTCAAACCCTAAAGGTCTGTAGATCATGTTCTCTAATGTAATTTAGCATGCTGGTCCCCTGAACCCACCCCATGTCCCAGCCCCGTGTCCCCAAGTCAAACCCTAAAGGTCTGTAGATCATGTTCTCTAATGTAATTTAGCATGCTGGTCCCCTAAACCCACCCCATGTCCCAGCCCCGTGTCCCCAAGTCAAACCCTAAAGGTCTGTAGATCATGTTCTCTAATGTAATTTAGCATGCTGGTCCCCTAAACCCACCCCATGTCCCAGCCCCGTGTCCCCAAGTGTTACCCTAAAGGTTTGTATATCATGTTTTCGCATGTAATCCAGTATGCTTGTCCCCTAAACCCACCTCATGTCCCAGCCCCGTGTCCCCAAGTGTTACCCTAAAGGTCTGTATATCATGTTCTTGCATGTAATTTAGCATGCTGGTCCCCTAAACCCACCCCATGTCCCAGCCCCGTGTCCCCAAGTCAAATAACCCTAAAGCTCTGTAGATCATGTTCTCTCATGTAATTTAGCATGCTGGTCCCCTGAACCCACCTCATGTCCCAGCCCCGTGTCCCCAAGTCAACCCCTAAAGGTCTGTAGATCATGTTCTCTAATGTAATTTAGCATGCTGGTCCCCTGAACCCACCCCATGTCCCAGCCCCGTGTCCCCAAGTCAAACCCTAAAGGTCTGTAGATCATGTTCTCTAATGTAATTTAGCATGCTGGTCCCCTAAACCCACCCCATGTCCCAGCCCCGTGTCCCCAAGTCAAACCCTAAAGGTCTGTAGATCATGTTCTCGAATGTAATTTAGCATGCTGGTCCCCTAAACCCCAGCCCATATCCCAGCCCCGTGTCCCCAAGTGTTACCCTAAAGGTCTGTAGATCATGTTCTCTAATGTAATTTAGCATGCTGGTCCCCTAAACCCCAGCCCATGTCCCAGCCCCGTGTCCCCAAGTGTTACCCTAAAGGTCTGTAGATCATGTTCTTTAATGTAATTTAGCATGCTGTTCCCCTAAACCCCAGCCCATATCCCAGCCCCGTGTCCCCAAGTGTTACCCTAAAGGTCTGTATCCAATGGAGTTAACCCTGAAGATTGAAGTCCACATCTCAAAATGTTGTCCTAAGTGAGTGAAAAAGTCGTCCTAAGTGAGCCTTTGACACTATGGATCTCCACGAAACCAGGCGATCGTTGGATTGGCATTCTCATTTGGCACTTCGTTCATCACACGCCCGTGCACCTCTTCGGTCGCGGCCCTTGGTTCATCTGAGTTGGTAGACCTCGCTTCAGAATTTCTCGGTCTGGCCTGGTAGGCGTAAGGGCCTCAAAACGCGACGTGCCGGGCCTTTTGGGCTGATATGTTTTCGATGTTTTTTCCCAGAAAATAGATGGTTTGTTCAAAATAAACAAGGGAACGTTGAGAATTGCACTATCAAAAAACATGGTTGTAGGATGTTGTGGGTATATCAAATGGTTATGATGGAAGTCCCAGGCTGTTGCAGACTACCATGGTGTGATAACCATTCCATGTATGTTGATTCTTGGGATTGTTTATGATTAGGTTTTACACATGCATAGATATATCATGATTATATCAACTATATCCTATTTCTATTTATTTCTACCTATTACCTATACCTGAGTTTTGGAATTATCACATTTTCGTTTCTATTCTGGTTAGAACTCCCCAGCCCTGGCAGCGGCACATTTCGACAGACGCTTTCGGACGCGCGGTCGAGTTGTTGGTTCAAAAAAACACGTCTCTCCGACTCCATGCGGTGTCTCTCCTTGCATAGTCTAATAGTTTGCCATGGAAAATGGATGAACATGTCCCATTTAGTCATTTAGGTAAATTTACCTATTTAAAAATATTCAAAAAACGGTGTGGGACATTTCCAGCGTTATTGGTTGCCAAAAGGTATCCTTGGGTGGTTTTTTGAAATTCAGGTCAGCCTGTGCTGCAGACGCTGTTTGTCGGATTTTTACAACGGGGTTGAATAATTGTGGTCTTGCATTCACTTGCGTTGGGAACATGTTGCAATTTGACTTCACTTATCTCATATGTTTCAAACACCTCTTGGCCAAAGAAACACCACATGTGCGCATTAGTCATTGCACGTTCTTTTCAGTGGTCATGACCACTTCAAATATGTTGTACCTTTCTGGACCATGACGTTCTTAGCCTTGGATCCATTAGCAAAGCCATAGCCCAAGTACTGGAATGAGGCCTCCACTCAGGACATGGTTTGTGAGAGTGCTTTCAAAGAAAAGGGACACCAACTAGCGAACTTATAGCGAACTTATATCCACCATAATTTCCATCATTATCCACCCATGGTTGCTACATGTTGCTACCCGATTCAGTGCCAGCATTTCAGGATATGTTTGGTCACATGTTGGTTCGGTGATTTCCAGATCAATGTCAAGTGGGGGTTCGAAATCCGATCAACCACCTTTTTTTGGATGGTTGAAAGCCTATAAGTAATGGTGGTTTATCAACTGGATTTACGTTGGATTATTATTGTTGTTGTTATTATTATTATAAAGCCTATTTTTGATAAATAATGGGATGTTTACCATCTATCAACTGGTGATTGGGATTTTGCTGGCCCATCCACAGTATGTCAACCATGTGTGCGTTCGCTAGATCAACCAAAGGCAGCAGCTTCTCGCTTGCTTAGCTCGCAGGAGCCGTTCCGAACTGCGGTCGTCATTCGAAGAGCGTGGGAGCCAAGGAACCCAGGAAAAGAGCACCCTGCCAACAACACCCATTTGTGGATTCTGATAGATTATTATACGGGATATTCATGGGATTTCAATGGAACATAATAGATACATTGATCTACTTTTCATGGAATTTATGAATCAACTTGGAACATCATATTTACATATACATATACATATATATATATATGTTTATAATGTTTATATTATATATATATAATTTAATATATAATATAAATATTTTTATTTATGTATGTATACATATATTACACATATATAATATTATATTGCATTTGTTTTATTATTATATAGATATATATATTACATATTATATATATATTATACCATGATACCTAAATTTATCTATCCATATTTATCCTTTGGTAATCCTCAACGTAGCTGGAAAGTCTCCAACTGGATGCTACTGTAACTGGAATGGCGGCTGGTTGGAGCCAATAAATGATAATAAATGGGAAGCTGATTGGTAGTTTTTAAGCATTTTTCCCATAATATATGGGATAATCCTTCCCATTGACTAATATTTTTTCAGAGGGGTTAAAACCAACAACCAGCTAAGAAATGGGAAGGTGATGGAAGATGAATTCCGAAGAATAAGGTATGCATATACGTAACATGAATAAGGAATATATCATATATCATATATATGTATATATAACATGATACAACAGTATATAACCGATTGATGTGATAAAAGCAGTGTACCCAACTGCTTTGCGGGTTTAAAACGAATGCATCTACCCCCCCTGTATTGTTGCTCATATGCCCAGTTTAGTTGACGATATTCGCATTGATTTTGGTTGTTGCACTCTCGGTTCTTGGCAGATTCGCAGATGTTGTTACGCAGCTGCTCATGTTTGCCGACTGCGCCAAGTGTTCGCTGTTTAACACTCCATTTTTGTGATGTTCGGTTGGAGATACCCTCTGGTTATTTAACATAGCTATTGAAAATCAGAATTTTTTATGGGTAAATCATCTATAAATGGCAATTTTCAATAGTTGTGTTAGTTTACCAGAGGGTATCCTCCATTACTTTTGGCTTTTGCGACAATTTTCTTCGGTCAAGTTGGCTACCGAACATCACAGTCAACTATTCGCTGGTCAATTTACTCCGTTCATCCCGTGTCACTTGACCATAGCAGATGATGTTCTCCTGATATCCCAATTAATATACCCATTATTAAGCCAATAAAACATTTCCATTATGTCTACGTATATATATATATGAGATCGTTGGTTATATATCAAACATATCCCATCAATGTTCCATTGATATTCTCATGTTGCGTGGGAGATCCCCTCAAAAACCATTGAAAATCCCCTCATCCCATAGTTCAACCGCAGCTTCCCAGGTCTTAGTTCCGTCAAAGCCACGGACCGATCAGAACCAGATCTTTGAGGCCGGGAAATTCCGCAGCAAAACACAGCAGAAAAGATGGGGAATACTGGCGGTGGGCACTTCCAATCTGGTTGGTGGTTTGGAACATTTTGTTGATTTTTCCATATATTGGGGATAATAATCCCATCTGACTAATATGTTTCAGAAGGGTTGAAACCACCAACCAGCAATGATGTTTGTTGATTTGTTGATGTGTAAACGCCATGAGCTATAGTTTTGATATGTTTTAGTGACCACGAACCCTATTATGATTATAGTCTTATAGTTTCAATTGCTTCGCATATAGTTACTGAATAGCTCGAGATATCTACCATAAACCAACAGTTTTTCAGTTAAGTTTGTGAACCTTCAACAACTTCGCACTTAATATAGTTTTTTTGCTGGGCCGGGCCCAACAATGTCATCATTTCCACATTTTCAAGGGATGATGCAAGGAACCGATTGATTGGAGGTACCGTTACCATATATTTTTGTCCAACAATTTTCAGGCCTAAGGGAATAGCCCCACAATTCATATGGTCAAAAATATGGTACTAACAGTTAAGCTCCATGTATTGGATCCTGGAGATCTCCCATTAATATCCATTAATGGTGGTTTATGAATCGTTGATATTCTTTAAGGATCTTGAGGGGGATATCAATGGGAATGTTAGAGGGAATCTTGGGAGTTATCATGAGTTATCCATTTTATGGGTGTATGGGATATAATGGATATCAATGTGAATTTTATGGGATATATGATCATCAATCTTATATGTGGGTCTGTCTCAAAATGGGGTATACCCCTGCTATGGCTGTTTTTGGGAAAATGACAATGAACCAATGGATGGAATTGGGTTTTCTAGTTTGGGACAAGGCCCAATCTGAATTTCCAATTGGTTCCACTGAACAGGGTGATGCTTTGCTGAATGTAGATTTGATCACTCACTTCTGGGGAAGTATAGATGGTTACCCAGCGAAAATCGCTCATTTAGCTCGATGATTTTCCCATTAAGACAGACGTCAACCTCCATCGGTGATTTTCCATTGCCATGTTTGATTGCTGGAAGGTAATTGTCATATTCAACCGCCGAAAAATAATGCTGTGGGTCAAGTTATTGGGGCAGTGGGCCAAGAAAAAGCCTGGTCATCTTCGCTCAAAACATCCATGGTTGATAATGTCTGTACCTTTTTTGGATGTGCTTGAGGATTTTTGAAAAGTGGGATTGTATGTGCCAATCAACCTTTTTGGAAAGCCTGTTTGCATCTACCTAAACTTTGGAAAGTTGATATTCTTGACCATTCTTGACCCATACAAAAATCTCGTGGCACCCCTATCTTTAATCAAACCATGCAAAGAAATATGTGTTCGTTTTTGTCGATGATTTTCTGAACCAGTTTCCATTTCTGTGAAATTCCCATCCAGCTATGACCAGAACGACAATTTCAGGCATCTAAACTGGAGGATATCGCCTTGCTGGTACCTCTCTGAAACCATGTCATTTTCTCTGGAGATTGTCCATACCCTGTACCCGCGAATTCCAATCGATCATGAGCCCCCGAGCCACGCCCACACCAATATCCCGTAGTGTCGTGACTGTAGTGCTGGTTATACATACCACTATAATCCCCGTGATGGTTGGATTATGTTTAATCCCTCCACTTTTGGGTGCAAAAATTCTTTTGGTGGTTAGATCCAAATTTGGCCGCGTAGTAAATCATCAATGTTTGGACAAACTCGGTACTGTACATGAATACCCTCTATCTTTGTGGTTCCAATTACGTGCGACCAGTCTTTTTATAGTTTTTTTGTTTATCATTACTCAAGCAAAGAAAGTCTGAACCATAACAAATCACCCTGATTTCTGAAGATTAGACATATGGTGAACGTTCCATTATCACTAGGTTAAACTACTATTGTTTGTGCTTGAATCCACAAGTTGGCTGGTAAAAGCACCAAATGATACTATACAATACTATATATACATATATCCATATATCATATATCCATACATGATGTAATTGTCATAGGAGAGTAGAGGAGACAAAAACATCCCGGCGTTGCGAAAAAGATCAAAATTACTACGTCCTCACGGCGAGGAGCAGTTTTTGCATTCGAAACCTATCAAAAAAAAGGTCCGTCTACTTTTGGAATGACAACCCTTCCATCACTTCAGCCTCAAAAAGGGCAACCGCAACTTTTTCTCACATTTTCTTCAACGTGTCAGCGGTGGCTTCCATCAGGTTTTTCCCTGCGCACTCCCACCGCCACTGGAAAGAGCGCATGCATCTCCATATTTGAAGATTGCGCGCCTGGCACTTTTTCGATGGCAAAGTTCCAGGGATGGTCTGCCTGAGGACTTTCCAGAAGCCATCAACGTGACCCGTGTGGATCTTGACCCGTGTGGATCTTGATCAGTGATGTGTGGAAAGGCACCTGAAGATCATAGAGCGTAGCATCAAGTTCATGTGGAATTGCAAATGAAGATCATAGAGCGTAGCATCAAGTTCATGTTAAAGTGACCTTGAAGATCATAGAGCGTAGCATCAAGTTCATGCGGAAATGCCAATGAAGATCATAGAGCGTAGAAGCGGGCTCATGTGGAAATGCCAATGAAGATCATAGAGCGTAGCAGCAGGTTCATGTGGACATGCCAATGAAGATCATAGAGCGTAGCATCAAGTTCATGTGGAATTGCAAATGACGTTTTTATCCCACCCCACCCCACCCCACCCCAGACTACCGGATGTGGATGTGTGGAAAGGCACCTGAAGATCATAGAGCCTAGCATCAAGTTCATGTGAAATTGCAATTGAAGATCATAGAGCGTAGCATCAAGTTCATGTGAAATTGCAATTGAAGATCATAGAGCGTAGCATCAAGTTCATGTGAAATTGCAATTGAAGAACATAGAGCGTAGCAGCAGGTTCATGTGGAAATTTCAATGACGTTATTATCCCACCCCACCCCACCCCAGGCTACCGGATGTGGGTTTGTGCGACGGTAACGAGTCCGTTAGCAAAAACATGTTCACTTTCAAAAGAATATGAAATTACGTGAAATTATCCTTATCCTAGATTCTTAGATCCCAGATTGTTGCTCATTAATTCATGTTAAATCCCAAATTGTTTGCCCTTTCGATTTGCCCATTAGTTCATTGGTGGTCACAGTTTCGAGGCTACGCCGCCGACCACGGAGACCAGCCTAGCTGAGCATGCAGATCTTGTTGAGGTCGCTGCTTTGCATATCAAATATACACAGGATAGTATTATGATTAATATTTGATATATCAACCATATGGTATACTATAGATCAACCATAACATAGAATATCAACCATATGTTTTTGATAATGTTTGATATGCTATAGTTGATATTCTATATTAATATTCTATATTATTATATATTATATATGCATATCGATGTATGTATACGTTTATGTGTCAATGCATGCATGTGTATCTTTATGTTTGTATACATTATATGATTGTGCACATGTATGTACAGTACATGTATGATCATTCACCATCTTTATTGAATTATCTATTTTCATGGAACATGTGCGCGGCTTTATGAAATGATCGGAGGGTGGGCACCATGGCTGAAACCCACGAATTTATACCCCCAGGCGGAGCTCCGAACAGAGCGAGTCTGGGCACAGAAGGTTGATATAACCAGATGATTTACCTCTTGAAAGTTGTGATTTTCCATAGCTATGGTGCATTGCCAAAGGGTACCCTGGGGTAAACGTTTACAGTTCGATATGGAAAAGTTATGGTTTCCCTAAACAAAATGATCTACAAATGGTGGATTTTCCACATCTATGTAAACCTGGTTGGTGGTTTGGAACATTTGGATTATTTCTCCATCTATTGGGAGTTTCATCATCCGAACTGACTCATATGTTTCAGAGGGGTAGGTGTACCACCAACCAGAGAAGGTAACTATGGGACACCACCCTGACGGACAGGATCCTAGCGCGCTGAAGTCGCTCGACTCTCGACCGACTTCGCCAAAGGAGGAACACCGTCCCCGTTTTACGTCGGGTCATGTGAAGAATAATTGGCCGGTGACACTTTCATTACAGAAGCACAACAATAGTGGATTTTTATGGAAAGATTTTCAATGTTTCACGAACCATGATGGACATAGCAGCTATTCTTCGATGTAAAAGCATGAAAATTTTGGACAAGAATGGGAACAACCCCCAAAAATCCAGATTTATTCTGCTGTCATGGCGACGAATGCGACGATTTTTGTGGGATCCTCCATGACTTCAGCGTCCAATGGGTTGATCTTTGGGATCCGCTGGTTGGACCAGTGGCCCATTGGCCCCAATTTCCATCCAAAAAAGGTCCCTCTGGAATCTTCAATTTTTGATGATATTCCCATGATGATTCCAATGCTATACCCATGATGGATGCGATTTGTTTTATCTGATATTATTCCTATTATTCTTAAGATATTCCCATGATTTTCCCATGGTATTGCTATGAAAAGATAGCTTTTTCGCTTCAGTTTTCTCAGCACTTTCGATCCAAGAAACCCATCTGGATTAGGAGGCAGATGCACGGCCCTCGGACAAGGACCATTGGACCATGGGTTGATGTTGGTTTTGAGAGGTGTGGAATACTTGGATATATCAGCAGCATTGATAGGACACATAATATATATATATATATGTATATGTACAGAATATAACATATATATATAAATAAATATATATATATACTTATGATTGTATGTGTACATATCAAAGCTCTATTCTGATTGTCCAGCAGGGGGATAATGGTGTTTTGCCTCCGGTAATCACACATGGCTAGCCGAAAAAGTCGCAAACTAAACCTCCAACAGGAGCTGCTGGGAACGGCATCCATACATTACCATATCCCATACATGACCATACCAGAGTTGATTACAGTTATGCCATGCAATTACACACCAATAGTTGATTACTATGGTATGGTATGGGGTTGTACACTATACCATAGTAATCAACTATACCATTGTACTATACCATAGTTATACCATTCCTAAATTACAGTTATACCATTGGGAGTTGAAAAAACTTGAGGAAAAATTGGCTTCGTTTTTTTAGACTTGTGAAGTTCTTCCATCGGTAAATAAGCTGGGCATTAGATGAAGTTGCCCAGCAACGGATTTTTTTCACCATTTAGATGATGTTGCAACGGACATCCCAAAAAAATGATAAGTTATAATAATGTGATCTTAAAAATGATGAGAATTCATTCGCAACAAAATGGAGAAAGTCCATGAAAGTCCTAAAATATCCTATATAACTAGGTAAATCTTAGATGGGTAGTTTGATCCTTTATTTATTTTAATATCAATGGGATTATCTACTGACCAACTAAGATTGTTATTTTTGGTATCTAAGATAGGCCATGATTATCCACTATAATTATCCACTATAATATTAACCATAGTATTTTTGTTATAGCTTGTTACAATCCACTCGTATAACCACAGTGGCCAAATTCATCGGCAGCGAGGGGCCCCAATGACTTGACAGGAGACCGCCTCTGGTCCCTCTGGGCCTAGCTCAGAGCGATCAGACCGTGTCGACCCAAATCCGCTAGGCGAAGTTTTTTGTGGGACATGTGGAAGATGATGATTTAACAAAAAAAAATGTGACTTCACCCCTAAGAGTAGTGATTGAACCCTAAAAAATGGTAATTTCGGCAGAAATGGAAATTTGACTAACACAAATGCTGATTGAACCGGCAATGATGATGTAACCAAGAAACATTATTATTTTCCAGCAGCAAAATTGGGGATTAAAGCAACAAACATGTATAGTGGAGAAGTATTGGGCATTCTCTGGATTTGCAGACAACCAAGGCGACTCAACATGGGCCAAATGGTGATTTTTTAGGGTTTGCGCACTGGGAAATCCATGGAAATACTCAGGGAAATCAGTTCTTAAAATCATCATTAGTGTGGCATCTCTTTCTAAGGGCCGTGCCTTCCATATCTATCTATATATATATATATATGGAAGATTCAGTTTTCAAGGCACATGGATACCGGCAGCGGATAAGAAGTCCCAGTTCCAACAACAAAGCCGTCGATATACTATATAGATGCACTCGGGGAGATCATCAGCTATTACCCGGCCATTTTTACTGTCCCATAACGAACTGGAAGAACTGGAAAGATCCACCATGCTATTAAGAGGTAAATATGGTAAATCAACCAACTTATTAGGGGCCATTTTCAATAGCAAACTGTTGACATAACCAGAGGGTAAGGATTAATAACGGTAGCCTCTGGTTATGAAAAAATTGTTTCCATTGCCATGTTGGACTGAGGCCATCTCTAGAACCCATTCTTTATCCGTATTACCCTCTGGTTATGACTAACATAGCCATGGAACATCACCATTTTTAATGGGAAAATCCAGTATACATGGGCAATTTTCCATGGCTATGTTAAATAACCAAAGGGTACATCATATCATTTTCATCTATTCCCCATGATTGACTATATGATTATTATATGATGATTATTCCAGATTCCATGTTCTCATTATTCCCCACCTGCCAGGTGAGGGTTGTTAGATTTTATCAGAGCGCATGCCCGCCTCCTCCTCCTCCTCCTCCTCCTCGACTAGCTGTCCTCCTCGCCCTCCTCCTCGCCTCCGCCTCTTCCACCTCCACTTCCGCCTTGCCAACCTTGCCAACTCGTCGCCAAGCTCTTCGCCAACTTCCCAGCTCAGTGCGCACTGCTGGACGTCAACCTGCGAGCTGCCCAGCTCAGTGTGCACCGCTGGACGTCAACCTGCGAGCTGCCCAGCTCAGTGTGCACCGCTGGACCTCAACCTGCAAGCTGCCCAGCTCAGTGTGCACCGCTGGACCTCAACCGGGGACCTGCCCAGCTCAGTTTGCACCGCTGGACCTCAACCGGGGACCTGCCCAGTCAGTGTGCACCGCTGGACCTCAACAGCCAGATAGAATGCCAGAAGATATGCCAGATAGAATGTCAGATAGAATGCCAGAAGATATGCCAGATAAAATGCCAGAAGATATGCCAGATAGAATGCCAGAAGATATGCCAGATAGAATGCCAGAAGATATACCAGATAGAATGCCAGAAGATATGCCAGATAGAATGCCAGAAGGTAAAATGTCAGATAGAATGCCACAAGATATGCCAGATAGAATCCCAGAAGATTTGCCAGATAATATGCCAGAAGATTTGCCAGATAGAATGCCAGATAATATGCCAGAAGATATGCCAGAACATATGCCAGAAGATATGCCAGATAGAATGCCAGAAGATATGCCACATAGAATGCCAGATAGAATGCAAGAAGATATGTTAGAATATATGCCAGAAGATATGCCAGATAGAATGCCAGATAGAATGCCAGAAGATATGTCAGATAGAATGCCAGAAGATATGTCAGATAGAATGTCAGATAGAATGCCAGAAGATATGCCAGATAGAACGCCATGAGATATGCCAGAAGATGTGCCAGATAGAATGCCAGAAGATATGCCAGATAGAATGCCAGAAGGTATGCCAGATAGAATGCCAGATAAAATGTCAGATAGAATGCCACAAGATATGCCAGATAGAATCCCAGAAGGCATGCCAGATAATATGCCAGAAGATTTGCCAGAAGATATGCCAGATAGAATGCCAGAAGATATGCCAGATAGAATGCCAGAAGATATGCCAGATAGAATGCCAGATAGAATGCCAGAAGGTATGCCAGATAGAATGCCAGATAAAATGTCAGATAGAATGCCACAAGATATGCCAGATAGAATGCCAGATAATATGCCAGAAGATATGTCAGATAGAATGCCAGAAGATATGCCAGATAGAATGCCAGAAGGTATGCCAGATAGAATGCCAGAAGATATGTCAGATAGAATACCAGAAGATTTGCCAGTAAGACAATGTATAAATGTCATGGTGGGGATCACACGAAGTAAAGTAATTCATTTTCTTATGATGATGATGCTTATGATTACCCCGTATTATTACTGGTTGGTGGTTTCAAACATGTTTTATTTTTCCATTTCATATATGCGATAATCCTTCCCAACTGACGAACTCATATATTTCAGAGAGGTAGGTATACCACAAACCAGGTATTTTTATTGTTATTCCATTTTATGATGATGATGCTTATGATTACCCCATATTAGTATAATCTGTGTATTATATGATGATGCTTATTATGGTAAATGATCATAATCTACTCATACTCAATAACTTAAAATAATACAATAATTAATATACTAATACTAAGTAATATGAACATGTATAGTAACGCTAAGCATGTTATTGATGATGTAATACTAAAGCATATCATGAACGCCGGCCGTTTGATCTCGTGGCTCCAGGTGAGGCCCAGTCGGTGACACCTGAGGCCCGATTCTGAGGATGGATAGCCTGTGGTAAACTGTCCCATGACGAACTGGAAAATCACCATTTTTCATGGGTAAATCCACTATTTCTATGGCCATTTTCAACTAACATAGCTATTGAAAATGGCCATAGAAATAGTGGATTTACCCATGAAAAATAGTGGATCTGTCCAGTTCGTTATGGGACAGTTTACCAGAAATTCAAATCAGAAATCATCTAGAAAATGTTGAACGCTTGAGCCTTTCCTACATTTTGAAGCTTACCAAAAAGTTATTTGTGCTTTTTAAATGTGGATTATATGATTTGTATGGATTAATTATTAATTAAGCAGCAGAAGAAAATAGTTGCTTGAAGATGCTTGAAGCACATCTAAGACAAGTGTGCAGAGTTGTGGGGGAGTTTGCCCATGTCATGTTTTCTCATGTCTTCTTCTTGGTAGTCTCCGGAATTTCTTGGGACCACAGATTCCATCAATGGGATGAACGCCAGAAAATTGATCCCAACAACACAACTGGCATACAAATTCCGTGGAATGCCAAGTGTTGTTGAAATTCCAACGCCAAGTTTCATACAAATTCCAACAACACTTGGCATTCTTCCAGAGTTAGCGAGTCTGAGACTCGTTTCTGATGCCATTTGGAGACGGCAGAACGGCCATCCGGAATAGGGGTAAGGTGAGGGTAAAACAATGCCATTTTTACCAGCCATGACTCGGAATGGTAAACATACCACCTATCAAGATGTTGATTAATTAGGGGGATGGTTTATGAAATTGTTTTCTCCACAGCAAATGCCTAATAAACATGAATGAACCTCTATTGGGGATTTACTGTTGGATTTACCGCATGATTTTTGGATGTTTCGCCACTTCCACTGTTTCAGGATGGTTCGGGACCGGCGAACGTGGCTCCGGCTCAGTGACATGGTGAAAGCTGTGGTCACAATGAAGACATTGAAGGGCTGAAAATATGGATAGGTCTGCTGGCTCTATCATTGCAGTTATTTGTTGAAACAAAACATTCAGTCAAATGTCAGGTTTATATATATGTTTATATCAGGTTTTTTGGGATGATTTTTCTTTATGGAATCAAAACAAGATCCACTTCCAGTAAGATTCTACCTTTTGCCCAGCACTCATGTTATGTTTCTACCCAGCTGGAGGATGTCAAGATTCAGCCAATTTCCAGCCGAATCCACCCATCCCAGCCTGATTTTTCGGTGCCCCGGGGCACCCACGGGGCGCCCACGCCATCCTCCTATGGCCGCCGCCATGGCCGGCGGCGCTGCGGCAGCGGCACTGCGGCTGGGGCCCCGGAGCCGGGAGCTGGCGGTGCTGGAGCTGGCGGAACTGGAGAAAGGCCATGGGCACTTTGGGGATTAATCATTAATAATGTTAATTAAGCATAATTAATGATAATTAATTAGTGATGATTATTATAAATGGTTAATGGTAATTAATAATTAATGATAATTCATCATTAATGATAATTAATCATTAATGATAATTAATCATTAGTGGATTATTCTGATAATTATGAATGATAATTAATGATTGTTGTTCAAAGTCCATAATAATAATCATATTAATAATGCAGTATTAGTAATGCACTATTAGTACATGGTGTTTATGGATTATATCCTTTGGTAAACTGACATAGCTATGACAGCTATGATTGCACATGGCTTCCTAACCACCAATATGATATATATGTTATATAAGTCATGAATTCCAGATTCAACCATGCCACCATTCATGTTCAGAGTTTGTAGATCAACTTGGGGCTGCATCCCAGGCATCATAAATGGTGTATATATATATAGAAGTATATATATATATGTGATGTGTATATAGTCCATATAACTGGTGATATTTCCATACATAGCTGGCATGCGTGCTAGGCTTATTAACCAGGGATCGTTTGCGTGGGGCCCGCGGATCCAAGCAAGTCATGGATTGCGAGTCACTGGTGATTTGGATTGAAGATCGGCGTGAATTAGTTGTGGATCAACAAATTGAAAACAAAACATGTATAAGTTACATAAGCCAGCATATGTTTATATATATATACATATATGTTTGAAAACTGAAGTATTGTATGAATTAAATGTCTTTCTATATGATTGAAGTATGATATGCTTATTTGTTACCGACGGATCCGAACTAGAATGCACCAAAATTTGTAGGTGGAACGCAGTCTGACTTAGCTATCAATAGGGATACAGGATTTGTCTGAGAGTCTATACCCTCCAGTAAATTAACATAGACCCTGCCAGGTAGGGGTTGGAAGACTAGTTTACACTATAAATTGGTCATTTTCAGGGTCAAACTGTTTATTTACCAGAGGGTAAGATTTTTTCTAGGGATATTTACACATCTCAAATGTCAGCCCCGGATGAATAAACCCTGGTTGGTTGACATATTCTTGTGGACGGGGGGGCACCCTTCAGACCAACCAGACCAAGCCTGGTTTAGATTGCTGTCTATGTTTGGAATGGAGCTCAGGAGGCAGCCATGGGTAAGAACGTAAAATTCCAACCAACTGGGATTCCAACCCACAGGAAGCGTGGGCGATTTGAACATCGGGGAAATAAGCAACATGAAGCATGGGTGAGTTCTTCCATGGTGTTCTCCCATGGTCGCCAGATTCCCCAGTTGGACTTGTTGGAGACTTTTATAGAATTGACCACTTCCTTCAATATCTTTCCGTCCGCCCTTGGAGCTTCACCGCAAACACTGTTGCGAAAAAATGCGGTATTTTGTCATCACAAAACAATGGTTTTGTTGCGACATGAGGATCATGAGCAACCACATTTCATCAACGGAAAACATGATCCCATCAAGAGACTTACGGGGGAGATGTAAGCCATCAGACACCGGACTTATTGGTGACCAACGACCTGGAGATAGGAAGCAGCAAAAGAACATGGCTATCTGACCAACGACATAGGGATATTCATGGATATTCACCAAAATAGGAATTCAAGCAGTAGAACTGTGTTGGATCATCAGCAAATGATGGGGAGATCAACACCAGGAATCTTGTGTTGTTTGTTTGTTTTTATAGTAATGTATAATTAATTATAACATATATATATATAAATATGTATGTAGTTAAATGTGTATATATATATATATATTTACATACCAGCAGCCAACAAAAATCGGGGACGTAACCAAAGGCTGGTTATCCGATCACCTGGAAAGTTTGATGAACCAACAGATATGGGGATCAGACATTCGTCAGGATCCGGTTGACCAATCAAGATATTTGAAGATTGGCCGAGCCCGCAAGACAATGGTTAAGCCGACTATGACTAAGCTCTCAAATAATGGATCTTGAAGAGGCGTTGCACCAATGATGGGGATTTTTAAGTGACCAACAGAAGTGGCTTGCACTGGGTACCAAACCAGACCCAACGAAGGCAGCCTCACAGAAGGGGTGCCTATGAAATCACTAACATATAGGTGTTTTACCAACAAAAATGAAGACTTATACAACATGATTTAAGATATCAACAAGATGGTTGTTCACCTGCGCGCTCTCCACAAATGGGTCTGAAAGCAGTGAATATGGAGACATCAATCGCCAAAGAAAATATAGATGCCATGATTCTATATAAAAAGTTCGGTGGTGCCTCAAAGGCTGTGCGAACAACGCAAAAGATGAATGTCACAATACACATATGGCTGTGTCTGAAAATAGGGTTTACCTTCGTGGTATGGCAATTTTAAAAGCGAACATGACCATCAATCAGTGGACCATAAATCAGGGTGCCCAATTTTCTGACGAACCCTTACGCGCTAGAAAGCTGGACTATATACCCAAATTGGGGGATGGTCATCAGGCCATGGGAAATAGGGATTTTTTTTCGCAAAGTTTAGGAATCCGATTATGATGGGATGACCAGTAGCCATTGACCATGTAACTTGACCATGGCCTGTTTCCACTACTAATATATCCAAATATATTAGGTATACCAAATTAGTAGTGGAAATATACCAGATTGTTTAACCAAATTACTAATATATCCAAATTTATCGCCATGATATACCAGATTGTTTATTTTATATCCCCTCGACATACCATGAATATTGCATGGAAGCAGCAGGTGTCGTCAACACAGCCGCTCCAAGCGATGATGGCCCCCCCATTGTGGAAACGGATCTAGCTCTGCAGGACAGGGCGATGGTGAAGCACCTCGATCCCCTGAGTTGGTATACAGATATATTCACTATGTCAACATCTGTGTGTATATATATAATTGTATGTTTGCGTTTTTTCGCAGAATCAGATAGATATAAGTAATGTCAAGTTAGGATTAATAATCCCCGCGGTATTAATCAACCCCCTCTGCCCCAAAAAAAATGTAATTTAAAAAAAGGTGGTCCTCCAGGATTAATAAACCCCCCGATTAAAAAACCACCAGTGCTGAAATCAATTTTTTATCCAACAATTTTTATTTCCAATTCTATTTATTTCCAATTTGTTTTTACATTTTTTAATCATCATTGTTATACTTAAGGTTTAAGTTGATCATTGAAAAATTCAAAAAACGACTATTCCCCAAATGATCGATTTCTAATTAAAATCTTTATAAAAATTATCAGTTTGGATAGCTCCCAAAGGGTACCCCCCATGAGCCCATGTCCCCCATTAATAATAACCAGGGTTTGCCCCTGATTAATCAACCACCTTTCTGATCCATGAGGATTTAACAAATCCAATAGAATTCTATTAAGATCTAATTGACGTAAGCCATATCCAAATTTTTATGGTTCAGAGTTGCTTATTTATTAAGGGGTGGTCGAGAAACTCGCCAGAAGGTACCCCCCTACCTACCTGGTGAGGGGGGGGGGTGATTAATCCGATGTTGCCATTACATACAGTTGCACAAATTTATTGGATATTTTTTCATACATATAGCTATGTAATATGTACATATGTATTGTCCATGTTCAGGGCCCATAGGATTTCACCGTTTTTTCAGGACGTCTCTTCAGACGAAGAATTCTACAAACGGAGCAAGGTGGGTCCTGGCGCGAGACTGATTCAGATCAAGAAGCAGTGATCAAAACCCCTGCTGATGCTGGAAATATGGGGGAAATATGGATTGCGGCTTGCGATTATAATTGACAGTAAAAATTGCATTCTAGTGGATTCAATGGATAATAGTAAGGATGCGGTGTTATCTCAAAATTGATTTTGAAACATTTTGAATAGGGGATTTGCAATTTTCCATAGCTATGTTAAATTACCAGAGGGTATAAAAGATGATCATCATCCATGAACTGGAAATCCCTAGTAAGCAAACAAGATCAAGGGATTTGTTGCTGGTGGAACTCTGGTATCGTTTTTGAAACCCTCCATACCGGGTGCTTCTTCCCGACGCGCCGTGGGGTCAGGCGTGGTTCAACCTCTTGCCATTGCGGAAGAACTTCTTCCTGGACGCTTGGCCGTGATGGACTTCATCCTGTGCATCATGGATACGATGGACATCTACGCGGCCTGCAAAAAATAAAGACCTATATAGAATTTGTAAAAAGAATTGACCTAGGTGTAGCCAGGATCCAACCCCCTTCAATTTGGTCCGGTTGAACTCCCTTCCTGACCTTCACAGAAAGGCTATATAGATAGTACATTGATGCGGTGGTTGAATAGTTGTTAAACCCTCTGAAAGCAAAATTCAAGATGAAGAAAAATGTGGAAGATCACCATGCTTTTGGCTACTTTGGCTACTTGGATCCCACAATCATTTGTCGACGATGTATCTTGCTTCGTTTGGTCGATGTTGGTGGAATCTCCATGGTGGGGCCCCGTTGCCAAGGAAGCAAAACGTCCCTGCGTGATTTGCCTCACTGAGAAGGAAGAACTTCGAGAAATGGGGGTCAACTCATCAGGCTGCAGGTTGTTGTTTTTGTTGGCATTGTTAAGCACATGTCATATGTTTGGGTCATATGTTCGTAACATTTGGTATTTTTTTGAACACACACATCTCATAGAAATTTCTTCAAATATGGGGATGGGTCAACACCTATGAAATTACCATATAAATTGGGGATTTTAACCATCCAATTTATGCGTTCTCTTCGTGTAGGCTACCAGGCTTTGACCCAGCAAGAGCCCATTGTCTCGTCGCCAGGAGCACACGCTGGTGCCACCACATGCACCTCCTAGAAATGTGCCTGGGCTGGTGGAGAATTCATTGCCGACTTTAGGGAAGATCGAGTGGATATACCAAGTAAATCCAAGTAAACTAAATGATTTTGATGATGTGTCAATCATTAGATGGTTGATATTGTGGTTTGCGAATGTTTGTGAAATGTCTCTATCAAAACATGAGGAAGTTTACCAGCAATAGATTAAACCTTCCATAGTTTGATGGTTTATACCAACCATAAAAACTGTTTGTTGTTCTTTTTTTCTGGGGATGGTTTGCTATTGTTTTAGTAACATTCTGGGGGATTGGGATACCAGTCGTGTAACATGCTGCTCAAAGTCCATCCATGGATTCCATGCCGGTTCAATGCCACTCGTGGCAAATTGTGAGATTTTTAACCGAAGACTCTTCGAGGGTAAGAATCTACAAGGATCGTCTGCGAAGATTGGTGAAATGCAAAATATCAATTTCATATGCCCAGATACTCAGATTTTGCATGAAAGCGTTGGAAATTTGATACCCTAGCGACATCAAGAATTTTTCAATACACATGCCTCTGATCATCTTGACTGACCTGCAGTGGAGAGCATCCCCAGATGGTCCAAAAATTAGGATGTCAGCAGCCTGTGAGGCACCCAATGTGCCGTCTGAAGCCGTTGAAGATCATCGTTTCTGCACCGATTGTTGGGAGGCCGCTGGGCGGCTGGGCGCCTGTTGTGAGGCAATATACACTCTGGTTTTGACTAACATAGCCATGGAAAATCACAATTTTTTATAGGTAAAATATCTATAAATGGGCAATTTTCCATGGCTATGTTAAATAACCAGATGGTAGATTTTGTTAAATAAAGCTGAGAATTGGGGCCACTGTTTCAAGTGGGATATTGGTCACAACTAGTCAGCAAGGACGCATTGGGTATCCAGTCAGCAAGTTGTGGTCGTAGCTGCGGTTGTTCTACCCAGCCGTGGGATAGCCATGGATAGCCTGACTTGGGGGATCTAGAAACCATGGTGATTAAGCCCAAAGACCTACTGCCTATTTGTTCATAAATTCCCTAAATATACATATATTATATTATATTATACTATATTATATTATATTATTAAATTATATTATATTATATTATATTTTATTATATTGTAGTATATTGTAGTATATTATATTATAGTATATTATATTCTAGTATATTATCGTATATTATAGTATATTATATGATATTACATTATATTATATTATGTTACATTATATTATGTTATAGTTTTATTATATATATTATATTACATCATAATATGTTATATTATATTGTATCATATCATATTTTATGATAGTTTTATATATCTATTATAATATTTATATATATGATATGTATATTTATAAATATATATTATATTACATATATATATATATATATCATATATATATATATTATATACATATATGTATATAAGTCATGGGGATGTGCAGTTCATGCAATATGGTGAAAAAACCCTGCAACTGATCATCAACCTTTGCAGTGGCTTTGATACTGTACCTTTGATGAGTGGAGTCCCCATAGTCACATACAAAGTTGCCTGAAAAAAGTGGCTGAATGCTATGGCTTGTGCTAGATATAACGAACATTATAGTGGTTATAATGGGCTTATAATGGTTTATAAACCAACATTCACATCACCGGGGTGCCATAGCCAGGCGATTCCGACCTGGGGCCTCAGCCGTCACAAATCTGGACCCATTGCACCATGTTCCTAACGTGTGATGATCAAAATCCCCAACGTGTTCACTGACTTAGCCATAGATCAATATACCCTCTGGTAAACATACAAAAAGCTATAGAAAATGGCCATCCATCGTTGATTTTCCCATTAAGAACTGTGATTTCGCATAGTTATGTTAGTTTTCCAGAGGGTAATTCAGCTAATAATGAGTCCCATCAAACGAGCATTTCCCTTAGGCCCAACAATGCACTTGGATATGTTTCTGTTGAATCTGATGACCATGCGAACGATTCGTATGATTCTTTTTTTCCTCACCTGTCAGGTGAGAAATGTTACATGTTAATACACGTTATATGTTTGCTAGGGGGTGTTACATGTTTCATGTTATATACATGTTATATAATACATGTTATTACCCTTAGTGGTGGTTTGGAACATGTTTTATTTTTCCATTCAGTTGGGAATAGTAACCCCAACTGACAAACTCATTGTTCAGAGGGGTTGACACATACCACCAACAAGATGTAACATCTTTCAGGTTGAGATTTTTTAGTGGCTGAATTCTATGGTATATGGTAGATATATCTATACTTCATGGAGGTTATAAACCAACATTCACATCACTGGGGGCGTAATGCGCATGTTTTTCCATAGGTTTTTCCATATTTTTTCCTATCAAATATGGTGATAAACCAACCAGTTACCCTTGCTGCTCCTGGCGCAGGACTTTCTGCGGCACCGGACTTCGACGACGAGCAGCATGACCTGCCCCGTGTGTCGTGGAGAGATCATCATCCCGGAGGTGCCGTCGGTGGAGGCCGTGGCGATGATGGAAAAACACGAGAGAAATGGAGGTTTTTGATTTGGTTCTATGGTCTGAATATGGTTTTACTATGGTCTATGTAATGTGGTGCTAATATGTCTTTAATATGGTTTCAATGTGGTTTCATAGGAAAATATGGGAACATCATCTGTAAGATGCTTCGTGGATGGTGATTTTGTTGAAACATGACGTTGCCGGACGCCCTAAAAAGATAAACATGATTTATGTTAGATACTATTTTGAAGTTTCTATCTGCTATTTACATATTTATGTTACTATTTATGTTACAATGTTGAATTTGACGTTTGGTTTCTTGTTGTATTGGAAACTGGATGTTCAATTGCCGGACTAGATTAATCAGATTAAGAGAGAGCGTAGATTTGCGGAAAAGAAATGTACTACTTGATTGGAATGATTGGGCACCAGCTGGATGGCGCAACCATGATGTATCAGCTTATTCAGGAGGTTTTTTAAAACTGGGTGCTCACTGGGGGACATCCAAGCGAGGGCAGTTATATAAGTTTGCAACTTAGATTTATGGAAGAATGTCTAGATTGATCCAACCATGGTGTCGATTGTTGTTGGAGGGGTACCCATCAATTTTGTCTCTCCAAGTGGGACATCAAAAATGATCAAAGATGACAGTTTGACCACGGATAAATCATAATGACCTTACTGTGCCACCGCTTCAAGTGATGAGTAAGGGGAATCATCCCCAAATGGCCGAATTTCAGCTATTTTCACGCTAATTATTGTAATTCAGCCAGGTAATATGGAGATAGTACCCGACAGAAATGGGCCTCAATATACATATGATCAATGAATTACTATAGATTCTATATGCCCATACTAGCAATGTCAGCACTCAAAGTCGACGCGTTGACAAGGAACGATATCACGAATAACATCTACGCTTCTCAAAGTCCGAATGTTGTTCCACAAATGTCACTGGAGGGTGCATTGTCAATATTACATATATACACATGTGTTCATGATTGTTGATGTATAATATGTAGATATACATGTATATTATATGTATATATATATATACATATACATATATATATATTAACATTATATATATGCATACATATATATACACACACACTTCCATGTTTTGATGGTCACCATCGCAAGCTCCATCCGTTCCAGGTGTGGACGCAACGCTTGCAGTTGCCACAGCGCTGGTCGCAGGAGGAGGCGAGAGTCGAAGCCGACGTTGAAGCGGCAGGAACCGGCCCTGGTAGTATGGTATTTTTTCATAACCAACTAATACGTATACATAGTTTATACATAGTTTTTACATAGTATATATATATATATACACATAGTTTATACATATATATATATACATATGTGTATAATTGATATATGATAATAGAGTTCATAACGTTTGATAGCTAACCAATAGTGATATTATACATATATATGTATAGTATGTATACAGCTAATCGTAGGGAGTACGCATAGTTATGCCCGTACCTTCCCCAAAATATACCAAACACCCTACAGAAACCATAGTTGACGTACTGTAGGGGATTTGTGAAACCATAGACTATGACCATAAACTGACTACGACTATATTATAGATACTATAAACTAACTATTTATACCAATAAACTAAATAATCCCTTCCTGGGGGCATATTAGATAGACCTCCCCAGAGATCATGCTGGATGTAGGTGAAAGCACATATGTGGGACCATCGAAGGGGCGTTCAAAAAATAAGGGGGATGGGATGTGTGGACATAACATCCATTCTTGGGAATGTATGGAATAATGGATAAAACCGACTTTTTAATAGGGCTAGAATGGGATATAGTAGCAAAAAGATCCTGTTTTCTGATCATTTTTCATGGTGATGTAATTGTATAATGGAGAACTGGATGGATCATGATGGATCTGTTTCAATGGTGGATCACAGCAACAAAACAATCGCAACGTCCTAATTCACCGACAAAACATCTATGAAAGCCGTTAAACAATTGGAAAAGGACAGCTATTTGGATATTTTTTTGTCATTTACCTAGCTGAAATGAATGATCCCCTCACTAACCATCATCACGGCATGAGATCGCTACTCAACCTGTAACGATCGTGATAACTTACCATTAAATTGCTACCCTATCAAGATGTTGTTCTTTTGCAATCCTGGGTTAACATTGGACCACTCGCTAGCTGACAAAAGGTGAGGTAAACCTTTCTACTTATAGATCTAATTGGCTGATTTTAAGACCTTGTATCGTAGTCTCGTAGCAGAGACTCAGAGATGTGATGATGAGTTCATTTGCCGTGCAGGCGTCGTGGCCACAATCGCCGGGACATCGATATATAATTATATATTTATACAAAGTTGTATATTTGTACATATTCAAGCATAGACAGATAGATAGATAAATAGATAGATAGATAGATAGATAGGTAGATACCTATATACCTACATACCTATATACCTACATACCTATCATTGGTGTACAATATCTCAGTGTAGACATAATCCCACCCACCTCTACAGGAGACTGGGCAGTGTGGATTTGTTGCAGTGGAAGTCACAAAAATCACGCAGGCCCCAGACCCAAGGACCGAAAAAATCACAAAAAACGATTTCTTTGGACCACCTATCCCAGTTGTCATAGGTATTAATACATATAAATATCATTAAATACTGTACATGCATATTTTGACATCCTGTATCTTCACGTCCCAGTTGGGTCGAAAATGTATGGATACTACTGATCCACCACTCTCCACTAGCGCATCCCGAGCATTTCCCGTGAGGCGCCAGCCAGCGCTTTGCTGCCAATGCCAGTGGTCACTGTGCCCCGCTACGAGCGGAGTCGATGGCTGTTCAGGCGCCGTGGGACCATAGAGCTGAGATATTTTAGCAACAAAAATGGTGGATTTCACAAAAAAATCTGATTTACCATCTGGTTATGACTAACATAGCCATGGAAAATCCCCCAAATAAATGGAGGTTTCTAGCTGGGACAATAATTTATAAATGGGCCATCTATGCCATGGCTATGTTAAATAACCAGAGGGTAGCCATTCAGCCAACAAAAAATGTGACGATCAACAAAAAACATCAAAAAACGAGATTTCACCAACGGAAAAGGTGGGATTTAATAGGGGATTAGATGTCCTTTCCCCATTGGTTAATTGATGGAGGGCTTCATTTGTAAGTCAACCCCCTCGAAGGACATCATTGAGTGATACCCTTTGACAAACATGCAAGAAATTCCATTGAGTTTTTGTTGATGTTTGCTGGGAAAATGATGTAATAATATGAGATAGATGGGCGATCTCCCCCGGGTTTGATTTCCAGCGAGTAGTCCCATTTGTTCAGTGGGACATGGCTCATGTCCGCTTCCCTTCGTGTGCATACAGAGCTGATTTACTTGAAATGTGTCAGAGGGGAAGGGGTGAAATGTGAGATTCCTCAGGGGAAACATAGGGATATTATAACTAATGAAATATTATATAATGGGATATGACTGGATAACTATATCATGGGATATTAATGGATTAAGGGAGATATGCCCTGTGGTTGATATGAGCAGTGTTCAAAATCCCTGTTGGTTATATACTACTAATTTTTTGTGGGATTCTCATAATCTATTTTTGGAATCCTGTAAGTGACATGTGGTTGACACAAGTTTCAGAATCTCAAGCTTCAACATGAGATATCTAAACTAGGCACGCCCCAACGAATCAAATGTGAGACGGTATAATGTCAAACATTTTAATTTCCAACATGTGTCCTTCTGCAAAGTGTGTGTTTCATTCTTGTTCATGTTTATTCACATTTGTTTAGACCCAATCGAATGACATGTTTCACTACAGGGGGTCCCGCACTTGTGAGTTGGTTTCTAAACCATCTAAGTATACTGGTTGGTGGTTTCAAACATTTTTTTGTTTCCCCTATATTGGGAATAATCATCCCAGCTGACTTTCATATTTTTCAAAATGGTTAAAACCACCAACCAGCAAAGCATTTACCAAAAAAACCGGGTGAAAACCATGGTACCCTGCTGTCCACCCCGGAATATAATGGAAGAGATGGGATGTTTTTTGATTTCTTTCTAAAAGGACGCGAATCCATAGTAAAACCATATAAGACTATATAAAACTGACATTAGCTATTGTAACTCTGGATAAATGTCTATGATAAAATCCTAGTTACGTACATCTGGCCGAATTAAAATTATATGTTGTTTAGAACATACAGCACATACGTTCAGAATTATTATGTACAAGTGTATGGAAAATAGGTTTGTAACTTTCAATATTCATGTAGAGAAATCGTTGTAACCCCTGTTGGTTGATGATTGGTTGGGGGATTATACTATCCAATATATTGGATTATCAATATCCATGAAGGCGGAATCCCATGCTTAACCAACCAGTACAATGCATATATGGAGATGATAAACCTATTACAGTATTGCCATATTTGGGGAATAATCATCCATTAACTAGCTAATTTAGGGTACTATCCGGGTCCCAGGGTTTTGACTCACAACCAAATGTATGCAAATGCATTCAGAACGTATCTATGTTTGGAACTAGTTACGTACATTTGTTTGGGAAATATGTTTCAAGAACATAAATCCTATATATATATATATTATTGTATATATATATTATTGTATATATATATACATATATATATATATGTGTATGTATGTATATATTATGGGAGATTCTTAAAATGGTGAATCTCAGTCTTCACCATGGGTTTAGCGTCATACAGGTCGCCATGGTCCCCCAGGCCAGTGGAAGCTTCCTTGTGGGCCTGGCAGCGCATGGGCAGCTGCTTGGGTCGGGGACAGGAGATTTCTCTCCTCTACGAGGTCAGGGAGGGTAGGGGCTTCCTGGATGCTTCTGGGAGGTGTTAATTCATTGATATTGGTATTTCCATGGGATCACATAGAATTTCCAGGGGATGTGGATAAAATGTGGATGGAATATGGATGAAGTCTTGAACTGCTGATTATCCCAATGTGTCGTCTTCTTTTTGGTGATTTCCCCATGGTTTTCCCACCAAAATGGTGGCAGGAACTAGATCCCCGCACCGCGCGGCGGCGCTGGTGGCGCGGCTATGCGGGTTTACTTGGCGCTGTTGGGGCACCCAGGGACGAGATGGGAAGCTGTTCCCTGGAGCGTCAACATGCAGCTAAGAATGGTTAATAATGGTATGTTATAGGATTTAATGGTGTTATGGTTAATAATTAGTAAGATTATAATGGTTTTTAGGTTTTTAAGAGGAAATGCTATAATGGGGATAGAATGGAAATCTAAGCAGCAATATGTGATATGGTGAAAAAAGTGGGATTTTCTACTGTAATGGCTAAGTTGTCATTTGATCATTTTTGGGGGATGGAATCATGAAAAAAGTAGGGATTAACTGGAAGAAATTTGATGGTTTTACGGACAAATCGCTGAAAACCAAAGAACCTATTAGAATTAAGCAGCAAAAATGGTGAATTCGTATCATAGCCAGTGGCACTGGGAGATTTGACCATGCAAAGATCTCACTGCGACGCTGCTACAAAAATGTTGGTACCCGATGTGTCAGGTTGCTGAACCATCATAGTTCAGCTAGATCAGAAGCAGACGTTTGGGTGGCACAGCATTCATCAGCAATCAATGCAATCAATTTAGTAGGATGAAAACCGGTTGGTACTTTGAATGTGTTTCTTTCCATTCTATGTATAACTGTAACTCAGTGTATGTTTTTTGATACATATTCTTGGGATGACAGCCAGTTGAGGAATTGTGCTCAGGGCTAGCCCGATTTCAGCATGGAACGAGCGTGCTTCTGCCGACTTGTTGACCAAATAAGACCCGACAAGACTCTTGATGCTTGATTCGGATGTACCAAACATGATGTAGAACTTAAGATTCATTCCTAATCAAGCATCCAGGAATGGTGTACCCAAAAAAAATCACTCAGATTCCTGGGCCATGCTCGTCATGGAAAAGTTCCATTCATAGTCCCCAAAAAATGCAAAAAAAGGTACGCATCGTTTTATACGACATATATATATATATTCTCTATTATATTATGTATATATATATATACATACATAACATTCTAGAAAAATATTTGGATTTGAGTAACTTGGGCATCTTCATTTTTCTTTGGCTTTCCCCGAGCAGGCCTTGCTCTTGCTGGTCATTGGCCTTGCCATGCTGCTTTGGATGCTTTGGCTTCGGAACCGGCAACTCCCGGCGACCGGAAAAATCGGAACCGACCCCGCCTGATGTGGTGAAATGCGACCGGAGGGTCGGCTTGGGCTTTCCCGGACTAGAACATTTAAATGTGCATATCTTTTCAAAGGGCCCGCTTCCACAGCTGAGATCTATCTGAGATCTATGAGTCACTATGGTGAATCGGAAAGTTTGGAAGACGCTTGAAATCGGCTGTTCCATTCTGTTTGTGTATGAGCCATTACCAGCCCAAGTCATACCATGCTTTCTCTCTTCTGGCCTCAAACATGGCGCAGTCGTACCCATTCAGATCCCAGTCTATATATACCCTCTGGTAGTTTAACATAGCTATTGAAAATGGTCATTTTTAGTGGATTTAACCATTGAAAATGGGGATTTCCCATTGCTATGTTTGATTGCCGGAGGGTAGATTTTACATGATTTTATCATGTTACTTTACATGAGATGGTGATTCAAAATGACGTTCAAAGCAATGTGGGGGCATAGCCTCCAACCCTTGAATTTTGCTGATGTCCCAAGTAGCATGGCCAATTCAAATCCTGAAACTTGAAAATTGAAAGTCACAGAGTCTAGCATGGCAGATGTTCAAGCTAGCTAGGTATCTTCGTTCATTTTACTAAAAATGTCTATCTAGTTCAGCTGCACTCGGAAGTGGACTCGTTCTCGCCGTAGTTGTACAGTTTGGCGTCAGTTTGACTCGTCCATGCGACAATGGGAGACCGCTGAAGGCAGTTCCCTAATTAAAGAGTTGGAAGAATTTTCAAAAGCAGCGCCTTCGGAAGAAGATTGATCAGGGGATTCGACTTGGAGGCATGGATAGTCTATGTATAATTATGTGCATTATCTGATTTGTATCAAATTAATACATATAGGTATATATATATGTGTGTGTGTGTGTGTGACAAGTTGTCTGAGTATTGACCTGCATGCTTGAGATAATTTGACATACAAGATATGTGCGAACAAATTTAAGCATATGCCATATGCCGCATATAAAGATGGATACCTGGTAAACTAACATAAATATGGAAAATATTCATTTTTAATGGGTAAATCCACTATAAATCACCATTATCAATAGCTTTTTGTATGTTTACCAGAGGATACACACCTAAACACATAGAAATGTTGGAATGACATGATATGCATTTTTTTCCGAGATGTATACTCCCATCTCCGTCATACCCCCCATGTTTCATCACAGGACATTTGAGGTACCTAACTTGGAGGTGCCTACCATATGTAAGGTGTATGTAACTGGATATATACAGTGTGTATATACATACCTCCATATATACAGTATATGTGTATATGTGTATATATATATATATGTACTCCCAAAATTTGTCTTTATACCGTGCAGTCCCTCCATTTTAGGTACTTGAACTGACAGTTGAATTAAAACAAATCTAGACCCAATCCTTCACCAGGGTTCAAAAAGGCTCGGTTGATCCCCTTTAACTAGTTTGATCTTCAATCTACCATAAGCATAAACATCCCAGTTCACGTCCAGACACATCCATAACTGCTTGGTGGTTTGGAACATAACTGGATTTTGACTTTCCATTCAGTTGGGAATTTCATGATCCCAACTCACGAACTCACTCCATCATTTTTGAGAGGGGTAGGTTGAAACCACCAAACAGATAAACATCCCGATTCAAGCTTGTGAAGTGTAGTCATGAACCAACTTACCCTCCAGTAAATTAACATGGACCCTGAAAATCACCAATTTTTAGTGGAGACTAATCTTCCAACCCCTATCTGGCAGGGTCTATGTTAATTTACTGGAGGGTATCTATCATGAAATCTCCGTATTTTGTTGTTGCACCCTGCCGAAAAAACTCGCTCTGGTGCCCACTTTCTAGGAGGATCATCAGGATCATCCCATCAATATCTATGAGTTATATGTGGCTTATTATCGATAACTATGATCATTATTATCATAACTATATCATAGTATCTATGACTAGTATATGTATATATGTATCATATTATCAATATATTTGTTATATATGTATCATAGTATCTATGACTAGTATATATCATATATATATAATTATCTGTTAATGTCATGATTTGATATCAATAACCGTCACTATTAACCACTATTAAGCACTCATTACCTGGGCTGATCCTCCAAGTTATCCTCCGCAGGCACCACAGGCACCGGCGCCACCGTCGAATCTGTCGCTGCCGGGTGAGCCCATCGCCTTTGACGAGTGCCGATGCCCAGCACCGACGTGGCCCGATCCGTTGAAAAATGGCATACAAATGAGCCAAAACACATCAAAATACCATCAAAATACCTATAGAAAATACCATTAAATACCATGAAATACCATGAAAATACCTGGAAATTGATGGTTGAAACATGTTCCCCGCAACCCCCAAACAACGCATCCAAACAATATGATATACTTATCACCAGAGGATGAATGAAAACACTGGCTATACACAGTGATTTTGACTTTAAGTGTTTAGGATTTAGGGTTTTAATTTAGGGTTTTAGGTTTTAGGGTTTTGGTGTTTGTTGTTTTGGAAAGTAAAAAACTTAAACCCTGCGCAGGGATTTGAGCATGTCAAAGGATATGCGGGATTGGCCGCGGGCAAACCTAGGGGTTGCAGCGAGCATGTTTAACAACCAGAAATATGGCAGTTGGGGTTTTGCCATCCAAAATCGGGATGTTGCCACACCGGCTGCGGGTTGACCAGCAGGCCTAAGTCAACTTATTGTTAGTGGAACTTGCCATTTCTTGGGTTACATTATCAATGTTTGGGTGCGGAATGGGTCAAGCAATCAAAAAATCCAGAAAAAAGTAGGACAAGTTGTTGAAACGCAGCGCCGAGGCAGGGTGTGCCCATCATTGTCAGATCCGCCCGGGAATCCAAGGGAGGTCAGGGATTGAATGGGATTAATCATCAACCATCATAGAAATATAAACCAACAAAATTAGGGCTATATATGTATATGTACAAAAACTAAATCAGCCATAGTGAGCATATTAATGAGGATTTAATGGATAATAATCAACCATTTGATATTTGGGTGTGTCTGAACATGGGGTATACCCTAATGGACCAGCAAATTGAGTACTCTATTTTTCGACAAACTGATATCATATCACCAGTTTGCAACATTTTGCAACTATGCATGACTATAGTGTTCTGTTGGTATTCCTGCAACGCACCTCCAGTCCAAATAGCTGCCACTAATCTTGAAAAGGGGCGTGTTGGAGAGATGGTTTCAAGGACGTATCAATAGGTCACGGCTCATGATGGCTTGGAAGCGAAGCTTCTGACTCCCACCAATGATTGATGAAGCTCAACTGACTGCATGATATCGGGTTGGTGGTTTCAATGATAATTTGCTGTAAATTTTATATGGCATGACGATCCCCAATGATTAACATTCAATTCGGGACAAGTCGAAATCGCCAATCATTGGTCAGAATGGTTTTGTTTAATGGTTCTAATATCCCCATTTTTGTGACTTACAACTATCCCAATCATCCCAAAAGCATCCCCAAATCATCCCAAAATCATCCCAAAATCATCCCAATTTTACAATATCACCAGTTTATACTACGTATATACCATGTTTGTGGCTTGCAGTGGCTTACAACTATCCCGATTACCCCAAAATGATCCCAATTTTACAATATCACCAGTTTATACCATTCTCGGATCACTATATAATACATATATATATATATATAATATGGATTTACCAAGAAACATGGGGATTTCTTACTGATTTATTTGGATTTCTAATCAACTTATGATAGAATGATAGCATCACGTTGGTTGGCTGCCTGTGCCGCATTGTTCCGGTGCCGCAGAGTGGAACGTGGTGTTCCGCAGTTCCGTGGTTGATGATGGATGGTGGGATGACGGAGGACCCCCAGAGCTGGAGATTTCCCAGCGTGCTACGCTGTACGCCCAGAGCCATTTTGCCCTTTGCTGGCAGGGCCCCACGAACTTGGCTCCGAAATTTTATCCAACTTGACACTGTCCAACTCGAACATTTTTTCTCTCTAGAAGGGTGGAGAAAGAACATCTTGCCTTCAGGGTGCACACTGTTGGCTGCACAGACCTGCCAGGTAGCATTTTCCACAGCTTACAATGGCTTACAACTTTACAACTAGCCCAGGGATCCCAAAATCATCCCAAGTTATACCATTTTTGCCGCTTACAATGGCTCACAACTATCCCAACCATCCCAAAATCATCCGAATTGTCCAATATCACCAGTTTATACCATTTTTGTGGCTTACAATGGCTTACAACTATCCCACTCATCCCAAAATCATTCCAAATGTCCAATATCACCAGTTTATACCATTTTTTGGGGCTTACAATGGACAACAACTATCCCAACCATCCCAAAATCATTCCAAATGTCCAATATCACCCGTTTATACCATGTTTGTGGCTTGCACTGGACAACAACTATCCCAATCATACCAAAATCATCCTAATTTCCCAACATCACCATATTATATTTTTTGTGTGGCTTACAATGGCTTACAACTATCCCAATCATTCCAATTGATACTGTGCATCTCTATTTTGACCCCACAGGCCCCATAGGTTTTGTTTTTACGGGTCCACCAGGTGGAGTTGGGGCAATCGTCCGGAGGACCCAGGGGCTTCGCAACTAGGTAGTTGGAACTGGGATTTACACGAGCCAACGTGGAGACGCTGCCAACAATTGGTAATAGATGTTATTTTAAATTGGTAATAGCAATTGGTAATGTAATTGACAACAATTGGTAATTTAACACAATTTCCATGGCCAATGTTATTTTTGTTACCCTCTGGTAATTTAACATTGGTATGGAAAATCACAACTTTTGGTAGATAGATCATCTAGAAATGAGTGATTTTCCATAGCTATCTGAAATTACCGGAGGGTATGCCCACAAAGTGGATTTACATTTCAGTTTGGAAAAAACCTAACTTGTGAAACTGGATGCTCTTGAAATCGTTGTTGGCGCAAAAATCCGTTCAGAGTAAATTCCTCCCAAAACAATGCATCATTTGAAAGTCAGTTTGGCTCGCTGAATTCAACAGACAATTTTACAAGCATTTTACCTTCTTTGATATGTTCATCATGATCGTGCTGTTTGCTAACCATCGGTTCTTGATCGAAAGCCATTTTAACCATCTACCCTTTGGTAATTTAACATAGCTACTGAAAATGGCCTTTTATAGTGGATTTACCCATTAAAAATGGTGGATCTTTCCAGTTCGTTATGGGACACTTTACCAGAGGGTAATCCCATCATTTTCAGAAGCTCCTTTTTTTCGAAGCCTCAAACTGAAGAAAAAAAACCACCAGGATCGTGTCCCGGGAGGAGAGGGAATGATGTGGGTACTCTCCCGGAGTTGATGTCCCGCAATCAAAGTATTGTTCAGACGGGGTGGCGAATTTTCATCGCTCATGAAGATAATGTTGATGTAATTGCCCGATTCAACATATTGGCCATAGAGGGTGGCGTGTTGTTAGCCCGTTCAGCATATTGGTCATAGGGGGTGGCGGATTTGGATCCCTCATTATGATCAGGTGATATTGTTTCCTCATGAAGATAATAACTGTATACAAAGTATCTTTCACATGCCAACGTGGCCTAATTTCCCCCTGGGCCTTGCCTGGATTCGCAACTTCCGAGCAACACAGAATTGTCTCTGTTATGTCACAATGATGAGTCTGGGCGAACGTTAAGGTTGCGGACAACATGTCTGATTTTTTCTATCATATATTGGAAATATTACTCCCAACTGGCTCATATTTTTCAGAGGTGAGGCAAATCAAATGCAGATGATGGAGGATGATCACCAGGCGCCGACGCTGCACCGCCACAGGCAGCGCCAATCGCGTACATGGCGCCGATTGAGCCGATTTCACCGAGCGCGGCGAGCGCGGCAGCCAGCAGTTCCTCCTTCTTTGAAGCGACAAGGTTTACGCTTGTGTGCCAGGCAAAGGGCCATGGCAAAGGTCCTCCCGAGGCCTGTTCCATGGCACTTCAACTTTTTCGATCTATCACCAGTGTGGGACAACTTTCCCTCAGAGTTGATCCTCAGCCTGGAAGCTGAGGTGGAGCTGTCGAACCACCGCCTTGTGTAAGTCAGTTTAATTGTAAGAGTATCCTATTGTTTGCGCGCAATGTCTTGGGAGTTGTTCTTTTTTCTATGTATTGGTTTGGTCCATGTTTCTATGTGTTTTTTCTGTTTCATGTATTCATGTATTCTTTGCTAGTAATTTGGAACCACCCAAATGTTTTTGTCTGAAAATAATGTACCCCGAAATCCATGGATTCATCATATTTTTTATTAAACTTGCAATAGCTGGAGGGGATACCCCATTTTCAGACACACCCTTAGAGATCAGATGGTTGAATATATGTCCCGTTAAGTCCCCTTGGTATATATTTTCTAAAAAAAAGCGTTCAATCCCATATGATCATTTTTTAGATCCCATGGATTTCCCATTGTATTTCAAAGATTGTCTTTCTATTGATTTCCCATTTATACCCCATTGATTTTCCAATTGATTTCCCATTGATTTACCATTTATATCCCATTGGTTCTGCGATTTGATTGTCCCCTTTTTGTTCTTAGATTGTCGATGCCATATTTCATAGATGCCATGTCCATGGATACGCATTGGGATCTATTGGGTCAACATTTTTTTTCCAATCCAGTCGTGGGGGTACCTGAAAAAATCATCCAGTCGTACCATGACTTACCATCTGGTTATTTAAGATAGCCATGGAAAATCACAATTTTTAATAGGTAAACCATCTATAAATGGGCCATTTTCCATGGCTATGTTAAATAACCAGAGGGTAATATTGAAACCCATCTCCATGACTGCCCGAAAAAATCTCCATGACCATGTTTCCTGATAAAATCACCATGGAAAACCTTCATGAAACCGGATGTTTTGTGCCACCATCTTTGCACAGTTTTGCGAAGGTTAAAATCACCATCCTCCCTGGTCCGCGATCTCCTGAAAAGGCGTCATTATGTCTTGAACGAAGACGGCAAGTGGCACACCTTCGGGGACCGCACGGTGCCGCCCATTTCGAATGTTGGGTGAAGATCTTCAGTGACCTACGTATCATAGGACAGTCATTTACCCTCTGGTTATGTCAAACATAGCTACTGAAAATGGCCCTTTATAGTGGATTTACCCATTGAAAATGGTGGATCTTTCCATAGTTATGGGACAGTTTACCAGAGGGCACTGTCCTCAAAACCACACCCACATATCATCTATCTTTTCTATCTTTGTCTATTTTTTGCATCTAACTCCGTAGATGTTCTTTCCAGTTCACCGTTCTGGTGCTTGTTTCGCTGCTTTCCTCATTGTCTCCCATTCCCGAAGTGACGCATGCAGAACCTGATCAAGGCTTACATCTCCAATGGCGCTTAAGTTCACAAATCTTGGTGGCTCGGGCAATCAAATATGGAAATGGGAAGTCCCTGCAAATGGAGGTATGTGAATATTAAAATGAGAAAAACACATAAATGTGGAACTTTTATTCATGTTCCCTTCTCAAGACTTTTGGCTGAGCTTACAAAGCATCATGTGATCTTCACATGCTGATCATATGATTATCTTTCTGCCAAAAAATGATTCCATTTCCGTTTGTGATTATATTGAAGTATGTACTATCATCTCCTTAAATCACTGACCTTTTCAGCCTTGTGAATTATCAGTTCCCCTGATGTATATATATATATACACATATCATATAATATACATTTATACAAATGTCATATATATATATATATACATTATATACATACATATACTCATATATATATATATACACATATGTATACATGTGAAATATATAGGTACCCATGTATATATATATATACACACTTATATACATTTATATGTGCATATAGATTTACACACCTTTAATCTATAGTTATATCTATGTACATTTGCTCTATGTATATATGTAATATATATATATATATTATTTTGTATACGTACAAATATGGCACATAAGAATATGCACATGACATGTACATCGCCAGGTCGACTCGTTGATGAAATCCGGGGAAGACACTGCCAGGCGGTGGTTGGCATCTGCTTGTTTTTTCCAAGATGAGGAATATGTAAAATCACCTTTTGTAGGAGTATTCTAGGAAATTAGCATACGATTTTTTTAGGATTATCAATAGGATGATTATGCGTTTTTTTTTTTACATGGTATGTAGATCATAGAGTCATATTATAGGATGAATCACCTTCATGAACCACGGATGGTTATTTCAAGATGCCACGGAAAGTCACTGTAGGGAACCCGATGATTTTTGGACAGCCTGACCTGAATTTTCTTGTGGATGATGAGCATCGGGCCATGAGAAATGTGCCCCTATGGCATCCATAAAAATTTCTGGTTGGTTGATAGATATCCCGTGAAAATTGTGGGTTCGTGTTGATAACCCGTTGATAAATATCGATAAGTCAGATACCCTGATAACCCCCTACAACCAATCAAACAGAATTTATCAAGGATATCCCCATTTCTTGCATATTCAATCCATCTAAGTCCCATACTTTGGTGGTGAAACTGCCCATGGAATAAGCAATCACCTGTGGTTTTTTTTTCATGGCTCATTTGATTGGAATCCCAGGAACCACAGAAGATTGCAATATAGCCACTGCAAAAGGCGCTTATAGTTTACACAGTTCACGCAGAATAGTTTATAGAAAAAATATATGAACTATGAACATATGCCTTTATGGTGATTGATAATTGGACGTTTCACCAGACGTTTGTAGATGACATACTTCCGAAAAAATCATGCTGAAATCCACCTTGCGATGGATAGCCTTAGATTGCCTTAGATAACCACAGTTACAGGTGTTTTTTCCAAGAAAAAATGGTGGTTACCCCATGACCCCCAGGACCCCCAGTTACACCCCTGGCCTCCAGGGAATGGCTGGGTGCACTGAGTCATCGCGATGTGCGTGGCTTAGTGCATGAGCTCGGGCGTGCGGAAGCATAGATCAATGGGATGGCCCTGGGATGGCCTGGATGGAGAGTGGGTCGATGGATGGGAAAACCCCCAGTTTCTCCAGGATGATGTTAATCATCAAACTTTGTTGAACTCTGTTTTGTGACTGATGATGCTTTTGCAAGTTTATGGATGATTGAATGATGGAAGCTTTTTTATTGGGATTTTGTTGGATGTTTGTTGCCAGGTGTTTATCGTTCTCGCCGAAAAGCAGTGGGGAAACCCCCATTGGTAGTAGATGGTTCACGTGATGATCATTCGATCATACCCTTCAGGAATTAAACAGTTGGCTATGGAAAATGACCTGTTTACTTCAATGATTGACCTATCAGCCTATAACATGTTGATTTTCTATAGCATTATTCATTATTGTCTATTTAATTTAGTTCAATATTTTGCCTTATAAAAATGCGCATTTTCTATAGAAAACTGTTTGCACATGGTATTCCCAAATCATCCAAAAATAAGCTTCCCCAAAATTAGATGGTTTAAAACTTCATTTTCCTTGTGTTTGAATAGTCAGGTGGAACTATACCATATTTTTCCTCATGATCTCCCAAGCGCTCAAGCCGCACCTTAGAACGCTTGCTGAAGAGCTCGCAACTCTACCAGAAGCAGCAGGCGTCCCGGACCAAACGGGACGCCCTTCTTGATCGACATAGACATGACCAAAAATCCTTTAGGTTATGATTACCATCTGGTTATTTAACATAGCGAACTGGAAAATCCATTATAAATGGAGGCTTTAATGGGAAAATCACCTGTAAACTGGCCATTTGCCATAGCTATGTCAAATAACCAGAGGGTATTCATAGTTTTAACAACCTAAGGTTTCTTAGGTTTTGATTTTGAAATAACAACCCAAAGATCTTTATGTTACCTAGGCACATAGTCTAAAGCCTGCTAACGTCTAAAACATGGTTAGCCTGCTGAACAATAACAGAAACGGCAGCAATATGTTCGACCAAACTCTTTGTTTTGAGTCTAACTATATCTTTATCTATATAGTGTTTTTTGTTTGTTTTCACTGTACCATATCTTATACCCAAATTCAAATATCTACTACATACATATATATATACAATTTATATATTGATATCGCTATATTTCTATATATATATATATATATCCATGTCCATATCTGCATGTGCATGTTTACCTATTAAACTTCACGAGCTCCTGGGTTTTTGTGATTTTTAGGGAATATTGGATATCAAGGTCAAGATGCAATATTTGGTGCAGTGTACGCGCACAAAGGTGGCACCAAAAAACTTAAGCGTCATGGTTTGCACGGGTTTGCACTGGATCAGCCTTCCATAAATGGAATTGGTCCAATTAATCGTTCAGAAAAAATGAAACGGTCGGAAACAGTCGGAAACGGTCGGAAACATGATCAGGCCAAAACTTGTCCAACCCGCCTTTTTTTAAATAAGCATTTCCGCGCAACGCCGTTTCCTTTTTGAAGGTCCAAAGGTGTCCAAGGGGAAACTTTTTGCCGAGCGAAGGTGCGATCTCCGACTGTTTCCAACCGTTTCCCCTTGGACACCTTTGGACCTTCAAAAAAAAAACGGCGTTGCGCGGAAATGCTTATTTTAAAAAAAGGCGGGTTGGACAAGTTTTGGCCTGATCATGTTTCCGACCGTTTCCGACCGTTTCCGACCGTTTCATTTTTTCTGAACGATTAATTGGACCAATTCCATTTATGGAAGCCTGATCCAGTGCAAACCCGTGCAAACCATGACGCTTGGGTTTTTTGGTGCCACCCTTGTGCGCGTACACTGCACCAAATATTGCATCTTGACCTTGATATCCAATATTCCCTAAAAATCACAAAAACCCAGGAGCTCGTGAAATTTAATATGTTTACCTATATCTAGATTGACTTATGTTTTATTACAGTTTATATTTTTCTAACACCTATGTCTACATAAATCTGCTCACGTATATAAATATGTCTATACATGTATATATATATATAATTATGTGCGTGTATCTGAATGTACTGTATATCTGAATCGATATCTTTATCTATGTCTATGTCTATACCACTCTGTACCTATTTTTATGCCTCTATCTATTCACTCAGATATAGACATGTGACATCATGTGACTGTGTTTTTTCCCGAATATGCATGCCGGTGTTCTGCATGCACAGTGCGCCAGGGAGTGTTGGAGTTTATTTGTGACATGGCGGACTACGCCTTCTTCGGCCGGGCCGCACAGGGGACCAGGTCGTTGTAGGGCTGATATCCCACTGGCCCATAACTTCCAGGGAGCAGACAACCATAATAAAAAAGCCGACTACATCCCATAGGTGTGGGGAATGGAACATTTGCAATCATTTGCATGATTATTCCATTAGTTGGAACTTTCATAATCCCAACTGACTCCATCATTTTTCAGAGGGGTAGGCTCAACCACCAAGCAGATGATATCCCATGATTGTAACTTCAACTGAAGCCCCAAGGTTCACTTCGTATGACTGGATTCAACGTTCAACATCCATTGCCATTTCTTGAGGTTTGACATCCCAATGCAGCGAAAGGGAACTGGACAATGCCTACCGGAAAATGGCCAAGAAGATGCATCCGGATAAGACCCTTGGAACGGATCGATGGCATGATGGAATAAGCCAAGGGCAGCCAAGGTTTAGGGTTTGTGCGAAGGAAGTGTGAACGAAATGTGGAAGGATGGGCCGTTTTTAAAGATAGTTTGGGAACTTTGGCACCCTCTGGTAATGACTAACAGTTTGTGAACTGGAAAATTACCATCTATAATTAGTAAATGATCTATCAATGGGTCATTTTCCATAGCTATGTTAGTTTACCGGAGGGTAGGGTGGCGGGCTGTTCTCACATGTTCCCATGACTTGTCCTCGCCGAGTTGCGCCCGTTTTTTTGGGTGGCTTGGGAGAAATACGACACCATTCGGGTGCCAGTGAGATACGTTTTTTTGGTTTACATATAGAGAGATGTTGTATATAATTGTATATGATTACATGTATGTATACATATAGATGTATGTATACATATATATATATACATATATATATACATACACAATAATTGCTACCTACTGTATATACATGCTTGCATGCGTACACACGATGCACGTACGCGCATGCATTTTTTCTGCGCATTTTCTATTTGCATATATATAAATATGCATGTGACCATTCTTGCTCGGCGATCAGCTGCTGATAATCATGCTTTCGTGTCATTCTTGGAACAGATTGCAGGCTAAATATCAAAGTGTTGATATGTCCCATGAAAAATCCCCTTCACATTCCTTTGTAACTCCCATGCATATTCCAATCCCATCAATAGTTCGTTGGATGTCATGGACAAATCAGTTAAAAAATATTTTAAAGGTATATTATATAATCATTAAAACCAATATTAATCCCATGAAATTTCTATTAAATATCATCAAGATATTCCATTCCAAAAGGGCCTGATGGGGGAATCGCCGCCTTTGCTGCATGGTTTGAGGAATGGGGGCACTGATATGGCGAAGAAACGCTTTCAGCACATGAAGGAGATGGTAATATCAGCTCATGGGAATATTATGGAATATTACCCTCTGGTAAGCTAACAGTTTGCGAACTGGAAAATCCGTGATTTTTGATGGGTAAATGAACTACTTCTATGGCCATGTTCAATAGCTTTTTGTATGTTTGCCAGAGGGGATTGAGTTGGATGATGGGCATTTTTGAGAAATTTTAGGGGAAACCCGAATACGTCTATACTTACCACTTAAAAGAAACACATGGTTTCCTGCAGGATGATTCCATCCTTAAAGCGAAGGGGGATGTGTCACCCAAACTCCTGGTGCCTTGCTGGTGTTCATCTCCAATGGCTTACTCCAACATATAGCTTTAGTAGATGAAAGAAGCATCCACAACTTCAATGGGATATTCCCTTACATAGGCCTTACATAGGCCTTATATATGGTAGATACCTCCAATTTAGGATCTTGAAATGGCCCCGACAACTACTGTATATCTGCAGATATCACAGAGGTTCCACCCATTGTTTTCCCCTGAGTTTCACCATGCTTCACCATGCTTCACCGTGAAAACCGCCGTGTCAGGAGCGCTACGAGAGCCTGAAAGCTCGAAGAGGGGCAGGCGAAGCAGTTGATCCCGGTGTCCTTCCTGTGATTTCTTACAGTTTGCTAAGGAGAAAATGGTCATTTATAGACTTGATGATCTTGATTTACCATGATGTACCTCTTAGAAATGGTGATGTTCATTGATTTTCCATTGCTAGGTTAGTTTACCAGAGGGTATCCTCCAGTGCTCATGGGTATATGATGGGAATATTAAACTCTATATATATATATTATATGTATATATATATAGTGTGTACCAATGGATAACTAATGATGTTTGAATAGCCTCGGGTGTCCTCAAACATGGCTGGGAAGTCCCCGAACCAAACGGCTGGGCATGGAATGCCGTGGGAAATTCAGAACCGTAGCTCCGGTGGAGTTTCCAGAAAGCCATGGAGCTGATGGCCAGAGGCTATCCCTATTTGAAAAGCGTATCCATTTAAGGATTACAACGTTTGATTTTATGGCTATCTCATCTGGTTGGTGGTTTGGAAAATAACTGGATTATGACTTTCCATATAATGAGAATTTCATCATCCCATTTGACTAATATTTTTCAGAGGGGTTGAAACCACCAAGCCAACCAGTCATTGTTGCATATTTGCACATGTGGGAAAGCCAAAAATAAACCTGCATGCAACCCGGTTCTGGTATTGTATGATCATATACTTGAATGTACATGCCAGTTATACCTGAAAATATCACCAGTTAGTATGGAGTAATTATATCAACAAAAATACTTGGGTGTGCATACCAGTTCATATCACCATATATATATATACTTATATTTTTATATATATGTGGGTGTTTCTTAAATTGGGGGTACCCCAAAATGGATGGTTTATAGGGGAAAATCCCAATCTAAAATGGATGATTTTTTGGTACCCTTATACCAGTTCTCCCGCTTCTCGATTCCAGGCCCGCCACCACCAGAGGAGGCCCCTCTTTTTTGGCGAAAGCTCCTAGGTTGCTTCGTTTGGGCGAAAGTGTTGGAACATGTATATGTAAAAAAAATGGAGTTCATGAAGCAAAACTTGGATTTCAGCAACGAAATACGGATTTTGTCAAACATATGTATTTTAGGTAATTGTGATGTGGTCAAGCACCAACAGGAGGATGCATCATGCATCTCCATTGATTGCTATGGTGATCCGTAGCATGGGGTTAAGAATTATGTGCAGGCCGCGGCTGGAAATGTACAATAAGAATAGGGAAAAAAATGAAGGGTATAACTTTGAAGCTGATTTAAAGATTTAAAGTTGAGACAGTTGAGGCGTATAACACATAAATACAATCTTTCGAAAAGAATTGTGTTAAGAGTCGTATTAAAAGTCTATTTTTCAAACTCTTTTGGAAATAGTATTTTGGAATCTTATCTGTAAAGGAATCACGTCAAAACTTCTGCAAAAAGTTTATCTTTTGAAAATCCATATCCATAGATTCTGTTCAAACCTTTATTTACTGTAACATAATCAGTTTATTTCACCAAAATATACATTGTACATATGTTTTTGACATTGCGCAAAGAATAGTTTTAAGATTCTAAGATTTTAAAATGTATTTGTTCACATCAAAAACCGAAAAGCAAACGAAATGTAAACTGACTAGAACTAAAACGAAGAAAATGGAACACAGTTTGATCCAAAAGATAACCACAAGATATTCAAAACTGAAGATTCAAGATATTAAGCTGTTCCAATGTTAAACCAAAACCCGTACAAATGTTTTAATGTCCTCAATTCTGCCAAGATCGCATGTTTGCTTTGATCAATCATCATTTTTCCATTGCTGTTCTTTGTTTTTATTTCTGCTAAGGTTGTCTTCTTTGTTTTTTGTCGTAGTTTTACTATTTCTGCGTTTTCCAGTCGAAGCCTGCTACTGCTATACAGAAACATAAGGGCGCAGTTGGGCTTAAATTGGGGAGGTAGCCACACTCATCACAGCTAGTTGGGATACACCTGAACCCGTTAACCCTGGGGATCCACGGAACATTAGCTGGAACTGGGTTCCCCATTAGCAACAAAGAGAGATTTATTTCAAAGCATAAAATGGTGTGACACTAGGATATGCTGAAAGGCTCTGATGATTGGAATGATTGGGATGCTGCTGGTATTAACAAAGAAACTATCAATGACGGTTAAAAAACCGTTAATCCACCCTTGCACTTTGGATTTATTGGGGCTGCCCCTTGGGGTATTGGCTGAATCCCCATGACCGAATCAGTTCGCAACTGCGATGTTTTTTCTTTGCTATCTGTGGCTTCATCACTTCCCATCCTTGGGGTGGCCCCATGTTTCATGGGAAACCACCATCCAAACGATGCAAAGATCTCAGGAGTGTTGGTGAAATATTCCCACGACCATCACCATGGTGGAATATCTTTGAATCAGTTTACCAACGTTCTTTTCTCCAAATCTTGTGTGCAACCCTACACAAAGTTTGGAAGCTGACACATGTTACTCCTCGACAAGTGTTTGAAAAAGTGATGTTTTTTGCACATGGCAAAAAATGCTGAAAATTTACGACCTGAACAGCGCAACGCTTTATAAACGGAGGAGTGTTTGTTCTATTGGATTCCTGGTCATTTTGGGTGTTCCAACCAACCGTCAAAGGATTCCCGTGCACACCATGCCAGGAGGATTCGGAAGAGTCACAGGCTCAGCAATTCCAAAGACACTGTAGCAATCGTAAGATCATGTAAGATCCAAAGATCCTTTTGGGTGCCAGTGCCCCCGCCTTTCTGGACAAACCGTCGTACCGAGGCCCAAACCTGAAAATGACACTGGCAGGACTCGGGAAAACATTGCCAGGTTCACCAGTTTCCACGTCTCATCTGGAGGTTTTCCGTTTTGTCATGGGGGTACTCAGAAATCATCTAAATACGACCATGACTTCGTATTGAAACCCATGGTGACGACTGGGGACTCCCTACTTTAAGAAATCCCCATAGAACAAGTTCCCTTGGTTTCCTGATGTTGAGACCGTTTGAAGGGTTGGTGGTTGGCCACCATTCAAAAAGGTCAAACTTTTAGAGGTCACCAACTGGGAAGGCGTACGGAGTGGAATTTTTCGACACCTCATGGGTCAGTGCCCCACTGTTCAAGTCACTACAGTCAATGTCAACATTGTTTGTGGCTAGTAATTTCGATCCTCTTCGGCTCCCCCCAAAAAGTGGTTTATGTATAGTTTCTATTGGATGTATTCATTTTCGGGCCCCATCTGCGAGATGTTCATTGCCAGGGAATGGGCTTGATAGGATTGTTAAGCCATGCGTTCAAACTGTACAGTAAATGTTCTAATCACCAAAGATTTGAAAAGCAAACCAATGATATGGACAACAAAACCGAGGGAATCATGAGATCTCAAGCCATATCAGGGATTGGACACTTCCGGCAAACAAAAATTGGGGCGCCAGAGCCAGAGCGAGGATTGAATTTGATCCTTTTGACAGAAAGTCCTTGGACCAGACTGCAGGGTGCTCAATTTGGAACCACCAACAGACCCTGCCTACAGATCTTGGCAACTGGAAGATCTTTCCTTTTTTTGAAGCTGATTGCCTATTTAGTTCGTGGATTTCCCAATCCTGTTGGATTTCTGGTATGCAAAAGGCCCCTGTTGACCCCACTTGGACATTGTCTGAAAATGGGAGATACCAGAAATGGCGGTTTTTTAAAAAGGGAAAGAAACCACTGGTTCACAGAATTGGTTTAAGGGAAAATTCAAACCGGAAAGCCCCGTATTTAATGGAAAATCGATGGTTTTCGGTTAAGATTTTCCCAACAAAACCAATGCATTGATTTGGTTCCCACAAACAGATGATGGAAGAGTGTCCGAACTGTTTGGCAACACTGGCAAAAAATGTTTCTTGATTTCACCCATTTGGATTTTTTTTTGGTACCAGTTGGTACCCTCAGAAAAAAATAAGCTGGTTATAAACCACAAGAACTATAGTATCCCCTACAAACCATAGTAACTGTTAGTCAATATTGGTTCATAGTGAATGATGGGAATATGTTGAATCACTATAACTATATGTTATAATTGTAGTTATAAATCAACTTAGCTAACGAACTGGGGCACCACATTGTAGGATCACCACTTCTTGGCATCCCAAGTCATTTCTGAATGCTGGAAAATTCCTGGTTTAGGCCAAGGCCGATGGGACGAAAAAATGATGCAACCCAAACAAAAACCACCCGAATTGTGGCTGGTTCCCATTATTTTTTCCATTTTCCTGACTTTAGCCGCTATAGCCCTACTTCAATTGGTGAATGTTGATAGTATGATCTTAAATCCAAGGGTTTTTTCCGGGTTGGTCGACTAGTCACACACCGCGCCGCCATGGCAGTTGTGAAGGATCCATGGTAGGGAACAAGATCAGGTGGATGACAGGAACTCGTTACCATGAGAAGGCGAAGTCGGTCCTAACGAGACCCAAAAAATGTTGCATGACCATGGTTTGCCGCAGCTGCAACAACGTTTTCCCTACTACCTTCCGCCACGGGTGTGTCTTAAACTTGAGGATACCTCAAACAGCCACTTTCGTAGGATAAAATTGATGATACGTAAAAAATTGCTGATAAAAGATCAAAATGGGGAGTGGTCCCTAAACCGTATTGTCTCTTTGCTTTTCAGCCCTCCTTGGAAAATGACATTGGGTGAGCACAAAGTCGACGGACTTCCCCCCAACTTGACCAAGGGCCCAAGCATTGTCAGTGCTTAAGGTAAAACTGTAAAACCATCTTAACCATCTTAACTGGATCTGTGGTCCTCACATAAATCCAGCGTTTATTCGGGGGAGAACAGTAATCCCATCCGGATGGATGTTGGAATCACCAGTAATTACTTTGTGTCCACTGGCATTTCTCCATACCAAAGCCTTGCGCCGTTGCGCGCAGTGCTTCGCCATGGCAGCTATGAGTCTGGAAGAGCATCACCAGTGGCTGCTGGTTCCGCCCAGTCCTTTTTTGTCGTCAAGTCATCAGCGGTTTGGATGTCTATCTTCATCTTTGTCGTGTGTGCGTATTATGGAGGTGTCCTAAAATGGGGTGGTACTCCTAAATCATCAACTGTATCAGGATTTTTCTATTGTAAATATGTATAAATCATCCATTTTGGGGTACCCCATTTTAGGAAACCTCCTCATGTATACGTATGTTCAAGGAAACCATCAGATTAGTTTGGCACGTGTGGATGCACACAATTTGTAGATGTCTTGGGGGGACGTATCCAATTCTTATGTTCTCCCAGCTGAAAAAAAAACACGTTTCCAGATAGGGAGTAGCAAATGGGCTATACAGAGGGCAATGCACTAAATCAAATTGTATAAATACCCCGTTGATATGTTACGAGCTGGTTCTTTTGGTGATGGTCAGAACCCACATTGGGGGATATAATATATGTATATTTATATATACATTTATATATATACATATATATACATATATATACATATATATATATATACATATATACATATATAAACATATGTGTGTGTATGTGTGTGTGTGTTTAGGTGTTCAAAGGATGTGCTATGGTAGTGTGATAGGTATCTATGATGGTCATCCTATGCAAAAAAAATGACTTGGACGTTTGTATCTCTTGACTAACCAGCAGAAAGTAGTGCCTGGACCTGATAGATGTTACTGTTTATGTGTCAAAGTCTGATCTACAAGGTTTTTTGCAATGATGGATAATGATTAATTATACTGGTTTGTATCAAACATGTTGATCTTTAGAACCAATGGCATAATCATAATCAAAATTAATTAACCATTGAGATCAAACTTCGGTTGACCATTGGAGTTTAACTAAGTCACTGTATATTGAGCCCAATTATGATTGGTTTTTAGTTGTTTATATCAACATTTAGTATTTACACCATATTTTTTGTGCGCGTAATGAAACCCAATGATGTTTAGTTTGTTTTAGTTTTAGTGTTTTCACCTAAAACCATTTAGAAACCATTTTAAAACCCAGATGTTACTATTATTTTGATTCTAAAACCATATAAAACCCAAAGGTTCGGCGAAATTTTGACCCCCCAATGCTTCGATCCCCGCCATTTCGCAGTCCACCGGCCACTTCTCCGACCTCACCCTGCACGCGCGCGGCGCAGCGGGGTGCCGCAAGAAGTGGCGCTTGCACCGCAGCGTGGTGGTGCGATCGCCGTACTTCCAACGGATGTGCCTTGAAAATGGCGAACGGTAATGTGGCCTAGGTAGTTTGAAAGGAGCATCTGGGTGAATCAACTGATGAACCGAGATTTTTTGAGGTATTTGATGGTATTTCTGGTTGGTGGTTTCAAACATGTGTTATTTTCCATTTCATATATGGGACGTCATCCTTCCCATTGACGAACTCCATCATTTTTCAAGATAGTTTTTTAAACCACCAACTAGATTATAGATCCATTTTTCATGGTTAAATTGGTTAAACCTCCATTTTTCATAGGAAAATTGGTTATTTGATGGTTATTTGATGGTATTTCAAATTCCGCCAAAAAAAAAAGGATGTGAATTCCCAATGAGTCGCTGGATGGCCATTTTGGTTGCCTGGTTGCCTGGTTGCCTCAGGTTGACGGGTGACTGGGATGAAGCCAAAAAGCAGGAGCACAAGCGCTGAGCCACCCCCAGTCGATGCCAAAAAGCCCTGGAAAAGATGGGAGAAACATAGAATCAACAAAAATCAGCACCTTTTGTGGGGTGCTATAACTAACTTCTGGTTGGTGGTTTGGAATATTTGGATTATTTTTCCATATATTGGGAATAATAATACCAACTGACTAATATTTTCCAGAGGGGTTAAAACCACCAACCAGACTTGATTGATGTACTGTACCAGAGAAATTGGCCACATTCATCCGCATTCATCGTATTGGAACCGATTGAATGTGATTTGATCAGCGCCCCTTATGTTTGGGACCCGCCCCAATATCTATCCCATGGTAACATTTCTTGCAAAACATCAACGTTGATAATTATGAGTAAGTTACCTTTTGATATTCACCAAGTTGGTATTTACTTAATACAAACCAAATACCAGGCATTAAATACTGTATAATAAATACATAAATATATAAATAAATGATATAAGGGTAACCATGGAATATTCACCATCAATCATGGCCATTAAACATGAACTATGTATCAAATACCGACCATTGGAAACCTGGAGGAGATCGACCTAGAGTGTCTAGAAGTTCCAGGCGGGAGTCAAGGGGATATCAAAAAACGACTGGGTTACGGAAGATCATCAAGTCTTGGTAGATCTTTGATGGTTAGTAAGTACCAATTTGGTATTTATTTAATAGGTACCAACAGATTTAGGTGTTTTGCTAGTTTCAAAGATGTGCAATCTATGTGCTACCTCCATCTATGTGCCATTCAACACCATCCTACTTCAGATGTCCAAACATTTTTTAATGCATGTATATAACCCAATTTTTAGCGTTTAATTGTGTACACGACTCTTGTACATATACAATCATATACACATTATAGAACAATCAAACAAAAACAGCGCATGTATATACCACCTGGTTATGACTAACAGTTCGCCATGGAAAGATCCACCATTTTATAGCTAGATAAACCATCATTTTCTATGGGCCATCTTTACCATGGCTATCAATCTGTCGAAATAGGTAAACCATCTATAAATGGGAAAATCACCATTTAATAGGTAAACCATCTATTTCTATGGGCCATCTATACCATGGCAAACTGTTAGTCATAACCAGAGGGTAGTTCAATCTGTCGAAATCATAAAATCGGAAATTCTGTTGAAATCGCTCAGCGTTTAGGCCTCACTGTGGACGGCCTCAACGCAGCCTTGCACTACCTCTATGCCAAGAAGCTGGAGATGCTTAGTATGGAGGCACCGCAGCCCAGGATTCATCGGATTTTCACCACCGAAGATAAGAAAAAAATGGTGTTTCTATGGGATTATAATGGGATTATGCTGGTGGTGTTGGTGCACCGGTTAGCTAACTTGCTTTATAACAACAATTCTTTATGGAGGATATAGTATTCTATAGTTACTATGGGTGCCACCTTGTATGGGAAAGTATATGGGATAATCATCTATAAATAGGATGATGATCTATGGCTAGCTGGACAATATATGAAAATGATTGACAAAGATGGGTGATTTTCCAGTGACCGGTGAATTTGCTGGATATTGCTAGGTTGATGAACCATCAGTTTACTAATGTGGCGGTACCAGTTTTACAGTATGTTACTAAGTATTTTATAATCCGGGGACTGAAGGCTGGACGACCATCGAATCACTAGCAGACATCATCAATGGCCATTTCAGGTACCTAAACTTTCAAACTGGAGCTACTGTATAGCATATTTTTTCAGGCATTGGAGGTATATCCCCTGAAATTTCGCCCTTGCCCATTGCCATCTCCAGATTGTTTAGACTCGGCCCAACTGAAGGGCTTGAATTCCCGTGTCAAGGTTGCTCCAAAATATGCAGGTTTTACCAACATGTTTTGACAGTTTAAACTAACATAGCTATTGAAAATGGTGATTTATAGTGGATTTACCCATTAAACATGGTGATTTTCCATAGTTATATGGGACAGTTTACCAGAGGGTACCCTTGTACCTGCGGCTTAGAATTGTTTGTTGTCATCGTTCTGTTGTTGGTTCAAGATCCATCGGTGGATCGAAATCCAGTGTTTGCAGTGTGTGTGTGTCTCTTTTTTTGGTTTCGGAAAATTCCCCAAAAAAATGGATGAAAATGACAGTTATACATGGAAGATTCCCAGTTATATGATTATATATGATAAACATTGATAAACCACTTACTACCTGGCTCTCTAGCCCCTTTAGATCCAGCCATTTGTGGAAGGCTTTCGCCGAGGCCTTGGTTGCCTTGAAGTGGCCTGGCCATTTTTAAGCCCGAATTTCACCGTCTGGAAATTGGGTGATACATTTAATGGCCATTTTCTGATACCATTTGATGGCAACGTTTAATGGCAATTTAATGGAATTCTCGTATTTATATAGTGAAAATAGTGGTGATGAAGCATCAAATCTAGGGGTACTCTATGTTTAGACTTACGGGTTCAACAAGGGGATACGGATCAAAGGTCAATTGTTTGTCATTGAGTCATCCATTCTTCGGGATGCGTTTGACATGCCATGCCTGGTTTGGTGATGTTTGAGAGCATGTCACCCTGGAAAGAAGTGCTGGGATGGGAGCTTGGCATGAATATCCAAGATGTAGAATATCTATGAGAATCCACTAGTTGAGAATTTTCCTAGAAGAGTTAGTGGAAGACTTGGAACACTTCATTTGGGTGTGTCTATTTGGCTTGTTTTGTACCCCCAAATCCACTGGCTGATCATCCTTTTCACCACTCAAATGGCCATTGGAGGGGTCTATCTTAGTTTCCTGTAAGGTAAACAAACTGAAATACCTTCTGGTGCCATCAGGCATGGTTTAGGTTTGCTGGAAAATTCCCCAGTAAATGATTTTCCCAGCTAGTTTGATTCCCAGGTTTCTTCTATTGGATGACGCGGTGACAGAGTTGCTAAAGAGCTTGGACGTGACCTTACCGTGCACCGCGGCAGCAGGGACTGGAGCCTTGGGAACTATCTGATCCTGCAGTTGCTAGACCAAGGTACCAAGATCCCCCATGGAGGGGGGGCAGGGCAGTACAAAAATACACAAGTTTTCCTATGCCATTCATTCAGTCGAGAACCTCCGAAAAGTGGGAACACCTGGCAATTTGAGGATGCTGCTGTCATTTGTGACATTGCCTCATTCTAGTCCCATGGCATATGGAGAATGTTGGGCTAACATTTCTACAATTATTCGTTGGGTTCATGGCCCCAATTTCCAAGAAAGACAAATGTTCAAATGCCCTATGTTCCCACTGACCATCGGCAATATCTATCCATGTCTATCCGTCTAGGTTTGGTTCATGTTACCAGTGTTCAGATAGTTCAGATCATGGATAATCAAGAAGATATGATCCAATATGTGGATTTCTTCTGCGCATTAAAAAATAACAGCCATATCTATTCCTACATCAAGATGATTTGGTGGGTAACAATGAATGTACCCATGAACGACTATTCAAGGTATAATCTGGCAAAATATCGCAAGTTCATTTGTTACTACACTATCCATCACTAGGAATTTGGGTATATTACTTGGATCACCTATTATAAGATATTATAAGTATTTATTTTGGGTCAAAACCAAAAGCACACATTCGTCAGGATATGAACATGCACAAATTTAACAAATCCATTATTTACCAGCTACTTTGGGGGTGAGCAGCAGGGGCCCATACGTATCCATTGACCATGGTACATATTCATAGTTGGTTCCCGTATATTCCGATTTGATGATTGTATATCCCATCATATATCCATTTTATATATGTATATATATATTAGATTGTTTAGTTTATATTCCATTCATACCCCATTTCATCCACATAAATCCCATTCCAATCACATTAATACCCCATTAAATTCCAATTAAAATACCATGAATATCAATCATACTCATCATATACCCATCGCATACCCATTATATACAGTATCCATGAATCATTGTATATCCACTGAATATCCCATTAGAAAGAACAAACTTCCAATCTAGAGTTTCCGCTACACCTACATACACCTTACATAGCCCTTTTATAGGCCTTGTATATGGTAGGGACCTCCAAGTTGGGTTCCTGAAATGGCCAGTGACTATAATTATTAATGATTATCGATTAAATATCCCATCAAAACCATTCAGAAACCATATAAATCCCATGAATATCAACGTTTCCCATTATATTCCCATGATACCTCCATAAAATAATCACTATACATATAGATGTACCCATTATAAATCCATATGATATATGCTAAATATCATATTTTCCCTTATAAATCCCTTATAAATCCACCATCCATCGCTACCCCGAGGCAAAGATTGGCAAAGCCTCACGGCCTCGGCTGCGCTCCACCGGGAGACCATGCCGGGTCTGTGGAAGGCTCTAGGGAAAATGGATGGAGTTGGGAACAATCAAATGATATAGGTATTCAAAGTATTGTGATAAATCTATAATGTATTATGATATATGATATATGATATATCTATATGATACATGATATATCTATATGATATATGATATATCTATAAGGTATTATGATATAATATAGATAGTAGGTATTGTGATATATCTATAAGTCGGATAATGATAGATGATAGTAGATAATAATGATAGCATTAATGATAATAATGATACCAATGTAGGATGGGAATAATATTTAAAAAAAACAAAATCATGCAATAATGATAGCAATGAAAATGATGAGAACAATAAAAGGCGGGACAATGAATACACAATCGGATGGTAATGAGATAATCATTCGATAATAATCGACAATAATGGGATAATAATGGGATATTAGTTACAATAGTTTATATATCTGCTATCCAGTGGTATGACATGGGGAGCTAAGGAGCTACCGACGGAGTTTCCCAAGCACCTGATCATCTGGGGAAGTTATATATCGACCTCCCGCCGTGACCTCACTGGGATCCAGCGGTTATAGGAATCATCCCCAAATGGCCGAACTTTTCAGGTCCGTGATTTTTTTTACACAGATATATAGATATAATTGTTTATATAATAGATCATATATGAACATATATGATAGCCCGGCCCATGAAGCACACAAAGGCCCAGGGGGCCCAGAGGCCCAAGTTTCCCAGAGCTGTTCACTACACTGGACATGTCCCTTTAGGCGGCTGCTTAGATCTTCATTTCTTTTTTCCTTAAAAGCTCCTGCAGAAATGCTGCCAACTTTAACTGCTTTACTTCTTCTCAACATCACTATCTACATCACCTGCATAATCGTCATTTACCTCATCACCATCATCACCATCATCACCATCATCATCATCATAATTCATAATCATCATCATCAACATCATCATCATCAACAACAACAACAACGACATCACCATGATCATCCTCAACACCATCATGATCATCATCACCATCATCATCATGAAAATCATCATCACCTACCTCCATCAACTAGTTGTACATCATTTGCATCACCTACATCGTCTAACATACATCTTCTACGGCATCCAGGTCATCTATGTAGCGGTAGACATGTAGGTGACCAATGACCAACTCCTGTGAACTCTTAGAAAACACCGGCCTCGGAGGAACGAAACTCGGGGTAAATCACGACCCGCGCTTGTCCCCGAGCAACCCCGTGCGGAGATACAATTGGACATGCTGCAGGGATAGAATGGAATATGCAAATAACACTGTGGTGAAATATGATCCCAGGTGTTTTTCCAGTTCGGATGCTCCTTGACAGGGCTACGGTGTTGCAAGGGCCCTTGCCCACCATCACAGAAGAGGATCAAGAAGTGTCAAAGGATAATGGCTCACCCAATGGCGATCACTTGACAACATTTCAGATACAATAACCTGCCATTCCATGTTCTATCCATCTTTCCCATGAAAATTGGCTTGGGCTACCCCCAGAAATCCAAAATCATCCAAAATCTCTAAAACCTTCAAAAAATTAGAGTGGTTTAGCGTTTGATCTCCCCAAAATTGGTTGGTCAACATCCCTTCTTTGATGGTTGAAAGCCCATCAAATGGACCACCGTCCGACGATCGGATTCGTGTCCGAGAGGTGGTGCTGGAGGCACTGTGCCGCGATCCCATTTGGGTCTTGGACCACGTTGCCGAAGTCCACCCGGATCTCTTGATTGTCCCTGGCTCGTCAGGAAACTGCTTGGTAGTTTAAGGTAGTTTGTTTGGAACATAACTGGATGATTTTACCATTCAGTTGGGAATGGGTAATCATCCCAACTGACGAACTCCATCATTTTTCAGAGGGGTAGGTAAGGTATACCACCAACCAGGGAAATCTAGGGAAGAATATGACCATTGTGACGAAGTTGCTGGGGATATAACCAACAACATAGGATTTAGATGTTTGGAAAATCGGATATACCCCAGCAGGAATGGCTATGTGACTAGGGAACATGGTGATTAATGGAGAAATTTGGGGTACCATATTTTCAGACAACCCAAATTGGACCTGATTTGATAGAAACATGGCAGTTTTACCACCACTATTTTTGAAAACACGCACGGATATATATATATATGTGTGTGTGTTTGGGTGTGAAATATGTGGGTTTGTTTTTATATATAACATATTATTTTTATTATCATTATTATTATTCTGATTCTTTTTGTTATTTTCATTATCATTATTATTAATATGCTAGCAATTTCTATGTTATAGATTTCCTGTATGGCGCAAAATTATATATATGATGCAAAATGTGAATGTATATACTGTATATATATATTTATGCATGGTATATATATACATGTTGTGTGGGTATATGTATATTATATATATATGGCCCAGGCCAGCAACCCACCCCCCAGGTCATGGTCATGGTCCTGTATGTACGCTGTATGTACGCTGTATGTAGGAAGCTCTACGAAAGATATAGTTTGCACACCCACCCACCCTGTGGGATGGGTGGGGGCTAGGTACTGTGTCACTAGCATGTAAGGGGGCTACAACGCTCCACGCCCCCCGTGTGGGATGGGTAGATGTTCTAGAGGTACCGTGTAGATAGTATATAGGTACCACGTGGGTTGCACTATATATATATATATATATACAGCATATGAGATCTTGACAGAGCTAGTATATGGCTACTATAAAGGTACTTTATGGGTAGTAATACGATGTAAAAAGAGTGATGCAGGGTGTAGCTTACCCCCAGGCCCACCCTGTGGGATGGGTGGGGTGTTGTAGAGGTATCATGTAGATAGTGTAATTATAGGTAGCACATGGCTTGCACGTATCTTCAGCACAGGAGATCTTGACAGTAGCTAGCATAGGGCTACTACAAAGGTACTGTATTGGCAGTAATAAGTTGTAAATAGATTGTATGTGCGTATGGGCAGCAGTGAACATTGCGCATGGAGGTATCTTGTTAGGCAGTGTACGGGTGGCACGAGGCCAGCATGTAAGTATAGCATATGAGATCTAGACGGATGGTCGTAGGTGTAGTGCAGTGTAATGTAATGTAATATGTAATGCAATATGTAATGTAATATGTAATGTAATATGTCATGTAATATGTCATGTAATATGTCATGTAATATGTCATGTAATATGTAGTGTAATATGTAATGTAATATGCCATGTAATATGTAATGTAATATGTCATGTAATATGTAATGTAATATGTCATGTAATATGTCATGTAATATGTCATGTAATATGTAATGTAATATGTAATGTAATATGCAATGTAATATGTAATGTAATGCAATGTAATATGTAATGTAATATGTAATGTAATATGCAATGTAGTATGCAATGTAATATGTGATGTAATATGTAATGTAATATGTAATGTAAAATGTGATGTAATATGTAATGTAATATGTAATGTAATATGTATGTAATATGTAATGTAATATGTAATGTAATATGTAATGTAATATGTAATGTAAAATGTGATGTAATATGTAATGTAATATGTAATGTAATATGTAATGTAATATGTAATGTAGTACGCAATGTAATATGCAATGTAATATGTAATGTAATATGTAATGTAATATGTAATGTAGTATGCAATGTCATATGCAATGTAATATGTACATACATACATACATACATATCTATCTATCGATCTATCTATCTGTCTATCTGTCTACCTGTCTATCTGTGGTGCAGTGTCATTCAGTGTATTGTAGTGTAGCGTAATGTAGTGTAGTGTAGTGGAGTGTAGTGGCATGTAGTGTAGTGTAGTGTAATGTAGTGTAGTGTAGTGTAATTTCGTGTAGTGGAGTGTAGTTGTGTAGTCGTAGTTGTAGTTGTAGTGTAGTGGAGTGTAGTGTAGTGTAATGTAGTGAAGTGTAGTGGAAGGTAGTGTAGTGTAATGTAGTGTAGTGGAGTGTAGTGTAGTGTAGTGGAGTGTAGTGTAGTGTAACGTAGTGTAGTGTACTTTAGTGTAGTGGAGTGTAGTTGTGTAGTTGTAGTTGTAGTGTTGTGGAGCGTAGTGTAGTGTAATGTAGTGTAGTGGAGTGTAGTGTAATTTAGTGTAGTGGAGTGTAGTGTAGTGTAGTGGAGTGTAGTCTTGTTGTGTCGTGTGGAGTGTACTTCACGCGCAGCGGGAACGGCGGGACCTTCACCTTCCCGCTGCACACTGGACACTGCATGGTAATCCTGGCACAACTTGTCCCAGTCTCCTGGCAGATTTATCAGCAATCAGATGGTATAATGATCTATTGGAGATCTACTGGTGATACAATAGAAGTAAATTGATATGAATATCTCTTTTTTTTTGTAGGTATCCTAGACAGCTCTCTAGCTATCTAGTTGTCTAATAGCTATCTATTGTTCTATCTATCTGTCTATCTATCTATCTATCTATCTATCTCTCTCCCTCTCTATCTCTCTATCTCTCTATCTCTCTATTTCTCTATCTATCTATCTATCTATCTATCTATCGATCGGTCTATCTATCTATGTATCTATCTATCTTTCTTTCTTTCTATATATATATATATATATGTGTGTGTGTTTAAATATGTGTGAATTGTTGAACAGAAACATGTATATTCATATGTATTTTCCACCTGCCGGGTGAGGGTCTTTAGATTTTATCAGAGTTACTTGCTCCTCCTCGTCCTCTTCCTGCTCCTTCTCCTCTTTCCCTCAGCTGCAAGCTCCAGATCACAGTGTGCACTGCCGGACCTCAACCGTGAGCTCCAGATCTCAGTGGGCACTGCCGGACCTCAACCGCGAGCTCCAGATTTCAGTGGGCATTGCCGGACCTCAATGCATGCCAGAGAGAATGTCAGAATAGATGCCAGATAGAATGCCTGAATGAAGGCCAGATAAAATGCCAGAATGGACTGTCAGATTAAATACGAGATAGAGAATGCCAGAAGAGGCTGCCGGAATAGAATGTCAGATAGAATGCCAGAATAGATGCCAGAAAGAATCTCAGAACAGATGCCTGATAGAATGCCAAAGAAAATCTCAAAATAGAGAACTTCAGAATAGATGCCAGAAAGGATGCTAGATAGGATGTCAAAATAGATGCCAAATAGAATGCCGGAATAGAATGCCAGAATAAATATTCAGAAGGGAGAAAGAGAGAGAGAGATATATATATATGTATGTATGTATGTATGTATGTATGTATGTATGTATGTATGTATGTATGTATGTATGTATGTATGTATGTATGTATGTATGTATGTATGTATGATTGTATGTATGTATGTATGTTTGTATGTATGTATGTATGTATGTATGTATGTATGTATGTATGTATGTATGTATGTATGTATGTATGTATGTATGTATGTATGTATGTATGTATGTATATATGTATATATGTATGTATGTAGGTAGGTATGTATGTATGTATGTATGTATATGTCACATATACTTCCAGATGATACATCAGAAATTGTGACAACATTATTTTCAAGGCGAGGATCACTCGAAGTAAAGTAATTTGTTGCTATTGGTATGTATAATATGACAGATTGCTTTTGAATTGCTGGTATACGTTTATAACTACGTATTATGTGTACATGGAAAATTTATATTTCTCATATGTATTGTTTTTATCGCATACATGTGGAGAGGATGTTTTTGGGAATATAGCTACAAGTATGATTGGTTCTTGAATACATAGTTAAAGTGATGGCCGTCAAGCGGCCAAATTTGGTGAGGATGTGAAAGCCACCAAACAGTGACGGATTTAATCATTAAACTAAAGATCAAAATTGACTTGGCCGTTAAGAACATGTTTTTCTCGTCGTTGAAAATTATATTTGCTGGTGGTTACAGATGATAGTTTCTGGTCAGTATAGATCATAGATCCTGGTCAGTAGAAATCATATTTTGTGATCATAAAAGATCATACTAGTTCATTCAAGATGATATTGGTTCCCAATCCATCATAATCCTTCCCATCCAAAAAAACTATGACTGGGCCCCTGGGCCCCCAAAAAATGTGGGCGGGTTTTCTGGGTTTTCTGGTGGTTGTTCTGGTAAATACATGAAAACCTACCAGAAATATGAAATTACTTTACTTCGTGTGATCCCCACCATGACATTTATCGATTTGTTACTGGCAAATCTGCTGGCATTCTATCTGACATATCTTCTGGCATATCTTCTGGCATTCTATCTGACATATCTTCTGGCATTCTATTTGGCATTCTATCTGGCATATCTTCTGGCATTCTACCTGGCATATCTTCTGGCATATCTTCTGGCATTCTATCTGGCATATCCTCTGGCATATTATCTGGCAAATCTTCTGGCATTCTATCTGGCAAACATTCTGGCACTTTATCTGGCATATCTTCTGGCAGTCTATCTGACATTTTATCTGGCATTCTATCTGGCATACTTCTGGCATTCTATCTGGCATATCTTCTGGCACTCTATCTGGCATATCTCATGGCATTTTATCTGGCATATCTGATCTTATGGCATTTTATGTGACATTCTATCTGGCATATCTTCTGGCATTCTATCTAGCCGTTGAGGTCCAGCGGTGTGCACTGAGCTGGGAAGGTCCCAGGTTGAGGTCCGGCAGGGAACACTTGGCGTGGATACTCGCGGTTGAGGTCCGGCAGGGAACACTGGGCGTGGATGGTCGTGGTTGAGGTCCGGCAGGGAACACTGGGCGTGGCTGGTCGTGGTTGAGGTCCGGCAGAGAACACTGGGCGTGGATGGTCGTGGTTGAGGTCCGGCAGAGAACACTGTGGATCGCGGGTCGCAGTTGGACGAGGACGACGAGGACGACGAGGACGACAAGGACGACAAGGATGACAAGGAGGACGAGGAGGACGAGGAGGACGAGGAGGAGAGGAGGAGGAGGAGGAGGAGGAGGACGAGGCAGGAGGAGGCAACTGACATAAAATCTAACAACCCTCACCTGGCAGGTGGGGAAAAAACTACAAAAAAATCTCCGTTGCGAACCTGAGTTTTCTGGTTGGTTTTCGCTGTTTTCAGGGTTTTCAGTGGTGACAAGCCGAGGCGTTGGTGAACCACTCGAGCCTGAGGATCTTCAAGGACATCTCCAGATATCGCTTCAGGGCTGAATGGGAACCAGGGAGCCTTCAGTATTTTTCTTCTGAGACGGGCAATCTATGTATAGATGTAACAAGTGTAGACATAAATATGGTAAATGATAATGGGCTGTATGATGAGTTTTTCCAGATTTGGGTGGCGTTTTTTTCTGATAGGTATGGATAGTATTAACTCCTGGGAAAACATGGGATATTGGTTCCTGTGTTATGGGAGATGTGTTCTGATACGGGGAAATCCATGGGAATCCCAAAATTCCAAAGCACAAAAGTTGGATTCCACACCATACCCCCTGGTAAACTGTCCCATAGCTATGAATAATCACCATGTTTAATGGGAAAATTCACTATAAATGGCAATTTTCAATAGCTATGTTAAATTACCAGAGGGTATTTTTGATGTGATAACCCAATATTGTTGGTCAAATCACAATTTATGAGCATTTAAAACGAGTTTTTGTTGGTTAAATCACCATTTTTATATCCCATTAGATCCCCTCAAACAAGCACCGAAATGCAAGAGAGAAAGTCTCGCACAGCTATCTTCAATTTATCACCATTGTTGGTGGAACAAAATATGACACCGTGCGCTTTGTAAATGTTCAGGTCTGGCAGAGCAGATCTTGCAAGCATTGGAGCTGCCGCAATCCAATGGTGGGGATTTCTGCAGTGATATGGTGGCGTTCTTCAGGGCAGATGGGTCACGACTGTGTTACACTCTGAAATTGGTGATTTAGCCACGAAAAATGCAGATATTTACGGGATTCAAGCCAGGAACGACCGGGAATGGTCTGACGATGGTCTGACGTTTATATGTGTTTAGAACCCGGTCAACCACCAAACATGAAGGATTTAGGTGAGTTTTTGACTCGGCGCCTTCACTGAGTGATTGAGTGTTACGAAAATGTTATGGAACATTATTTGTGTTTTAAGTTTTAAGCCTGAGATAAAAGAAATATAACACAATGACATAAAACAAAAAGTAATTCCCAAATGGATGGCAAAGTAAATCACAATCAAATTAGTAGGGGTTTACTTTGGATACTTTCCATCTATTTGGGGATGACTACGAAAAGTACCATAATATAAGAGTGATCCGTTTTTCTAACCAAATGTGGAGATTGCCAGCTGGTTGTCAACGGCAGATATGGATGATGAACCAGGGCTGTGGGTGTGTCAATCCTCGGGTTTTGCCAAAATTCGACATGTTCCCCATTTTTTCTGGTTGTAAATTGTCCCAGGACTTCTGAACAAACCACTTTTGGGGGATGGTTACCCCTGCCAAGGATGTGTTTTTTCCTTTTTTTTTCGAGGCTTGGTGGCGGTGAGATCTCGATAATTTGCCGAAATCATCCGGATTGGTACCTAGCTCTGACTTCAATACAACAATTGACTTGATCTGGTTGCTGGTTTGGAACATGAATTTTATTTTTCCATATGTTGGGAATTTCATCATCCCAACTGACGAACTCATATTTTTCAGAGGGGTAGGCTCAACCACCAACTGACCTAATACAATTTCATCAAACCGATGCATCACCACTGGATGGTTCCCCCATACGTACCATTCCAGTGTTTGCCGTTCATAAACTGATTAATAAACATAAAAGAACCATATTTCATAGAATGACTCCCCGTACATACACTAGGAACTGATGTTTTTTGAAACAAAAAGAACAGCTATAGAGGGAAACAATATTACACATATAGCTACGTAGTAAGCCACAAACAAAAAGAACAGGGATTCATCTTTCGTGACCTGATCTTATTTTCTTATCTCATCTTTGCGGGGGCGATGTCAAATCCCCCCATGTAGTTTTACAACTTTCCTAGCGAACTCAACCGAAGACTTCGGATCGGGGATCGGGGATTTCCCAATTTCCCATGCACCGGAGGGTAATACCAATATTCCCAATGATATTCCCATGAAAAACCCACCATTCGTGTTGGTCAAATCACCAGAATTCCGACGAATTCCGACTCTCGTTCAATGATTTTGCCATGATTTCCCCTATAAATTTCCATCTCTAAGGGAGATTCCTATGATTTTCCCACTGAAACCTCCATTTTGCTGGGGGAGATTCCCATGATTTTCTCATTTTCTGATTGTTTGGAGCCCAGGTCACGCCGCCCCACGCGCCATTCTGCCCCCGCGGGCTTCGCCGCGGAAGCGCCGGACGCCGGAGGTGGAGAGTGACGGGCAGGAGCTGCTGAAGCCGCTGAAGCTGCTGGGGATGTGGAGTTTGGAACAAATAAGTGGCTATGTTTTCTGGAAAACCACTGGAAGGATCACTATAAGTGGCTAATCTATGGTTATAATTAGTGGTTAATAGCGGTTAATATATGTTAATATGGTGATAAGATTAATGCCTGGTTAATGTGGGTAAAACAGTGCCATAAACCACCGATGACTGGAAATGGTAATCATACCACCTATAACAATGGTGATGACTGGGGGATGGTTTATGACATTATTTTTACAAACATTATTAAAGATGATTCTCCCATTATAGATGGTCGTATTCCATTATATGGAGTCATGCCATTATAGACATCATTACCCTCTGGTAAACTAAATCAACGAACTAAATCCCCATGTTCAATAGCTATGTTAAATTACCAGAGGGAAGGAGAATCATGGGATAGCTGTTTTTTTAGCCATTGATCAATGGGATGATATGTGGCTTTCTCAAAATGGGGGGATCCAAACATGTCGTCACCATGGTCACCGGTCGGGTGTCAATATGAACAAATGGTCGAGTGACTTGGATGATGTATGGTCGATAGATCCATGACTTAGGCAACCTCCATTTTGATTATTGTATATAAACATATACACACACATGATATAAACTGAATGATGATGATATCTAGAAAAATACACATCCAGAAAACTAAATGCCATGGTATCTGGTCTGAGATGTCTGAGATGTCATGGGGCTTCAGTCGTCAGACCATGCCTCTGGTTATGACTGGTACAGTTCGCCATGGTATAGATGGCCCATAGAAATAGATGGTTTACCGTTCGCGAAAAAATAGCTGGTGGATCTTTCCATGGCTATTTCTGTGAATGTCATAACCAGATGGTAGATGTGAATGTCGCCCACCCAAAAACACTGAGCCACTAAGATAAACATGCGTCAAATTGCGTGCACTTTGCTGGGCCATTTGCCTCGATCTTGATGGTGGACCACCATCAAGATTGCCATACTCTCAGATTGTCATCAAATGAAGCTGCCTTGAAATCAGTTCTTTCTGGGAATCGAACATTCCAATCGAAAACTATTTAATTAACTATAATTAATCACATTCAATGCAAAATCATTGGATATATCTAGGTTGACTGATAGAGATTTTCATAAAGATTCGTGTGTTTTTTTTCAGCAACGTACCTGAAACATGCTGCAGGAGCTTCGGAACAGGAGCTGATTGTGCTGATTAGCTTGGGGCTCTCATGGTGGCCATGAAAGCATGGAAGTTGAAAAAATTCGATGCTCTTTACAACGGGTTTAAAGGGATATCCATGAGATTCTTTATGGAATTTATCGGAAGATTCATCCCGTTTAACAGGATATGAATGGGATTTGATGGGATATTAATGGGATTTAAAGGGGTGTTAATGAGATTTCTTTCTCATGGAATATCAACGGGATTTAACAGGATATGAAGGGAATTTGATGGGATATTAATGATTTCTTTTTCATGGAATATTAACGGGATTTAACTGGATCTGAAGGGAATTCGATGGGATACACAATCAACAATTTGATTTGGATGTGTCTGAAAATGGGGATGGGCCCCGAAATTACCATTGAGATAAGGAAAACAATGAATGACCCCATTCTGAGACAAATAAAATGCCCCCAGCTCTGGGATTTTGACGCGATGTTGCATTTTGACGCGATGTTGCATGGTCTACCATCAGAAGACATAGGGACAAGGTGAATTGAAGATGGGGATGCAATAAGCATTTGGGGTGTTTCACTTCATCATAACTGGCATAACTGGCCTTCAGCAGATTTTAAGAAGAACACTTCCAAATGAAACTGATCATAGTTTCAGATGCGGAGATGGAGACAGCCCCTCTTAGCTCCCATCCCAGGGGTCCCTAAGGGGTGGCATCTCCAGCCCCGATCATCCTCTGGTTCATCCTGAAAATGTACGCCGGTCTGGAAAATCTCCAAAAATGGCGGTGTTTCATGGGAAAACCATCATAAATCATTTATACATGTCATGGGGGATTCATTGCCACATTTGAGTAGCGGAGGGTACCACTTTATACCTAAAAGAATTTGGTTTACGACTTGGATGCTGGACACCAAGGATTGGGTAATTTAGTGATTTACTCCGCTGCTTACCATGGGTCCATTGGATCTCCAAAATCTTCTTTTTCTCAGGGCATCCAAGCTGAGCCATGTGCTTATCCTGAAATAGCCCCCAAGAGATATTCAAATTTGGATGATCCCAAAACTATTGACGCAAAGAAAATAAAACACAAAACCATACAAAACCAACGAACATGATAAACTCATGTTGGGATGATACATATTTTTATTTCACAGCAAAAAATACATGCGCTTTTTTTCAGACGGATAGATCCAGCCAGGATCTTTCAGGGCTTCCCAGATTGGGAGCTGAGCCAAGAGCAGGTGCATCTCATCCGCCGCTCGGGCCTCGTTCCCGACACCTTGCTGTGCCTTGGCATGGAAAACATGGAAAACTCCAGATGTCTTGATGAATTTGAGGGATGAATTTCATGGGATTTTAATATGTTTAATGTGAGTTCTAATGGGATTTAAAGAGCAGTTTGGAAGTTGCATCCATTTCTGGGTGGCAAAATGGACAGAGCCGGGGTAAAATCGTTGGTATAGATGTTCTTGTCCCATTGGTTGGTTGATCAATAGTGGGCTCGTCAGCATTTTGCACCTCACCACCTTTATGCGTACATGAAAGCAAGTGGTATACCAAACAGGCCCCAAACTGCAGATGTTCATGTGTTCATCCCCCGGTGCAAACCCTGAACATTTGATGCAGCTATGATTTTGTAAGTTTCACATAAAGGATCATAGAATACTTTTCATAGATAAATCATCTATAAATATGTTTATATATATACATGTTATATTTTGTATAAATGGACAATGTTGCATGGCTACTGTAGGTTAGATTGCCCGAGGGCTAAAAAAAAATTGCTTCTCTACGGCAGCTGAGGTTGGATTGGTGGGAGCAACACCGCAAAGGGGCGGTGGCCTGGATGCGTTGTGGCGCCACGTTCGGCTGCTGAAAAAGAAAATTATGGATTTAATCGGATTAATCATCAACAAAATTAAGGCTCTCTATCTATATATATATATATACTGGTTGGTGGTTTGGAACATGAATGTTATTTTTTCATATAGTGGGAATTTCATCATCCCAACTTGCCTGACTAATATTTTTCAGAGGGGTAGGTTGAAACCACCAACTAGTGATGGTAAAACCCGAAAATCCACTGGCTAGCCATCATTTTCCCATTATCATTGGCATTTCAGGGGATATGAAATGATATGAATGTGTATATACCTGGGTAAATTATAACGACCTCACTGCGACCTCACTGGAATCATGGTTAGTAAGGGAAATCATCCCCAAATGGCCTTAATTCATGTTAGTGAATTACTATTATGTATGCATATATATATATAATGAAATACAGTACACCTATTTTCAGACGCACTCAGATTCCTATTTTCCAACTGGTGAAACTCGCAGGCTGTTGGACGATGGCAACATATCTTGGAGAATACATGTTGGATCCCCACTTGGTAATAAGATGTAATATGTATAAGCCTCCAAAATCTTGGTGAAACATATTTGAATATCATATCATATCCCCATAAAATGGATCTATTCCATATTCACATAAAATGGATCCTTGCTATTCATCAGTCATATCCACTGGAGTATCATGAAATGCCCTATTAAGATAGCCATAGCAGATGGGGCATACCCCATTTTCAGACCCAAACATCAGATTGTTGATTATGTGTCTCATTAAATCACCATTAATAGTCCATTAATATTCCCATCGTAATTCATTTATATACATCTCTATTTTGGTTGGTTATATCCCTATGATGGTTTGCTATTTATCCCATTGACTACCATGAAGCCCCCTGAACATACCTATTACCATCTGGTTATTTAACATAGCCATGGAAAATCACCATTTTTAATAGGTAAACCCAGGTAAACCATCTATAAATGGGCCATTTTCCATGGCTATGTTAAATAACCAGAGGGTAAATTCATTTAAATCAATCATTTATCCCATATTTGGTGCTCAGAATCTCATGAAAACTCCCATGGAGATCTCCATTTCTTGGTGCAGAAATCTCCATGTTTCCCTTATTTTGGTGCAAAAATCCTGGCTCATGAACTTGGATTCACCATAAAAATCCTATCAAGTTGGATTAACTAGGATTAACCATCAAAAATCCCATGAAATTTAGAATTAACCACCCAAAAAACCAATGAAATCCACAATTTTCCATTTGGATATTGACGGTTAATCAATGCCATTTCTATTTTTGCAATTTGATGGTTAATCCGACATCGGGATTGCTTCATTGTCCATTCATCATCCCATGTTTTGTATGGTGTAGATATGAACCATTATGGTGCTGGTAAAAATTATTAACCCATGATAGAAAAAGCACATCAACCATCATCAACCTATAATTATTGAAAATCTTCAACCTATAGATTATTATCCCACATTATATCCCACTATTATCCCCCCATGTTTTCTTCGAAAAGCAAGGCCGCCTCCCGCGGCTTCGCCGTGCACATCGGCTCGGAGGAGGTGGCGACGTCGATCCCAACAAGCTGGACGAGGCTCAACGAGAGCTCCGCAGTGCCCTGGACGGATAAAAAAAAGCCGGTGGAGTTTGGGTGGGAATTGATTGGAATGTCATGGAATATTGAATATTGTAGCCATTTATATATATATATATATATCCATTTATGGGATTCCATGGGATTTCATGCCATTTGTAATGGATATGATGATATATGAGCCACCAAGAATGTAATGGA